TCTCAGCCTCCTCCTAGAGCGCCCTTCCTCAGAGCCCTCCATATTTGTGGGGATGATGACAGCACCTCTGGTTCTGGTGATGCGTCCCCCTCCTCTGGTCCTCCTGAACAGTTGGCTGCCTCTTCAACCTCCTCCGGTGCCCCTTGAGTGCCCCCTAAGTCCCCGACCTCCCCTTCTCCATCCTCAGCTTGTCCCAATGTGTACCAGTCGGGGCTGCACTCTCCTCAATATCCTGCCAGTTGGTGGCAGGGCTGATGCCGTGAGCCCCTCTGGGTCCTATGAACAGCTTGCATTGCGACGGACAAGGTGGGGGGGGCTACCTAGCCAACACCTCGGAAGCGCTGGCCTCCTGAGCTTGCGTGTTGCGCTGCCGCTGAAAGGACTTGACAACAGCATTCCTCCAGAGCAAAGGAGCTTGCGCCACTCACTGCGCATTGCATGCACACACTGCCACTGATTTCTATGCAGTGGTACCTCCGTTTTCAAACAGCTTAGTTCCCAAACAACTCGGAACCCGAATGCTGCAAACCCAGAAATAGGCGCTCCAGTTTTTGAACTTTGACTCGTGCTCCTGAGCTTCCGTTTTCACTGTTGAACAGTTAATTTGAGTCCCCCACATAGTAATTAAGGCTTCTCCCCTCCCGTTTAACACTGAAGCAGCAAATTTAAGTCCTCCCCATCGTAATTAAAGCCTTCCATTTCTGATTGCAGTGTTCTGAGGTGATATTTGGTGCTTTTGTTTTTGCTATTTTTTTGTGGTTTTGTTTGTGTGGCTTCTTCATTTTTGTGTCAGTGGCTTGTTTTTCATTTTATGATTGATTGATTGATTGATTGATTGATTGTGTGACTGCGGAAATGGTTTTAGAATGCTTTGGTTTTAGAACAGACTTCCGAAATGGATTAAGTTTGAGAACCAAGGTGCCACTGTACATTTCTCTCCATTAGACAACCTATACTGGACTCCCAACGTCATAATAAGGCAAGGAAACCCCACTTTCTGAAACACAGAAATTCACAAAAAATAGTCAAATGGTACCAAAAGGTCATAGAAATGTAGACTCAGGGCATGAATAGGAACAAGAGTAATTCTCAAGATGTACCACCACATACTGGGGATCCCCAAACCCCAATTGCCCAAGCAGGTGTTACCATCAGACAGAAAACTCATCCTCAGAGGGGAAGGAGATCCAGGAAGAGCAAATCAATAATAATAATAATAATAATAATAATAATAATAATAATAATAATTTATTTATACCCTGCCCATCTGGCTGGGCTTCCCCAGCCACTCTGGGCAGCTTCCAACAAAATATTAAAATACCGTAATACATTAAACATTAAAAGCTTCCCTAAACAGGGCTGCCTTCAGATGTCTTCTAAAAGTCTGGTAGTTGTTGCTCTTTTTGACATCTGATGGGAGGGCGTTCCACAGGGTGGGCGCCACTACTGAGAAGGCCCTCTGCCTGGTTCCCTGTAACTTGGCTTCTCACAGTGAGGGAACCGCCAGAAGACTCTCGGAACTGGACCTCAGTGTCCAGGCTGAACGCTGGAGGTGGAGATGCTCCTTCAGGTCTACTGGGCCTTTGAGGCCGTTTAGGGCTTTAAAGGCCAGCACCAACACTTTGAGTTGTGCTCGGAAACGTACTGGGAGCCAATGTACATCTTTCAGGACTGGTGTTATGTGGTCTCGGCGGCCGCTCCCAGTCACCAGTCTAGCTGCCGCATTCTGGATTAGTTGTAATTTCTGGGTCACCTTCAAAGGTAGCCCCACGTAGAGCGCATTGCAGTAGTCCAAGCGGGAGATAACTAGAGCATGCACCACTCTGGTGAGACAGTCCACGGGCAGGGAGGGTCTCATCCTGCGTACCAGGTGGAGCTGGTAGACAGCTGCCCTGGACACAGAATTGACCTGCGCCTCCATGGACAGCTGTGAGTCCAAAATGTCTCCCAGGCTGCGCACCTGGTCCTTCAGGGGCACAGTGACCCCATACCGGACCAGGGAGTCCCCCCCACCCGCCCGCCCCGTCCCCACAAAACAGTACTTCTGTCTTGTCAGGATTCATCCTCAATCAACTGTGTTAACCAAGGTTTGAGGACAAAAGGACATGCAAATCCTTTCTTCTGCCAGGGTGAGACAGATGTTGTAACAAACAGGGCCATGTCTGGATCTCAGATTTCTGCCAGACACCTCACCTTTTCTGCGACATACCTATGATGTTTTGATGACACTGTGTGAAATATATTATGGGAAAGTGTGGGAACTTTAAAAAAACATGTAAACTTTTGTTCGGAGTTCTTCTTCCTTGTTCTTGCTTACGAGTTGGAACTGTTGTTTGGCTTCTTCAACCTGACCGAGGTCTCTTGCTTGAACCTGACCGATTCTGAACCTGCAGGGCTAGACCCTGACAAAGTTGGGAGATGGCTTAAGTAGCATACCCCAAGATTTTGTCCTTAACAGCATACATGTAAAACCGTAAGCCGAGGTCTTGGCTTTGGAAAAATGCAAGGGCTGTGTGTCTCTGAGGTAAATACACACACCTTGACCTCCTCGTCTGTGGAGCCAGTTGTGGAAAGTGCTCTGTGCATGCTCAAAGTTCCTCCACTCTCTCATTATCACTGCCCACCATCCTAGGCTGAGCCCTGCCATGAAAAACAGGTTCTGGGACTGACAAGCAGAAGAACATGAAAAGAGCCTGCAGGATCAGGACCGTGGTCTATCGAGTCCAGCATCCTGTTCTCACGGGGACCCACCAGGTGCCCCAATAGGACTCGAACTCAAGACCCTCTCACCTCTTGTGGCTTCCAGTGACTGCCATTCAGAAGCACAATCCTCTTTTAAAGCCATCGAGATTGGTAGTCGTCCCTGCTTCCTGTGGCAGGGAGTTCCAAGGAACTCATTCCAAGGAAACCAAACTCTGGGCAAGACTTGGAGCTTCTCATTACTTGGAGATTGGGGGGCACACAACAATATTTGTGGCTTCTTTAAAAGAGGATTTATAAAGGGACAGACAGAAGACAGTACTAGAGAGATTTGCACACACATACATATATAAAATTAGTATCTTAGCAATACAGGAAACCTCAGCTGTCTACAGTTTTATACTTTGCAGACCTGCTCTGACTGTGTGGAGGAGTCTTTTCACAAGATGCACGGACTGCGTTGGGCTAAGGGGGTCTGAGGGACATAGGAGCATCTTCTGGGAGCTGCGATTAAGGGATGTGTGTCAAAACCACTGAACCTGCAGGAGGAGGGAAGGGGAGAGTCCTGCTGCCCCCCCTGCTCCTCAGATCTTAAGCTGCTGTGATGACGCTGGGTGCACATCGCACGTGTGTGTGTGTGTGTGTGTGTGTTGAGGGAGAGCGTTTTGTCAAAACACCATCAATAAAACACGCCCGCCACTTATACTGTCTCCGCATTACAACCTCCTTATCTCCTCTTCCCAGCATCCAAAGAATGCCGTTTAATCATTCTGTGAACGTCCCCGGTGATAAATTAATAAAGCCCATTCGGAGATCTGGATCTGAATGTGGATTATCAGAGCAGACTGGAGCAGGATGGGGCTGAAGGAGAAAAAGTGCGTCGGATTTTGGGAGTTCGTCTGAATCAGCTGAGATCTCTGGGTTGACAGAATGCCATTATTGCCGGCTCATGAAGTCGGGAGGGGGCCTCTAGAGGTCATCTGGTCCAACTCCTCAAAACACAGGGGACCCACAGCCACTGAAGCATCCTTGAGGGGGGGGGGCGCGCACCCCCCCCCCCACACACACCAGGAATTGAAGGAAGATTCAAGGAGAACCTTTCCTGGATGGGCAGGATAAATGAGGTGAATACAAAGACTCTACACAACATTACGTATTTCTTTCTAGCCAATCACATATAAACTGATTTAATGCATGATTGCAAAGTAATAAACTTTATCTCTGTACCTTTTTAAAAAAGCAATGTTCTAACCCTGCACTGAACAAAGAAGGGCTGGATGTTCCAAACGCAATTGCCACACTTCCAGGTTAATTGCCGTGTCAACGATCTGCAAAATCTAGTGACAATAACCCCTGGAACATGAAGCAATTGGAGGCCGGATTTGGCCAGGAAAACAAGGCTGCGTTTCACATACTGTAATGCAGTCCAAAAATCTTTCAGTATCTCCAGGTCAAAAGCCATTTACAAGAGAAGGAAAGGAGTTGTTTTTGCACACTGGCAAAGAAGATGTTTATTTAAGTGTACCCATTTTACAGAAAAGGGTTGTTTAAAACACAGGTGGTTATCTAAGAATAAACAGCAAAGAGGATTTCAGTTAAAAATTCCAGCAATTCTTTAGATCCCTGTTTTCCCAGGGCCAAAAAACAGCTGCGGAAGTCTCTCCTCTGCATTTTGGGGGTGTCCTACAAGGCTAATAGCTCCTGGGCAACCTGACGACCGAGTTATAAGGAGCAGGAAGTTGCGTATTTATTGAGACAGCTATTTGGGGCTTTTTGGAAAGGGAAGATCAGCCTCAAAACCTGCAATTGGAAGTGGAAGAGCAATCTCTGTGTCTGGCCTTTTCCTCCTGCCATTTGCCCCCCCCCCCAACCCCACACCCCAAAATCCACTTTCCCTCTTTTACGGTTTGCCCCACAGAGATGAGGAAAGCAGGTTTGGGGTGAACCTGAGAGGACAAGCAGGAAGGGCAAAGCGGCCCCTGCCCCACGGCTTCCAAGGCCATTTCTCGGGTTGTTGTTTTTTAAAACCACCCCACCCCAGAACAAACTGTCCAGGGCAAGGAAAACGCAGCTGCCCCATAACTCAAAGCCCTGACGTTCATCCAGACTGAAGCCTCAAACCCTCAGCTCAGGCCCCTCGGCCACTTTGTGGGTCTTGTGGCAGCCAAACCCTCGTGGGGAAGAAATCCTTGGCAGCTGAAAGCCTGAAGGCTGCCCTGGCACCCGATGCGGGCGCCCCCTTGCCCGGGTAGATCCAGGAGCAGGTTGACGGGGGCAGAGAGGGGACCCCAGCTCCTCCTTCAGAAATAGCTCCTCCTGTCCTTCTCCTCGGCGGCGTCGCTGACAAAGACGAGGTTGTGGCAGCCGCCCAGCGGCTGTGGGGGGGAGGGCAGGGAGCTCGAGGACCCCAGGAACGTCTTCAGCCGGGGGGCATTTGCCGGGCGCTGCCCCACGTCCTGCAAGGCACAAGAGGAATGGGGCTCAGGGGGCGGGACAGGCAGCGCCCCACATCTCCTGTCAAGGATCCCACCTGCGCTGCCAGAGGGACAGGCTGACCTCTGGACTAAACTAAGGATTTGGGTGTGTGTGGAGGGGGGACACATTTTGGACCCTCCAGGGGAACTTGACTTCCTTCGCCGCCAACCTGCAACATGGCCCACAGGCAGGGATGTGGGCAGCATCCCTCTGTCTCAAGGGACAATGGAGTGTACCTCTGGGGGTGGAACAGCGGCATGAGCAGCCCCAGAGTGAACTCTCTGGGATGCAAGCCTGGGCAGGGGGCCTGGGGGTCCTGGCCTGCCCAGGTTGCAAGGCCCCCCTCTTGCCAGGCTGAAGGGGTCCCAAGGAAAGCAGAGCAAGGCGTTTGGCACCAGCTGGGCTGCAGGAGTTGCTGGAAGACTGTCTCGCCAGAGTGGTGCATGCTCTGGTTATCTCCCGCTTGGACTGGGTGATAAGTATAAGTATTGGTGGAGGGAGTATAAGTATAACTGGATGGGTGGAGTATAAGTACTACTATTATTATTATTATTATTATTATTATTATTATTAATACCCCATCCATCTGGCTGGGTTTCCCAGTCACTCTGGGTGTCTCCCTACAGAACATTAAGAACAGAATAAAACATCAAACATTAAAAGCCTCCCTAAACAGGGCAGCCTTCAGATGTCTTCTAAAAGTTTGGTAGTTTATTTCCTTGACATCTGATGGGGGGGGGGGTGTTCCACAGGGTGGGTGCCACCACCGAGAAGGCCCTCAGCCTGATTTCCTGTAACCTCACTTTTTGCAGGGAGGGACCCGCCAGAAGGCCTTTGGGAGATGGACCCCGGTGTCCGGGATGGAGATGCTCCTTCAGATCTACTGGGCCCTTGAGGTCGTTGAGGGCTTTCAAGGTCAGCACCAACACTTTGAATTGTGCTCCCTTCAAAATGAAGGGAGGGGGTCTTGGACTGGCTCCTGGCTGCCCCATCCTTGCTTGACCAGCTTCTCCAGTGCTCACCCCCCCCCCTTAGCAGTGGGCACCCTGCCCCTCTCGGGCACAGGGGTGGGCATGTGGGGAGGGGAGTGTTCCTGCCTTGCCCCCTTCTTTGCCCTTCTTGTGAAAACCAAGGCAGGGAAGACCGCCAGGTGCCCCTTGGCTGAGTTACAGAAGACAGACCCCCCCCGACCCCCCCAGCCAATGCTCACCGGGCCCCAGAGGGACAGGCGGTCCCCTCTCCTCAGCTCGGCCTCCTCCAGGGTCCACGGAGGCCTCACGCGGGGCAGGCTCAAGGTGGAGGAGGCGTGCAGGGGAAGCTGCGGGGCCTCAGGGGTCTCCTTGAGGTCCTCCTTGGGGGGCCGGGTGCTTCTGTGGGGAGGGGAGAAAGAGAGAGGGAGGGAGGGCAGCCCAGGGGAGGGAGGAGAGGTCCAAGGAGGAGGAAGAGGAAGAGGAAGAGGAGCCCCATGTCCTCCAGAGTAAGGCTCCTGGCCAGCTCAGCCTCCCCCAATTGCTTGCTAGGGAAGAAGGGGGTCTTTCTTTCCACCCCCCCCAAAAGAGACACTTTGCTTCTTTTTCTTTCTTTGGCGATCCCTCGTAGCCGAGTAAGATGGTTCTATAAAATTGGAGAAATCGAGAGATATATAGCCACACCGGCAGCATAGCTCTTCTTTCTCTTATCCAAAAATGCAAGAAGGGCTTTTACACTTGTCAGAAGTTCTGCCCTCGCCGGTCCTGGAAGGAGCCTTTAAAAAAGTCCCACATGCTCAGAGACTTTGCGCCTGTTCATTGGGGGAGATAGGAAGCCCAGAGCACTCGTTCTTTAGATGTCCTTTTTAGGAAGAGGCACGTAGTGAAACCATTGATCTCCTGCTGGTGAGGCTCGCTGACCTCCCGGAAAAGCAAAAAATTGACCTTTTCCTGTTAGGCAAAGATCAGAAGACGACCCGGATGGTCGCCAGATTCTGTGTACAGATCTGTAGGCACAGACCACCCCCCGACCCAAACTAGTTCGTTAAGAAAATCCCCAAACTCGGTTCCATGGGTGACTCTGGGTCATCTCTCTGCGGTAGCTTATCTTAAAGTTTTAAGTGTCTATACGCTTATTGCATTTATAAATTTTAAATTTATTGTTGTACATCATTTTAAATGTTTGTTTTCCTTCTGGGATTGTACCCCCAGGTGTGTTTTATCAGCAGTAATATGACCATAATAAATTATCTATCTATCAACATGGTTTGAACAATGAGTTCGTAAGTGACTGTGGAGGCCAATTCTGGATCCACACATCTTTCCACGGGGGGGGGGGGCATTGGTTTCCAGGCGGGCACCCTGATGCTGTGTTGAGTCTCCCCTCATGGGCCAAGGGTAGGGGCCAGCAATGTCCCCCCAAAAGCCCCCCCCTCCCCAAGGCAAGGAGGCCAGTTGTGTTCTTCTGCACGAGGAGAAAGAACATGCAATGAAGGAATCAGAGCGACGAGGAGAGTTAAGAGCACAAGACGATGGGGTGGTAAAAGCTTTCTGGAAAATGATATATAACGAGTTGGAAAAAAATGTTTAAGATGATTTTTGTCCCCAAACCAGAGGCTTTTTTGTTAGGCATTATAGGTGCGGAACTACCAAAAGAAAATAAAAGACTGCTTATGTATGCAGTGACAGCAGCAAGGATGCTCTTAGCACAGAGATGGAAAGAAGGAGAAAGACCGAGCAGAGAAGATGGAATATGCAGGAATGGCGAGACTGAAGGGAGAGATCAGAACCCAGGAAGACCAAGTATTCTTAAAAGACTGGAATAACTTTCTAACATATTTGAGAGACCACTGTAAACAGTTGAAACCATTGGCAGGAATACAGTGACACTTGTAACGTAACAAGGATTTTGGATACTGTGATTATATAACAGACAGATTGCACTCAGCAAAAGATGCAGGAATAAAATTTAGAATTGGAACCCAGGGAGGGAAGGAAGGAGGTTTCAAGGTTCGAAAGAACCCCTTTTTAATGTGTGAAAGGTTATGGTGCATAACCTTCATGTAAAACTAATAAAATTTTATTTTTTAAAAAAAGAGCATAAGACAAGCCTGGCTTCAGGATCAAGCCCATCAGGTCCAGCCTCCTCTTCTCACAAGGGCCAACCAGATGCCCATTAGGGGAAACCCTCTATCAGGATTCGCACTCAGAACCAGCTGTCTCCCCTCCTGCGGCTTCCAGGGAGAGCAAGAGGCAAACTGGTCTGTAGCCAGAGAGCGGGATTTTTCCTGGGGAGACGCACACCCCCCTTACCTGGAAAGAGACCCAGCGATGAGCAGCAGCAGGAGGAGACCAGCGAGGCCAGAGACGACCACCAAGGCCAGCAGGAAGGCTGGGGGGGGGGCAGAGAGGAGTCAGCCCCAAAGGGGAACCAGGTGAGCCCAAGGCCCCCCCCCCCCGAAGGGCTCTTATGCTCCCCAGAGAGGAGCCACTGGTTGGCCATGGGGAGGACAGGACGCTGGCCAAGGGGGGTCCCTCTGGCCTGATCCAGCCACTGCAGGGCCCCCCCTCATGCCCCTTTGCCCAGGGGGGATTAAGGAGGTGGGGGGAAATGGGCACCAACTTGCCCCATGAGGGCAGGGGGCAGGGAGGGCACTTACGCTCCTGGCAGCCGGCACCACCGAACCCAAATGGACACCTGGGAGAGAAAAGGGGATGGAAGGTTAAGGCAGGTAGGGTCATAGAATGGGGGAGTTGGAAGGGAGCCCCCCCCTTGCAGGGCAGAAATCTCATCGAAAGAAGTTTATATGTTGGAAATGTAAAGCGAAGGATGGAGATTTTTTTCACATGGGGTGGACATGTGAGAAAATGAAAAAAACAATTGGGATATGATTTAAGACGAATTGAAAAAATTGTTCAGATATACATTCCCCAAAAAACCCAGAAGCTTTTTTGCCGGGGTTGATAGGAGCTGAAATAAGAAATGCAGACCAGAGATTATTCATGTGTGCTACGACTGCCGCCAGAGTCTTAGTAGCCCCAAAATAGAAAACTCAGGAAGTACCAACATTAGTGGAGTGGCAGACAAAAATGGTTGAATATGTGGAATTAGCAAACTGACCCGCAGGATCCGTAACCAAGAGGAAACTAAGTTCAGAAGTGAGTGGAGTAAATTTGTGGAGTATATACGTAATAATTGTAGAAGGTTAAAAACTGTAGTAGGATTAAAATAAATCTTATGATGTGAATAGGATGTTATGGAGAACCTGCGAAAAATGAAAGATTACTATGAAAACTTGTTGAAGGGAGGGAGGGAAGTCTGTGCTCGACGGAGCGTTGGGAAAATAAGTGTACATAGGATTGTAGAACTTCAGTGCATTTATTTTGTTTTGTTTGTGTTAAAGAAAACTCAATAAAAAGCATTTAAAAAAAATAAAAATAAAGAAGTTTACAAAATGAGGAATGGCATGGAGAAGGCAGAGAGAGGAGTCTCTCTCATTACAGGGGAACCTGGGGTTCAAATGGATAAAATAAAGTCCTTCATGCAATACAGTTAACCTGTGGAACTCTGCCGCGGGAGAAAGTGACAGCGACCAACCTGGATGGCTTGAAAAGAGGAGGAGACAAATTCATGAAGGAGGTTGGATGGCCGCCTGTCATGCGTGATCTAGGTGAGATTCCTGCATTGCAGGGGGTTGGACTAGATGGCCTTTGGGGGTCCCTCCCACCTGGACAATGCTGTGAGAGGGTGATGGGTAGCCATGAGCTTGTGGGTTTCCCTTGGGGGCATCTGGGTGGCCCCCGTGAGAAGAGGAGGCTAGAGACTGCAAGAAGTTTTGTAAGGAGGACTATTTGAAAGATTGCAAGAAAGACGATCAGGAGAGTTATTAGTTAATGATAATTAGGAGTAATAGAGAAATTAAGAAATGCAGAATAAGTGATAAAGAACGAAAAATCATCAGAGGTGTTGATGGAAGTCTAAAATATTGTATAAGACAAGAAGTTATGTTATATGATTGTTGGAAATGATATGTTAAAAATCCCGATAAAAATGTATTTTAAGAAAAGGGACGAGAAGAGGAGGCTGGAGCAGGTGGGGCCCCTTGGGTCTCATCCTACGGCCTCCAGGTCCCCTTCAGCCGCTGGCTCAGGGGAAGAATGAGGTGGGAGAAGCCCCTGCAGCTTCTGCCCAGACCCTGGAGCCCACCTGGTCCTGGAGGGGGCAGTTCAGGGAGGGAGGAAGAAGAAGAAGAAGAGAGGAGGTCAGAAATGGAAGCAGCTGCAAAAGGCACTCCCTGGTAGCCACCCCCCCCCCAAAAAAAGAAAAAGCCAGGAGGAGCAGAAGGCAGGGAGATGGAGTTTGCCCCCCAGGGCAGGTCCAGCCAGGAGCCACCTCAGCAGAGGAGATAGAGAGCGGTCATAAAATGTTGCAAGAAACCTCCAAGGTCGTCTCAAAGGGAGCCTTTTGCAGCCTGCAGGGACTTTTCCCTGCCGGAACCCCAGAGGAATTCTGCACATGGCCAGAGACCTCTTGGGATGGAGCCAGGGCATCAAAATGGGACACCTGCCCAAGTCTCTTATTTTCCCTTCTTTTAATAATTTCAATTGGGGTGGGGGTGACAATAAATTTTCCGCACCGGGTCCCAGCTGACCTTGCTACGCCACTGCTTGCTGCTGGCTTGTTATTTTATGGGGGGGGGGAGTAACAGCCACAATAAGTGAGGGGGGTCTGGGGAGGGGGCCGCTGCGCTCAGGCCCTGCTGGGGGGCTCCCTTTCAGAGGGAGGTGGAAGGAGGTGCCCCCGCCCCTGGCAAGTCGCCACAGGGACCCCCCCCCAGGGAAACTCACCTGGTGCAGGTGCCGTTCTGCAGCCAAAATCCACTGCTGCATTCTTTGGGGCGCAGGAGGGAGAAGAGAGAGAACAAGCATGAATCGCAGGAGGGACCCCAGGGGTCATCCAGCCCAACCCCCTGCAATGCAGAGGTCTCAGCTGAAGAATCCCAGACAAAGGGAATTGACGTGCCCCCCAAGTGGTGCTCTGCCCCACGACCCCCCTTCCCACCCATCCAGGCAGTGATGACCAAGGGGCCAGTTCACACGTCCTTAAGGGAGGATCCCCTCCCACCCCACCTCTGACTGGGGGTCTCCTCTGCCTCCCAGGGTTTCAGGGTGGGGGGTGCTGGGTCCCTGCCCCTCCCATCTGGCTGGGAGCCTGGAAACCCCTTGGAGGGCCGGCCCAGGCTCCCTCCCTCCCCCCCCCCAGGGGAGCCACACCTGCGCAGGTGCGGTCGGCTGGGTGCGCCTGGAAGTGGCCGGGCCGGCAGGTGCATCGGAGGAGGCCGTCTTGGAAGGAGCAGCTGGTGGAGAGGGAGTCGCAGACGTCAAAGAGGCAGAGGCTCAGGCCTGTGGAGGGAGAGAGAGAGGCAGGGCAGCCGGGGCTGAGCGGAGGCTGCAGGATCCGGCCCAAAGGGGCCAAGCGAGACCAGCCTCCGGGGGGAGATCCGCAGGCAGGATCCCAGCACAAGAGCAGCTCTCCCCTCCAACTCCTCCTCCTCCTCCATGAATTTCCCTTATCCTCTTTTGAAGCCATCCCCGTCTCATGAGGCAGGGAGTCCCACAGTTCAACTCCGCTTTCCTTTATCTGACTCATAGGATGCCCCAGACTTTAGCACTAGGAGGGAGAAAAGCTTCTCCCTCTTGGCTTTCTCCGTGTTACGAATTATTTCTCTGAATTTTACAGGTTATAACTCTGATCATGGCGTGTTTCTTACTACCCTTTTCCCCAAACTAAAAGTCCCCAAAGTCAGGCTCTTCTGCAATCCTTTTCCAACTCTGCAATGTCCTTTTCTAAAGGAGGGCAGCCCAGTCGCAGGGAGGACCCCCCCCCCAACAGTCTGCGGCAGCTAGACTGGGAACTGAGTGGCTGCAGACACCACATAACGTGAAAGACCTACACTGGCTCCCAGTACATTTCTGAGCACAAGTCAAAGTGTTGGTGCTGACCTTGAAAACCCTAAACGGCCTCAAAGGCCCAGTAGACCTGAAGGAACATCTCCACCCCCATCATTCTGCCCAGACACTGAGGTCCAGCGCCGAGGGTCTTGCGAGAAGTGAAGCTACAGGGAACCAGGCAGAGGGCCTTCTTGGTGGTGGCACCCGCCCTGTGAAACGCCCTCCCACCAGATGTCAAAGAGAAAAACAACTTTTAGAAGACATCTAAAGGCAGCCCTGTTTAGGGAAGCTTTTTAATGTTTGAAGTTTTATTCTGCTTTTAGTGTTCTGTTCGAAGCCGCCCAGAGTGGCTGGGGAAACCCCTCCTGCCTTCGCAAGCGCCAGGCCTGCCAGCCCCCCCCCCCGCCTCCCTTGCCCTGACAGACCCGGACCTTTTCCCGGGACACCCCCCCCCCGCTCCCTTCCACTCACTCTGGTAGGGGCCCGCCTTGCGCAGGAGAGCACATGCGGGGGGGCCCATGTGGCTGCTTTCGTGGCACTGTGCCCGGAAGGTGGCCACGGCCTCCGCCACCTGCCGGCTGGTGACTGGCGCCCGTGCGGAGAAATGGTGGAACAGGGTCACTTCGGAGCTGGGCCACCTGGGGAGCGACAGGTGAGGTGGGGTCAGGGGGGCGTCCGCCTGCCCCAGCCCCAACCCCCCCATTCCCTTCCTCCCCCCTCCATCACCTACCTTCACTGGGGTGAACAGCCGCCCTCCAAACCAGCCTGCCTTACAGGGCTGTGGCCCGGTTTACAAAGCTCTGTGGGCGCCCAGAAAATGTGCTTTGTGGATACGGAGGAAGCAGAGGGAGGCAATGATCCGGGACTGCCAGCTCCCCGGTCTTATTTATTTCTTTAGTAACATATTGATAGATCAATTAAGGATTTTTACAATTTTATAACATGCAGAGAATAACGTGCTGAGAAACCAAAGAGAGGAACTGAGTCTCATGGGTTTTTTCTTTTTGGGGAGGGGGGAGGGGTAATGAGGATGATGTATTTTGGATAAAATGTTATGTTGATATGCCTAATAATTTCCCCCCCAAAAAAACTTAATTTCTTTAGTTATTTCATAAAATTTATACACTGCTTGACTGGAGAGGGGGGAAAAGCAAAACTCAAAACGAAAAAATTGCAGCCACACTTTAAAACATACGAAAATTAGAATACTAAAACAGATTAAAGCCACCTCAACGTTCTGGGCATCCGAGTGGGCCTGTCAATAGAAGGATGTTTATAGCAGGCACCAGAAAGAGTACAGGGAAGGCGACCGGTTGAGGTCAAGAGGCAGGGAGTTCCCAAGGGCAGGCGCTGCCACATGAAATGCAGGGAAAGGGCAGGATGTGGCCCCTGGAGCAGATCCCAGCGGTCAAGGGGGCGCATGTGGGGTGAGAGAGACGCCGTTTGCCATGGGGGGGTTGGTTTCACCTGCGCTGCCCCACCTCCAGCCCCAGGAGCCTTCAGGGGTCTCTCTGCCACAGACACCTGGCTATGGGTATTTTAATGCGCTGAAAAGTGGAATATTATGAGCCGTGGGGCAGGGAGTGTGTTTAGTTTATCTCCTGGCCACTATTCCATTAATGTCATTAATACTGTTTCATGGAGTATAAATGTTATATTGATTTATTAATCACATGACAGGGCTGTGTGACGTTTAGCTTATTTTTGAGTCGTTGCCTTGTTAGCAGCGAATTATAGATTGCAAGTGTTTCCCTGGCTGATTTGTTGATTATTCTATATGATTCATGTGGATCGGTGATGCTCCGCCCTGTCATTGCTAATTATTGTTTGTAAGCTGCTTTGGGATTCATCTGAAAGAAAAATGGCGCAGAAATATAATTTAAAAAACTAAAATGATTAATTGATAGTGCAGGTGGTGGACTCGCCTTCCTTGGAGGTTTTAAGGCAGAGGCTGGATGACCCTGTCAGGGATGCTTTCCTTGTGAATTCCTGCATCGCAGCGGGTTAGACTAGAGGACCTCTTGGGGCCCCAACTCCACCATTCTATGATATCAGTCTTGCCATGATCACCCCCCACAGTGGCAAGCAGGCAGATGGATGCACATGGACACCTCGTTTTAGAGGTGGGGGGCAGGAACCCAACCCCAAGCACCCTGACCCCCCCCCGACATGCAACCCCCCCTCCCAGCCCCTCACTTACGTCAGGTCTCTGGCAGAAGAGCCCAGGTAGCCATCGAGGTGCCCCAGGATGTGTTGGAACTGGAGAGAAAAAGTTGGAAGTGGGGGGGGGGAGAGAAGCAGGCCACAATGGAGCTCCGAATTCCCACCATGCCCCCCCCCCAAGTCCCAGACCACTGCTCTCAGCGAAGGGGCTACTGCCATGGACTGGCTCCCCCCTCTTCCTTCCTGGGCCATGTTCAGAAAGTGGTGGTGGGGGATGAGTGTTCAGACCCCTGGGCTCTCACTTGTGGGGTGCCTCAGGGTTCTGTCCTCTCCCCCATGCTTTTCAACATTTACATGCAGCCACGGGAGAGATCATCAGGGGGTTTGGGCTGGGTGTTCATCAGTATGCGGATGATACCCAGCTCTACCTCTCCTTTAAATCAGAACCAGTGAAAGCGGTGAAGGTCCTGTGTGAGTGCCTGGAGGCGGTTGGAGGATGGATGGTGGCTAACAGATTGAGGTTGAATCCTGACAAGACAGAAGTACTGTTTTTGGGGGACAGGAGGCGGCCGGGTGTGGAGGATTCCCTGGTCCTGAATAAGGCCACTGTGCCCCTGAAGCACAGCTGACCATGGAGGCACAGGTTAATTCTGTGTCCAGGGCAGCTGTTTATCAGCTCCATCTGGTACGCAGGATGAGACCCTGCCTGCCCACAGACTGTCTCACCAGACTGGTGCATGCTCTGGTTATCTCCCGCTTGGACTACTGCAATGTGCTCTACGTGGGGCTACCTTTGAAGGTGACCCGGAAACTACAACTAATCCAGAATGCGGCAGCCAGACTGGTGACTGGGAGCGGCCGCCAAGACCACATAACACCGGTCTTGAAAGACCTACGTTGGCTCCCAGTACATTTCCGAGCACAATTCAAACTGGTGGTGCTGACCTTTAAAGCCCTAAACGGCCTCAACCCAGTATACCTGAAGGAGCGTCTCCACCCCCATCGTTCTGCCCGGACACTGAGGTCCAGCTCCAAGGGCCTTCTGGCGGTTCCCTCACTGTGAGAAGTGAAGTTACAGGGAACCAGGCAGAGGGCCTTCTCGGTAGTGGCACCCGCCCTGTGGAACTCCCTCCCGTTAGATGTCAAAGAGAAAAACAACTACCAGATTTTTAGAAGACATCCGAAGGCAGCCCTGTTTAGGGAAGCTTTTAATGTTTAACAGACTACTGTATTTTAATACTTTGTTGGGAAACCCAGCCAAATGGGTGGGGTATAAATAATAAATTCTATTCTATTCTATTCTGTTCTTCCTCTGAGCTAAAGGGGAAAGCCCCCCAGAATGGCTTAAAAAGGGAAAAAAAATGAATTGTATGAAACAAATGAATAATCCAGGACTTGGTGGGGAGGGCAGAGGGTAGGGGAAGAATCCCTAAAAGCCGCTGACCACGAAGGCCGGGGGGGGGGGACACACAAGGAGCTGGCTGCTGCAAATGGGGACCCATAGAGCCTTCAGCCAATTGGGGAGGGGGGCGTCCCTTACCGATCTCTGGATCTGGAGGGTGACCCACGGCAGCTGCGACTCGGCTGAGGTGATGCCCGGCAGCGACAAGTCGGGGCTTCCCGAATCCCACAGCAGGAGCCGGCCGGGGAAGGCCTTGACTTGGCAAGAGAGAGAGGGAGGGGGCAGAAGTGGGATCAGAACAAGGCAGGGGGGAGGAGAAGCCAGAGCACATTGTTAAACTGCGGAACTCCCTGCCACAGGAGGCCTAGGTGGCTTCAGCAGAAGGGCGGACAAATTTGCGGAGGCGGCTCTCGATGGCTCCTGGCCAGGATGGCTCCTCTCTGCCCTCCCCAGTCACAGGCAGAAACGCTTTGAATCCCGTCTATGGAAACCCCAGGAGGAGAGAGGGTTGCTCTCGCACTCGGATCCCACTTGGGGGTTTCCCATCATGGGTGTCTGGGGGAACAGGATGCTGGCCAAGGTGGGCCATTGGCCAAATCCTGCTGGCTCTCCTCAGGCTGCCTTTTCTTTTCTTTTCAAAATTATTTTTATTAAAAGTTTTCCAACAAAATTTACAATAATCAATACTAAATAAAAACAAAATAAAAACACAAATTGCATTTTACATTTCTATTCCCCTTCCCCCAACTTCCCTTTCTGGTTTATCACTTATTCATTTCTTCTGCATGTAATTTTCTATACCTTGTATATTGAAATTGAAATCCTACCTTATTGACATGTTCTTAACATTTTACCCTCCTATTTATATTTTCTATTTGTTAAGTGTCTTAATCAAATCCTGCAAGTGAGTTCATTACAGTACATTGTTTCTGTATATGCAGCATGTTACTAAAACTGGAACGATACAGAGAAGATTAGCACGGTCCTTATTGCTGTCTTTTCTTTAATTTTTTGAATTTTTATTAGAAATTTTATTTACAACGTAACATAAACCCTCCACCCCCCCAATACAGAAATACAACAAGCATAACATACAACAACACAACCAACCAAATAAAAGACTTCCTTTATCCTATATCTGGCCTCCTTATTTACTTCTTATAAGCTGTTTCCTTTATGAATGATCATTAAGGTTTTTCTAATTATAACTTAAATATCCACAAAATCTCCTGCAGACATTGATCGAAACCAGTCCAGGTACGTATTTTAGGGCCCTGTTTTGTGAAGTATTCTCTGCATTTCCCCCAGGCTTTTTGAAACTCTTGTCTAGTGTGACCTCTAATTGCCTCTCTTAATCTAGCCAGCGCAATAGACTCTTACAGTTTGTCTTGCCATTCCTTTTTTGTTTTCATGCTGCCTTTTCAACCAGGCTGGAGAAAGGCTGCTCACGGAATCGTAGCGCTGGGAGAGACCCAGGGGTCATCTAGTCCAACCCCCCCATCCTTTGAAATGGAGCCAAGCGGACGTCAGTGTGGGGGGATATTTATGGGGGGGGGGGAGAGGCTGCAGCCCAAGGGTCCACATGCAGAATGAGGCTGCGCACCCATTCGTGGTCCCTTTCCCCACCGCATTTCCCTGTCATTGGACACATTTGCCGTCCATCTGTCTGTCCCGCCCCCCCCGTCCCCCCCCCGTGGGTGGAGAGGGGGGCACAGGGGTCTTCATATGGCTGACATTTTCAAATCAGATTGGATGTGGCTTTTGGGGGGGAAGCACCTCAAAACACTTATTTCTCATGAATCCGCAGGAGAGGTGTGGATTGTGGCCAACGCCATGTATGCCCAGCTCTCCACACCAGGAGGGGGAGCCCATTGGAGGCAGAGGAAATGGGGGGGGGAGCCTCTGCAGCCCCACAAGAGAGAGGAAAAGCAGCTTCTCCAAACTTCCCTTTCCCCCATCCAGAAAAGGAGAGGACCACCGTCGCCCTCTAGAGGACAGGTGAGGCCATCGCTCTCCCCTCCATCTCAAGCCGCAGGCCTGTCCTTCAGTTGTCCTCCCTGATGCTCCCGATTTTTCACAGAACCCTCGAATGGTCAAATGGCAAGGGACCCCCAGGGGTCATCCAGTCCAACCCCCTGCAAGGCAGGAATCTCCGCTCAAGCATCCCTGACAGACAGGCATCCAACCTCTGCTTAAAAGCCTCCAGGGAAGGAGAGTCTGTCCCAGAGGTCCCTACAGGACATTATTTCTTTGCATTTTACATTTAAACTCATCCGCCCTCCCAAAGGAGACCAGGGAGGGAAGCAGCAAGTGATAAAATAGTAAAATATCTTATTTGCGGAGGGGGCTAGATGACCTTTGGGAGCCTTTCCAACTCTACAATAATTCTGTGAGTGTAAGCAGCAAGGCCCACATTCAGCCTTCAGCTTTAGCTGATTCCTGCCTTGCAGGGGGTTGGACTAGATGACTCTTGGAGGGCCCTCCCAACTGTTAATTCCGGTTCTATGATCCCAGAGACCCCCTTGGCTTTCTGTGACTTTACTTGACCCCTGGACTTAAGCAGCAGGAAGGGGCTGGCTCCTTGGGCCGGTCACAATCTCTCAGCCTAGCCTACCTTGCAGGGCTGTTGGGGGGATTAAGAGGCAGTCACCTTCAGCTCTTTGGAGCGGCTAGGGACAAAGGTGAGAGCCGTTTCCTAGTTCTGCTGGATCTCTCAGTGGCTTTTGATACCATCAACCATAACAGCCTTCTGGACCGTCTTGAGGGGCTGGGAGCTGGGGGCAATGTTATACCAGCTCCATCTGGTACACAGGATGAGACCCTTCCTGCCTGCGGACTGTCTCACCAGAGTGGTGCATGCTCTAGTTATCTCTCACTTGGACTACGGCAATGCGCTCTCTGTGGGGCTCCCTTTGAAGGTGACCCAGAAACTACAACTAATCCAGAATGTGGCAGCTAGACTGGTGACTGGGAGTGGCTGCCGAAACCACATAACACCGGTCTTGAAAGACCTACATTGGCTCCCAGTACGTTTTCCGAGCACAATTCAAAGTGTTGGTGCTGACCTTTAAAGTCCTAAATGGCCTCAAAGGCCCAGTAGACCTGAAGGAGCCTCTCCACCCCCATCGTTCAGCCCAGACACTGAGGTCCAGCTCCAAGGGCCTTCTGGCAGTTCCCTCATTGAGAGAAGTGAGGTTACAGGGAACCAGGCAGAGGGCCTTCTTGGTGGTGGCGCCCACCCTGTGGAACGCCCTCCCGTCAGATGTCAAGGAAATAAACAACTATTTTACTTTTAAAAGACACCTGAAGGTGGCCCTGTTTAGGGAAGTTTCAATGTCTGATGCTGTATTGTTTTTGATATTTGGTTGGAGGCCGCCCAGAGTGGCTGGGAGACCCAGTCAGATGGGCGGGGTATAAATAATTATTATTATTTGGAGAAAAAGGTGGAATATAAAGGCAATCAATCATCAATCAATCAAGGAGGGCCCTTGCTCCGCGCTCCCTCCGTAAGGGTGCTCAGAAAGGCCAGCCCACTCACCCCCATACACACAATTCGAACCCCGAACCCAAGCTCTGCCCCCTTACCTGGCACACAGCCCAGGGTGGGGCTGAGGTGGTAGCCCAGCCCACAGCGGCAGGAGTTGCGCCCGGCCTGCTCCTCGCAGCTGCTCCAAGGGGGGCAGTCCTCCTCTCCCCTGCAGGCGGGGGGCTCTGCGGGAACACAGAGAGTCAGAAGACAGCAAGACACCCCCCCCCCCATGGGAAAGGGAATTTCAAACACTGGAGAGCCTCTTCCAGGCGTTGCTGAACTACAACTCCCGCTGCTGTGCTTGCTGGGAGTTGTAGTTCGGGAAGAGGGGAAGGGCCAAAGGTTCCCCTCACCTGTGTTAGGTTTGATGAAACCAAAGGGGGGAGCATCTCTGCTGGAGGAGGCAGAGAGAGGACGTGAGAGCCACCTTCAAATTTTTGCTTTCTGCTGCTCCAGAAGGCAGAACTCGAACCCATGGCTTCAAATGGCAAGAAATGAGATTCCGACTAAACCTTAGGAATAACTTCCTACGGGCAAGAGCTGTTTGACGGTGGAGCAGATTGTTGGCTCTCCTTCCTTGGAAGTTTTTAAGTGGAGATTGGATGGCCTCTGGGATTCTGTGTTTGGGACTACATCTCCCAGGATCCCCAGCCAGCATGGAGGCAGGAGGCAGGGGCTGATGGGAGTTGTAGTGTGAAACGACTGCATGGCCCCCAGGCTAGGGAGGCTTCCTCTAACTGCACCCCCAAGTCTCACCCCCAAGCAAAGAGCCGCTCAGCTTTACCCTGCTCTCCTGGGGCAGCAGCCCCACTGCTGGCCGTTGACCTGGGGAGTGGCGTGGTCCATGTCAGAGGGCTGGGGCTGGGAGGGTCCGATCCTGCTGACCAGTTGGCTGTACTGGGCTCTGAAAGAGATGGAAGTTTGTTGGCAGCAGCTCTGCGACACCCAGGCACCCTTGGCAAGACGTGTCCATGCCCCTATCAGGCTTTGGCAAGCTGGCAGCACTAAGATCATCCATTCTGCTGATTTAATCTTTAACTGGACTTTGAATAATTGCAACCATTTTGAATTTCATGGCATTATTGTGCATCACGGGGGGTTGGACTAGATGGCCCTTTAGTCCCCTTCCAATGCTACAGTCGTGTGATTATCCTTCTTCGTGGGTTATGCAAACCGCTCTTGAGAATACTGCTTTTTATAGGGCAGTGGGCACAGGGGATGAGTTGGTGGAGCTGAGGGGGCGGCGGCCCAAAAAAGCTTGGGAACAGCTGACGTAGATCTGGATTGCATAACCCGCATTCGGATCCTCAGAGGTAATGCTCAAAAGCTGGAACCCATCCAGAGAGAGAGAGAGAAAGAAGAAGAAGAAGAAGGGGAAAAGGGGGGGGGACCATCTCCCTGGAGGGACTTTCAGCCTCTGGAGGATTTCAAATCCCAAACCAGGAATCCTAAAACCAGGAATTAATGCAGATTAAAGTTCCCTTTTTGTCTTTCCATCCCAGGGACACCAGCGAGCTCTTCCCTTCTCCCCTAGCAGAGGAGGTCCAGGCCAGAGTGGCAGGATAGGGCCCCTCCAGGGGCTGCAGCTGCTGCCCCCCAGCAAGCAGGCAGGCAGGCAGGCAGGCTGCCCCACTGAGCCAGCCCCCCAAGCCCCTTCCCCCGGGGCCACTTACCTGCCCGCGGCCCCCAGGCGGCCCCCAGCCCCACCTGCAAGGCGGCCACGAGCCAGCAGACGCCCCCCCACATCCTCCTGGCCGCCCGGGATCCGTGGGGCGAAGCAGGGCCACGGGGGGGGGGCGGGAGGAAGAGGAGGGCGCTGACCCCACACCTGGCACTCATTAACGCGGCCAGGGCGCCTCCGCCAATCCCCGGAGGGGGAGGAGAGTCCAGGGGGCGGCCTGGCCGGAGGGTCGCCAAAGGGAGCTCGGGGAACGGGAGGGACCCCACCGGGTCATCTAGTCCGACCCCGGCCAGGCAGGAAGAGGCAGCTGCCCCCGGGGCCGGATTGAGGTTGGATGAGGCCCTGAGGGGCTCCTGAAGGTAATAAGGGGGCTTTCTATGTCCAGCTGCCCTTTTCCAACAACAAATTGTCGCTTTTTTGTGTTGGAATAGATGCTATAGGGATCTCATAGGTATCTGAAGCCATTTGCGCATAACCAAGAGGAGCCGACACAACACAAAACACGTTGCTGGATGGAGGTTTTATTTTTTTTGTTTTTTATCTTATATTTTGGAAATGTAAAACCAGTTTTTTTCCCCTTTAATTTTTTTGCCCCCCCCCCCAAAGAGTGGGGCCCTAAGGTAGAGCCTGTTTAGCTTATATGTAAATCCGGCCCTGGCTGCCCCATCTGGGGATTGAACGGGCGCTCAGTTCGCTTCCTCGAACTGCAGTGGCGGAAGGGGCGCCCGGGTCATCTAGTCCAGCCCGCCTGCAAGGCAGGAGGGAGCCACGGACGAAGGCGGGTTCTGAGGAATGTAAGCTCTTTTTAGATGCAGTAACAGCAGCAAGAATATTACTGGCCCAAAAATGGAAGCAAGAAGAATTACCGACGATCGAAGAATGGAGAATGAAGTTAATGGACTATGCAGAACTAGATAAACTAACAGGCAGGATCTGAAACCGGCGGGACCAGAAATTCACGGAAGACACGAGTAAATTTATTTGAAAAGTAATTGTGAAGAACAGACGACGTTGGTAGGTTTGCAAGAAGTTTTGTGAGGAGTATTATTGGAAGTATTGCAAAAATGGAGAAGGGGAAGGATGATTTGTTAAGAGATGTAAAGGCAATATAAAGTTAAGAAATGCATAAGAAGGGGTTAAAACGGTGGATCATCAGAGGTGCTGATGGAAATCCAAAAAGATTGTCTAAGTGATAGGTTTTGTGGTACATTTTATAATTTATATGTTACAATCAATAAAAATTTTAAAAAGAAGAAGGCGAGTTCTGGGTGCGGATTCCGCCGTGCATGGGGGTTCTGCCCCTCCCCTCCACCACTCGGCCTGCTGGCCCTCTCGCCGGCGCAGGGGAGCCGGAAGTGCCGGGCGCCCGTCGGGGATCCCCTCTTGGCGGGGGCGGGGCCGGGGAGGAGGGGGCGGGGCCTGGCGCCCTTGGACCTCGGCGCCTCCGCCAATCGCCAGGCGTCGCGTCTCCGCCGCCGACAGAGCAGCCGCCGCTTCCGGCTGGGAGACGGGAAGGAGGGGGAGGGAGGGGCGCCTCCTGCGGGATCCCGGAGAGATGGAGCCCCCGGTGAGGAGGGGGAGGGAGGGGGGGAGAAGGACTCTGGGGGGGCATTGCGGGGGGGTCGAGCCCCCCTGTCCGCGAGGGTCCCCTGTCGCGGCGGCCGGACAGGGGGGCGGGGTAGAAAAGTAGTATTATTAATGTTATTACTGTGCCCCCAGGGTGGGGGGTGCCTCTGCCCTCCTCGGAGCCCCCCCCCCCCCGGGCCCCGCCAGGGAAGGGCGTCTCCGGGAGACGGGGGGGGCAGGAGGGAAAGCAGCCCCGGGGGTGGGGAAGAAGGACCCCCCAGGAGACTCTACTGGGGGGCATTGCTGGGGGGGTCAAGCCCCCCTGCCTCTGGCTGGACCTGCCAAGCCAGAGCCAGGGGGATGGGCAGGGTACAAATAAATTATTATTATTATTATTATTATTACTACTATGCCCCTGGGGTGGGGAGGGGAGCCCCCAGGGTCGGGGGTGCCTCTGCCCTCCTCGGAGCCCCCCCAGGCCCCGCCAGGGAGGGGCATCTCCGGGAGACGGGGGGGGGGCAGGAGGGAAAGCAGCCCCGGGGTGGGGAAGAAGGACCCCCCCCCAGGAGACGCTACCGGGGGGCATTGATGGGGGGGGCAAGCCCCCCTGCCTCTGGCTGGACCTGCCAAGCCAGAGCCAGGGGGATGGGCAGGGTAGAAATAAATTATTATTATTATTATTATTATTATTATTATTATGCCCCTGGGGTGGGGAGGGGGAGCCCCCAAGGGTCGGGGGTGCCTTTGCCCTCCTCGGAGACACCCCCCCGGGACCCGCCAGGGAGGGGCGTCTCCATTTGGGGCCGCAGAGGGCGGAGGGGGGGAGTGTGAGTGTGTGTGAAGTTTGTACAAACTGAATGATGGGGGGGGGGGTTTCCTGCTACATGCCCCTGGCAGAACTGTCCAGATTGCGCCAAGACTAGTGAGCTCTTCTTTCCGCCTCTCTTCCCACCCCCACCCCATGCAGGTCAACCTCTGATTAAAACCTCTTCTCATGAGGCAATAATCAATACTTATATATTTATAGACCTATTTATGGACATTTTAAAGCTGATTTGCACACGCCCCACTTGCCTGCAGCCCTGACGGGGGCTCACCGTCCCTAACTGTGGCAGGGCCGAATTTAGTATAAGCAAAACAAGATACAGCTTAGGGCCCCACTCTCTTGGGGCCCCCCAAAAAATTCACTATTAATATACTTCTTCATTGTGTTTCAATTTAACAATTACTTTGATAAAAGACATATTTTGTTATGTGCAAATGGCTTTAGATCCATAAGTTACCATATAGCACATGGGTAGGCAAACTAAGCTCCAGGGGCCGGATCCGGCCCAATCGCCTTCCAAATCCGGCCTGCGGATGGTCTGGGAATCAGCGTGTTTTTACATGAGCAGAATATGTGCTTTTCTTTAAAATGCATCTCTGGGTTATTTGTGGGGCATAGGAATTTGTTCATTCCCCCCCCCCAAAAAATATAGTCTGGCCCCCCCACAAGGTCTGAGGGACAGTGGGCCGGCCCCCTGCTGAAAAAGTTTGCTGACCCCTGATATAGCATCTATTCAACACAAAAAAACTGCAACCATTTGTTGTGGACAAAGGACAGCTGGACATAGAAAGGGCCCCATTCCCTTCAGGAGCTGAGGGCCGCATCAGATCTCAATCTGGCCCTGCCCTGTGGACTTGTGCCAGGCCGCCTGTGAGGTCTCTCCTGCCCCAAGGAATCCAGATCCGCCCCCCAGGAGAGCAGGGGCAGGATCCGATTCCCAAATTGGGGAGCGCAAAGTGGGGCCCTCGAGACCCCCCTCGCACTCCCCCCTGGATGGCTCTGTCAGTTTGTATTTCTTGGCGCAGAAAGGGTTGATCTGTTGTGTAGAGATCTTTCCTATTCTACTTACTGTACTTTTCCGTTTATAAGACTAGGTTATATTACTTTTTAAAAAAGGTTAAAAGTCCCGGGGCATCTTATACACGGATAGTGCATATGCTCATTTTCTAAATTCGGGGTCCCCAAAAATAGCAGGCGTCTTATACATAGGGGCAGCTTAGGGAAGCTTTTAATGTTTGTTGCGTTACAGTGGTACCGGGTTACATATGCTTCAGGTTACATACGCTTCAGGTTACAGACTCTGCTAACCTTGGGTTAAGAACTTTGCTTCAGGATGAGAACAGAAATCGTGCTCCAGCGGTGCGGTGGCAGCAGGAGGCCCCATTAGCTAAAGTGGTGCTTCAGGTTAAGAACGGACCTCAGGAACAAATTAAGTTCTTAACCAGAGGCACCACTGTACCGTATTTTAATATTTTGCTGGAAGCCCAGAGTGGCTGGGGAATAAATAAATTATTGTTATTATTCTTATTTTATTATTATACACAGAAAAATATTGTAATTCCAGAGGGTGCTGGAAGCTTCTCGGTTTGAAAGAAGCAGGCAGAAGGTGCCTCATGTTCCGGGTTATTCCTTCTGCCTGAAACGGCTTCTCTTCTCTCTTCCCTCAAAGTCCTGCTATTATTGCCAGGCCAGGGGGAGCTTGGCCCTCACTCCCACTTTCTCTTTCTTTGTTCTGATCTTCTGTGCAGAGGATGCTTAGTGTTAAGGTTTAGTCTTAATATAAGTTTATAAGTTTCCGTAAGTTAGTTTACGTTAAGTCTGCTTCAGGTGGATTTCTTATGGACAGGACCAATCCTGAATGTATTGGTTTTGTGACCATGCTGCTCATTTGTCTTCAGTAGCAGTAAAGCTCTGCTGGATGAAAGAAACATTAGTTGCCTCTGGTCTATTTTGGGGAATGTTTAATTTTTTTCCTCCCCAGAAGATGCTGGGGCGACAGGGTCTCCTCCTCTTTTAAAGACCCCTCCCCATGGCCACCACCCCTGCTTCCTGTGGGTGGGAGTTCCACCATTTAACTCGGCGCTGCATGAAGAAGAAGAAGCCCTTTCTTTTCTCTGCCCTGAATCTTCCAACTCTCAACTTTGTGGGATGCCCACAAAGAGAGAGGGGAGGGAAGAAAAAACACTTTTCCGTATCCATCTTCTCCATGCCGTGCATCATTTTATCAATTTTATCTTCCTTTGTGGGTTGTGCAAACAGCTACTCTGAATATTGCTTTTTTACAGGGTGAGGGACATTTTATAATGTATATAAAACAGAGATAACAAAGTTGCACGCAACTTAAAATAACAATATCGCATGTACAGAGTGTTGACTGTATCAGATCAACAAATAAAGTTCCAGGTTTGCCAGGCTTGAAAAGGATGGTTCTGTTGTCTATGTCCTGAAAGAGTCCCAAATCGTATAAAAAGTGTCGGAAGGTTCCAGGCCTTGTCGAAATCTCAAATTACGTGTGTGTCTTTCCATGATAGAAAGCTCTCTTCCAGAGTGAGTGGAGCCAAGCATGCAGTGTGAGACTTGGGGCTGTTTAAGTCAAGTTACTCTGTAATCTCAATTTTGGACAGGAGGCAATAGTTTTCTAAGCAACATTTATCATTTCTGTCAAAATTGAACCTCAGGAGGGGAGAGAGTTGCTCTTGTGCCGGGATCCTGCTGGCCGGCCCCCAAGAGAAGAGGAGGCTGAGCTGGAGGAAAAGTCTTCTTTCCCCCGTGTTCCTCTAACACCTCTCTCTCTCTTTTCTAATACATTTTAAATATTTTTTTAACATATTAATTCCAACATTCATACAACATAACTTCTCATCCTATACAATATTTTTGGACTTCCATCAACGCCTCTGATGGTTTTCCATTATTTATCACATATTATGCATTTCTTAATTTCATATTACCTTTAATATCGTTAACTAATAATTCTCCTCATTGTCTTTTTTGCAATATTTCAAATAGCTCACCTTACAAAACTTCTTGCAAACCTACTAGCATAATCTGTTCATCACAATTACTTTTCAAATAGTCTGTAAATTTACTCCAGTCTTCTGAGAATCTCTGGTCCCGCAGGTTTTGAATCCTTCCTGTTAGTTTATCTAATTCTGCATAGTCCATCAATTTCATCCTCCATTCTTCTTTCATTGGTAGTTCTTCTTGCTTCCATTTTTGTGCCAATAATATTCTTGCTGCCTTCGTTGCATATAAAAACAACTTACAATCCTTTCTGTTTATATCATCTTCTACAATGCCAAGTAAAAATGCTTCTGGTTTCTTAATAAATGTATATTTGTCTGTCTCATTATATATCATTTCCCTGAGGTTTTTCATCCTCTGACCTCTCTCTGCCCCACAGACCTTGGGGGACCTGCTCCTGACCCTTTATGAGATGGGCTTCACTGAGCGGCAGGTGCGCGATGCCCTCCGCGCCGGCTGCCTCAGCGCCCCGGAGGCTGCCAATTGGTGAGTGGCTAGATGACCTCGAGGGTCCCCTCCAGCCCCCTCCCCTGCCCCGGGGGGAGACAGTTCTGCCGGCTGCGCTCCCGGAGGTGCTCCCCCCTCTCCCCTGACCAGCCCTGAACTCCCTGGCAGCGCAGGCGCTGGGGCTGCTCCTGCTTGACGGCCTCGTCGTCTCCTCCTCTCTTTCCCCAGGTTGCTGCAGGAGAGGCCGGAAGAGTCGCCGCCCGCCCAGAGCAAGCCTCCCAGAGCACTGAAGGACTGCAGGGCGATGGACGCCTTCAACCCCCCCAGGAAGGTCCAGGAGGCCTCGTCGGGGCCAGCAGCTGCCAGCCTGGGCTGCCCACCCTCAGGTGCAGAAGGGGCTCCCTGTCCGCAGCCTCTCCCCCCCGCAGGGGAGGCCCAGGGAGGCAGCCTGGGTGGGCCTGTTGCAAGTCCCCTTTGGGGTGGGCTTCCAGCACTCTCTATGCTCTCCCCCCAGGCGCCGGGGCGGAGGTGGCCGCCAAGGACCCCCCCGGGAGAGCGGGCAGCCAGGCTTTTGCTGAGCAGCAGCGGGAGCAGCTGGCGGAGGAGCTGAGGGCCGAGAGGAGGACCAAGCGGCGGGTGAGCCAGCTTTCGGGGGGGGGGGGCGTCCGAAGGTGGAGGGTCCTCATTGCAGCTGTTGCTGGGGAGGAACCAGCCCTGCCTTCCCGCCTCACGGCTCCCTTCCTTCCTCCCAGGAGCACGAGTTGGCCCTGCAGAGAATCGCAGACGACCGGCGGCGCATCCAGGGCAAGGCCCAGCTGGCGCAGGAAGCCCCCCCATCGGAGAAGAGAGCGCAGCCCCCCAGCGACGGGCAGTGCCTGCTTAGGGTGAGAGGAGCAGCAGCAGCCACGGGGGCCAGGAGGGAAGAGAGGAGGGAATTGCAAGTCTTGGGTGGGGGGCTCGATTCAGGGAGGGAGGGTTGTAGCGTTCCCTAAACTAGGAAGGATTGGACTCTGATTAATAGAATACATGCGAGACAAGACCAGCAAGACCAGCAAGGGGTGTGTATAATAATAATTCCTCTTGGCCCAGGTCATCTTATTCACAAAAGAACTTTTTACACAGTGTTCGTAAGAACCAATCAGATTTCCTCTGCGCATTTCAAAAAACCCCTCGTGGGACAAAGTCACATCAGGAGAAATTCTTTTAACTACAAAGAAACTATTTCCTACTTGAGCATGCATAGTAGTCCAGAGTAAATAAAATAGGAATAAAAGGAGGAATGCATTCAGCAAAACCCCAGAGGTCATAAACAGGAATAAACAGGAGAGACAGGATGGCAGGATTTACCATCTCCTTGTGAACTCTCTTCCTGGCCCTTAAGATCTATCTAAAGATTAAACAAAGGTCCGTACAGTTAAAGCCATGGTTTTCCCAGTAGTGATGTATGGAAGTGAGAGCTGGACCATAAAGAAGGCTGATCGCCGAAGAATGGATGCTTTTGAATTCTGGTGCTGGAGGAGACTCTGGAGAGTCCCATGGACTGCAAGAAGATCAAACCTCTCCATTCTGAAGGAAATCAGCCCTGAGTGCTCACTGGAAGGACAGATCCTGAAGCTGAGGCTCCAAGACTTTGGCCACCTCATGAGAAGAGAAGACTCCCTGGAAAAGACCCTGAGGTTGGGAAAGATGGAGGGCGCAAGGAGAAGGGGACGACAGAGGACGAGATGGTTGGACAGTGTTCTCGAAGAGACCAGCATGAGTTTGACCAAACTGCGGGAGGCAGTGGAAGACAGGAGGGCCTGGCGTGCTCTGGTCCATGGAGTCACAAAGGGGCGGACATGACTAAACGACTAAACAACAACAAAAGATTAAACTACATCAAAGTAACCTACTATCTTTATGTACTGAGGATGCCTGATGAAGCAACTGGCCTGTATTTAGAATGCTTATACATGCCTGTCATAGAATCATAGAATCATAGAGTTGGAAGAGACCACAAGGGCCATCGAGTCCAACCCCCTGCCAAGCAGGAAACACCATCAGAGCACTCCTGACATATGGTTGTCAAGCCTCTGCTTAAAGACCTCCAAAGAAGGAGACTCCACCACACTCCTTGGCAGCAAATTCCACTGTCAAACAGCTCTTACTGTCAGGAAGTTCTTCCTAATGTTTAGGTGGAATCTTCTTTCTTGTCGTTTGGATCCATTGCTCCGTGTCCGCTTCTCTGGAGCAGCAGAAAACAACCTTTCTCCCTCCTCTATGTGACATCCTTTTATATATTTGAACATGGCTATCATATCACCCCTTAACCTCCTCTTCTCCAGGCTAAACATGCCCAGCTCCCTTAGCCGTTCCTCATAAGGCATCGTTTCCAGGCCTTTGACCATTTTGGTTGCCCTCCTCTGGACACGTTCCAGTTTGTCAGTGTCCTTCTTGAACTGTGGTGCCCAGAACTGGACACAGTACTCCAGGTAAGGTCTGACCAGAGCAGATTACAGTGGCACTATTACTTCCCTTGATCTAGATGCTATACTCCTATTGATGCAGCCCAGAATTGCATTGGCTTTTTAGCTGCCGCGTCACACTGTTGGCTCATGTCAAGTTTGTGGTCAACCAAGACTCCTAGATCCTTTTCACATGTACTGCTCTCAAGCCAGGTGTCCCCCATCTTGTATTTGTGCCTCTCATTTTTTTGCCCAAGTGCAATACTTTACATTTCTCCCTGTTAAAATTCATCTTGTTTGTTTTGGCCCAGTTCTCTAATCTGTCAAGGTCGTTTTGAAGTGTGATCCTGTCCTCTGGGGTGTTAGCCACCCCTCCCAGTTTGGTGTCATCTGCAAATTTGATCAGGATGCCCTTGAGTCCATCATCCAAGTCGTTGATAAAGATGTTGAATAAGACCCAAGACAGAACCCTGTGGCACCCCACTAGTCCCTCTTGTCCAGGATGAAGAGGAACCATTGATGAGCACCCTTTGGGTTCGGTCAGTCAGCCAGTTACAAATCCACTGAGTGGTAGCATAGTCAAGACCGCATTTTACCAGCTTCTTTACAAGAATATCATGGGGCACCTTGTCAAATGCCTTGCTGAAATCAAGGTAGGCTACATCCACTGCGTTCCCTTCATCTACCAGGCTTGTAATTCTGTCAAAAACGAGATCAGGTTAGTCTGACATGACTTATTTTCCGAAATCCATGCTGACTATTGGTGATCACAGCATTCCTTTCTAGGTGCTCACAGACTGTTTGCTTAATGATCTGCTCCAGAATCTTCCCTGGTATTGATGTCAGACTGACTGGGCGGTAATTATTTGGGTCCTCTCTGTCAGGTGTAGAGAAAGCAAATGGCAGAGATGGAGAGGCTTGTGAGATTTGATCAGAAACTATTGTCAATTAATCAAACCCAGTCAACGCCATGCTTTCATCACGGACACAGTGGCTTCCTCCATGTTTCATAATTCCTCAACGCAATCCCACCTGATCCCCACACTCTGGATATTTGCATCCCAACAGAGGGTGTCTGCCTGTTTGCCGGGGTTGGGCTAGATGACCTTTAGGGGTCCCTTCCAACTCTACAGTTCTGTGATTCTTGGCTGGGGAGGGGGAGGTCATTGTGGCCTGAGGAGTGTAAGAGCCAGGCCGGATCCAAGGCCAGCCAGATGCCCCTTAGAGGATGCCTTCAAGCAATGCCCCGCAGTGGGAGACCCAGCCCATGGCTGCCCCTCTTCTCCCCACAGATCCGCCTCCCCTCGGGGGACTCCGTGCGCCAGAGCTTCCCGTCCGCCTCCCCACTGGAGGCCGTCCGCCTGCGCCTCCTGGAGCTTCACCCGCAGCTGCCGCCCGCCTTCTCCCTCCTGCAGGGCTTCCCCAAGCGCCACTTTGGGCCGGCCGACCTGCCCCGCTCCCTGGGGGACCTGGGCCTGGCCCCCAGCGCCACCCTCTGCGTGGTGGGGCCGCCGGCACCCCAGGCCCCGGCCTCCGAGGGGGTGGCGGGGCCTGAGTCCCCACTGCAGACCCCACAGGAGGAGGAGGAGGAGCAGGAAGAAGAGGAAGAGGAGGAGGAGGAAGACGAGGATGAAGAAGAAGAGGAGGAGGAGGAGGAGGGGATGGCAGGGCCTGGTCTCCCCACCCCAGAGGGGAGAGGCCTCTTTGCTCAGGGCGCCCACCTGCCTTCGGTCCTCCGCTCTCCGGCGCAGAGGGTGACTCCGGGGGACTTTGCGGGGCTGCACGGCCACGGGGAACTGGCCTTCCCTGAGCCCCACCGCTGGGGTAAGTATTCAGGAAGGGGCCTTTTGCTGTAATAATAATAATAATAATAATAATAATTTATTATTTGTACCCTGCCCATCTGGCTGAGTCTCCCCAGCCACTCTGGGCGGCTTCCAACAAAGATTAAAAATACATAAAAATGTCACACATTAAAAAAGTTCCCTGAACTTCAGATGTCTGCCTTCAGATGTCTTCTAAATGTAGTTGTTGATCTCTTTGACATCTGATTTGAGGGCGTTCCACAGGGCGGGCGCCACCACCCCTGTATGCCTCCAAGCTGCTCTGCTCTGCATCTGCCCGCTGAGCTCCCCTGGGTGTCGGCCAGGGAGCCCCTGTCCCCCATCCCTCCCTGGGGATGCCCTGGGGGTCTGCACCTGCCAAGCAGGGGCTCCGTCGCTCAGCCCCAGCCCCTGTTCTCCTAGGAATGAACGTTGTTCTAGTCCAGGTCAGGGGACATGTCAGAAGACGAGTAAGTCAGGCTCAATACTGGCTGCACAGGCTGGCAGCAGAGGCTCTCTTCAGGGTGTCGTCGTGGCGTTTAACTGAAGAGGAGAACAGCAACTGGCTGTGCCCCCTCAAGTAGAAAAGGCCAGAGGAAGGCGAAACAAAATGCTCTCTCTGTCCCCCTGCAGGGAGGGGCCACAGGATGGACGTGGAGGAGCCCATGGAGCAGGAGTCCTCGGCGGCCCTGAGGGAAGGAGAGGCTTCCGGGGGCCGGAGGCCGCCTCTGCCAGGTCGGCACCAGGGGCAGGAAGGGGGAAGGCCAGTGCCAGGAGGGAGGAGGCTCCAAGATCTGGCCTGCCTGAGTCACTGTAGAATTGGGAGGGACCCCTGAAGGTCATCCAGCCCAACCCACTGCAAGGCAGGAATCTCATGGTGGAGCCTCTGCTTAGAAACCTCCAAGGAAGGAGAGGCAGCAGTGCACCCTCCTCTCCTGGCCCCAATTAACGTCATTACAATGGGGAGAATGTGAATTGGGGGGGGGGGTTCCTAAACACTTCCTTGAGTATCAGCACCGCAAACGAAAACCCTGGCTGGTGGGGAACAGGGTGGGGTGGGGGCGAGGAAGCCAAGATGGGGGGGTCCCCTGATTTGCGGGGAAAGTGGGTCTACTCTTGAGGAGGGAGATCCCTCGCTAGGGTCGGGAGGCACTTCTGGAGAGCAGAAAGAAGGGCAGGGCGAAGGCCAGAAGGGGGGTGGGGTGGGGGCGAGGAAAGAACCTTGATCCTAAGTTGGGGGGGTCTTCTTTCTGTTTGAAGGCTCCTTGTCTTTTGGGGAACGCGCTCAGGGCCTCCTGGGGTCTCGGCACCAGTGGCCGGCGGAGGGCAACCTTTTGAGGTAGGGGCCTTGCCCAGCCTGGGCTATATGGGGGCGCTTGTTTTGTAGGGGGCGGGGGAAGGCCGGCTGGGAACATGGGGGGGCGGGAAGCAAAGCGAATGGGGGCGCCTGGGGGTCTTCATCGCCTGTCTCTTTCTGCCCCCAGGACGGCCGACGGAAGCCGAGCCGAAGCGCCCGCCCTCCCTCTGGCCGTGGCCCAGGCGGCCGAGTTGCGCCTGCAGCGGGTGAATGCGCAGGGCCCCGAAGGCGAGGAGAAGGCCTCTCTGGCCGCCACGTCCCCCCCAGGCCGCGCGGCCCCCGCAGTGCCCCCGCTCTTCCAGCTGTCCCTGCGAGGGGCCACAGCCCTCCTCACAGGTAGAGGGTTCTCACCGCAGCTTCCTCCTTCCTGCTGCTGCTTAATATCATTTCGATTTACCATATTTTTCGCTCCATAAGACGCACCTAGTTTTTAGAGGAGGAAAACAAGAAAAAAATATTCTGAACGAAACTGTGGATGTATGATTTTTGTGGTTCATGCTGTGGCCACAGACATGATATGTGATTTGACGGGGAGTTTGGGGTAGCCCAATGCAAAAATCCTGAGGATCCATGTGGATCCCTGCTTTGTAACCACGTTTTTGAGCCGTTGCGGCCCCACGAAACAGTGGGTGCGTGATTTTTTGGTGCCGTCTGTAGCCATGGACATGCTATGTGATCTGATGGTGAATTTGGGGCGACCCAGTGCAAAAATCCTGAGGATCCATGTGCTTTTACCTCCCCTGTCCCAGGCAGCATCTAGCTTCCCTTATCTCTCTCCCGATCCCACCGATCAGCTGCTTCCTTTCAACACTCCCTTCCCTCTTGTTTGCCTTAGTGTCTTTTCCTTAGCTGGAGCAGTTTTTTGCTCCTCCTTTTCTTCTACAGTGGTGCCTCGCAAGACGAAATTAATCCGTTCCGCGAGAGTCTTCGTCTAGCGGTTTTTGCGAAGCAACCCTATTAGCGGCTTAACGGATTAGCGCTATTAGCGGTTTAGCGGCTATTAAAGGCTTAAAGGCTTAGCGGATTAGCTGCTAAAAGGCTATTAAAGGCTATTAAAGGCTTAGCAGATTAGATAAAGGGGGGGGGAAGCGAAAAAAAAACCTCAAGACTCGCAAGACATTTTCGTCTTGCGAAGCAAGCCCATAGGGAAATTCGTCCTGCGAAGCAACTCAAAAACGGAAAACCCTTTCGTCTAGCGGGTTTTCCGTCTTGCGAGGCATTCGTCTTGCGGGGCACCACTGTAATTTCTCTCCTCATTGCTTTAATCTTTAATCCTGTCTCCTCTCCTTGCAAGTTCACTGTTTTTACCTCCCCCCTCCCTCCCGATCACTTGCTGATCAGCTGCTCAGCGGCTTTGTTTCAACACCCCCTTCCCTCTTTCTAAAAAAACCCCCATAATCTGCTTTTTGCTCCTGGGTGGTTCGGCTCCAGGGACCACGCATTCGCTCCATAAGACGCACAGACATTTCCCCTTACTTTTTAGGAGGAAAAAAGTGCATCTTATGGAGTGGAAAATAGGGTATATACCTATCTTAACCCAAAGGTCCCAGGGCCATGTGCAACATTCAGAGCATGATATTGCACAGGTTAAGCCCCTGCAAGACAGGGGTCTCCGGCCACAGAGGATTTAATGGCCAGAAGTCTGGGAGAAGAGGAATGCGCCTAGAGGTGTCTCATGAAGGCGCCAGGCGAGCCTCTCTGGGGAGAGCAGGGCACATGCCTTTGTCTTCAAAGGCAAGGGATGAGGAGGAGGAGAAGGAAAAGTTCTGGGAAACTCCAGCTGCTTAAAGCACCTTCACTGGCTTCCCATCTCCTCCCAAAGTCCTCATAAGGGTTTACAAAACCCTAAAGAACTTGGGTCTGGGGCACCTCAGGGACCCCCTGAACCCTTAGAATATGGCAGCTGTGTCACAGAGATCGTTGGTCCTTCTCCGGGGCTCATTGGACAACAACGAGAAACCGAGCCGTTAGTATCATCCACCCAGTCCTGTGGAACTCTCTGCCACTGGAGATCCAGTGGGCGCCTTCTGCGCCAACTTTTGAACACCTGCTGAAAACGTTTCAGTTAAGAAGACCTCCTTCCACAATCATTAATGGAGGCTTGCTTTTAGCTCTCTTGCTTTTATTATGCTCCTAGTCTGTGATTTTGTTGTTGTTCTGTAGTTCGAAAGCCCTCTCCGGCAGGGGTTGGCAAGGTTTACCAGCCGTGGGCTGGATCACTCCCACGGAGATTGTCTGTGGGCCGGACTGGCGCAGTGCAATGCCAGAAAACACGTCTGCACATGTCCGTGGTGCCGGAAATCACTTCTGTGCATGCCCAGACACCAAAAATTGCCCCTACGCAGAAGTGATTTCTGGCTTCTGGACCTGCACAGACGTGATCTCCAGTATCTGCGCATGTGCAGATGCGATTTCTGGCGCCGCTTGGGGAGTCCCCGCACCATGCTGTGCCGGTTTAGTGCAGTGTGCGGGGGACTCGCCAAGAGGCAGCTGCGTTCAGGGTCGGTAAAATGGTCTTTGTGGGCTGCATCTGTCCCATGGGCTGCACGTTGCCGACCCCTGCTCTACGGCTTCTGTCTAGGCTATCTGGAAGACGCATCTTCCCCAGAAGAACCCCCCTGGCTCTCTAGGTCCCCCCCCCCCACTCCCAGGCCCCTTGCTGGGGCAGGCAGGATGGGCCTTTCTGGTGGGGGCTGCTCCCTGGCAACTTTGGAACTCCCTGCCTGGAGAAGCCTCCCTCCTCGCTGTCCTGCTTTTCCTGACTTTTTCAAAAAGGAAAATGGGTATCCAGTGGTGCTGTGCTGTTTTTACTCTCTGCCCTTTAATAGATTTCCTGTTTTAGCTTGATTAGAGTTCAGTTCCTTTCTGATGGTGATCTTTTTTGGCTTCCTCTGTGGTGTGGTTTTCCTTTGGGTGAGCTGCCTGGGCTCCCCGCTCTGCGGGGGGGGGGAGGCGGGATCCGAACTCAGGTCTCCAACGTTTCCGTCCGCAGCGCCCAGCAAGCAGTACTGCAGCAGCCTGGCCTCGGTGACGCCGGTGCTGGCGGAGCACCTCCTGGGGCACCTGGGGCAGCAAGGCCTCCTCAGCCCCCGCAGCCTCAAGCTCTTCTTCGGCTGCCCCCTCCAGAAGCTGCGCCTCGACTGCTACCCCTACGCCACCAACCAGCTCCTGGCCCAGCTGCGGGCCTTTCCCAGCCTCCGCCACCTCAGCCTCCTCGCCTGCTCCGTCATCACCGGTGAGCGGGGCGGGGGCGGGATGGGCAGAGGGGCCCCCAGAGGTCATCCAGCCCAGCCCCCTGCAGTGCGGGATCTCAGCTAAAGCAGCACAGAATGGTGGGGCTGGAAGGGGCCCCCAGGGGTCATCCAGCCCAGCCCCCCGCAGTGCAGGAACTCAGCTAAAGCAGCACAGAATGGTGGGGCTGGAAGGGGCCCCCAGGGGTCATCCAGCCCAGCCCCTGCAAGGCAGGATCTCAGCTAAAGAAGCACAGAATGGTGGAGCTGGAAGGGGTCCCCAGGGGTCATCCAGCCCAGCCCCTGCAAGGCAGGATCTCAGCTAAAGAAGCATAGAATGGTGGAGCTGAAAGGGGCCCCCAGAGGTCATCCAGCCCAGCCCCTGCAAGGCAGGATCTCAGCTAAAGAAGCATAGAATGGTGGAGCTGGAAGGGGCCCCCAGAGGTCATCCATCCCAGCCCCCCGCAATGCAGGATCAGAGCTGAAGCATTGCTGACCGAGGGGGGGCAGAGAGGGTCTGGGCAGGAGGCTGCTCCACGGGACCTGAGAGCTTAGCTGTGGGAGGGGGCGGGTTCTGTGCTCTCAGCCCCCTGAGCTGACCCTCTTCCCCCATTTCTCCCCCCCCCCCCCAGACCAGGGCATCTCTGTGGTCCAGCACCTGCCCCGCCTGCAGCAGCTCAACCTCTCGGCCTGCGTGAAGCTCACTGACAACTGCCTGCAGTTTCTGAAGGGTACGTCACGGACACACACACCCCGTCCTGCTCTTTTGGCTTCTTCCTCTCCGCCTGCAGGATCAGGCCCATGAGAGCCTGCAGGATCAGGCCCATGGCCCACCTAGTCCAGCCTCCTCCCCCCCCCCGCAGCCCCCAGCAATGGGGATTCAGAAGCATCGCGGCCTCTGACTGCGGAGGCAGAGCCCGGGGCTTCTCCAGGAATTTATGTTCTGTTAAAGAAATCATATTCTGTATTAGTTTTCAATTACAGTCCAATAATAACCTCATTATAACAATGCCAAATTACAATGCAATGACTAATACCAATCATTCAGGTACCAAGTTATATAATTGAGGTGCCCCCCCCCCCAAGTGTGCTAGAATCGATGGTTTGGTGATTGACTTTATTTCTGCATTCCAAAATCATAGTAATTTCAATTACACTCCAGTCTAGATAACGATCCCTTATCCAACAACTGCAATATTAACAACCTCCCTTCGTATTGACACATGAAATGATGTATAAAGTTACAAGCGAGGCACTCAAACTATATTCTTATTCTTCCCGTGTGTGGCAGTTATTCTTTCCCTGATATTTCTTCCTGTCCTTGTAGAACGGTACGTCTGTATTTTCCCAGTTGTTGCTGTCCTCCATCACGCTTTGGGCGGAGCTAATATCCCATTGTAGTTTCAGAAATTCTCCATTGCTCTGTCCTGGGCTTCATTGTTTTGCAACTTTTAACAGCAACTGCAAAAATCACTCCTTCCCAATAAAAAGCCTTGTAGAGACTATTTTCCCTCTCTGCCTGGCAAGGAGAGCGGTACGTCAAACTGCAGATGACTCAATAATGAACCTTATCAGTTCCTTGGCAAGTTTTCAGGCTCCTTCCATCCTTCCGTCCGACTGAAGATAAATGAGCAGTTATACTCCCAATTAAATTAAATTCCAACTCCATAGATAATAAAGGATGGGAAGTTTCCATCGTAAACCTTTTGCAAAATAGAGCTTTCCTCCCTTTTTCCTTTTCTTTTTAACACACACCGTTCCATTTGATGTTATATTCCATACCTTCAATCCAGTTTCATCCCTCCTTACCTGTACATATATAATTTGAGTTAGCATTCATCTCCGTGAATTTATCTCATCCTCTTCAAATGCCACCCAAGTTCCTGTCTATTCCAGCCTCCGGTGGGAGGGAGTTCCACAGTTTAATCCTGCGCTGCAAGAAGGAGGAGTTGCTTTTAGCTCTCCCCATGAAAGGAGGGGCCTCTCGCCCTTAGGCTTTTGTTTTGCACCTGCATTTATGTATTAAATTTGTATACTGCCCCCTTGACCCGTAGATCTCAGCATAAAATTACAGTTCTGCTTTATTAACTTACTGATCACAGAATAAGATTTTGGCTTTAATTGTGACACTTAGCTTTATTTTTCACTTGTCACTTTTAAGGCAGTGTTTTATAGAACGTAATTGTTTCACTGATGAATATATGATTTAAGCTGCATTTGTGACGCTCTATTACGCTCTGTCGAGCCGTTATTATTACTGATTCTTTGCAAGGCGCTGTGGGAATAATTTGAATGAGAAATGGCAGAGAAATCTATGCTGTGAAGTGGCCTGAGAGCTACGGGGTAGAGGATTGGATACAAATTTAATACAATAACTAAATAAATAGGATTTTTTTTCAAAAAAAATATTTTATTAAGAATATTACAGTGAGTTAAATAAGAGAAAAAAGAAAAATAATACCTAAAAACATTCTAAAAGGCAGAGGAAAGTAACAACATGACAATAAAATATAATTAAGGTGACAGAACTATAATTGGTATCATCATAAATATAAGTAAATTCTAATATATATGTAAACAGTTGAGCTTGTTGTTTCCCTCAAGTATACATCAATTCATTGGTCACTGTGTTTTTCATAAATACGTTCCAAATATCATTAATTTTGTCCATTCGATAATCTTTGGTCCGTGTCGCTGGGTTTTCTGTGCCCGGCAAAAAGATTGGCATGGATGCCTTGGAAGGACGAGGCCCATTTGAATCGATGGAGAAATGAATGGGCGTGTGATGGATCCGGCCCCTGCTTTCCCCGCAGGGCTCCCCCAGCTGTCTCACCTGGCGCTGGACCAGACGCACGTGACGGATCGGGGCCTGGGCGAGTTCCTGCTCTCGGCGCCCCCCTCCCTCGCCCACCTGAGCCTCAACCAGACGGGCATCACGGACGGCACCCTCAGCTTGCTGCCCCAGTGCGCCCCCCAGCTCTGCACCCTCAGCATCAAGCAGACGGTCGTAAGTGGCCCCCGCAGCCTGGAAAAGGGCCTTCTCCCGGGGGGGGGGAGCATGGGACGGGTGCAGCCGGCTGGCACCTGGGGGTGGGGGTCCTCTCTTGGTCCTGTGTGTGATGGGGGGGCTTTCCCAACCACGCCAGTGTGATGTAGAGCGTTGGGCCCGGGAGACCCGAGTTCAATTTCCCCCTCCACCGTGACGCTCGTGGGAAGACCTTGGAAGCCGCCTCAAGCTCCTCGGGGTTTAAGCGCAGTGAAATATTGCCCTTTTAAAATGTGCTTTTTTGGGGGGGTATTGGGTTGTTCTTTTATTTTTATTCAGCATTTTGTGGTTTTATGTCTTGATTTTGTTCTGTGAGCCGCCCTGAGACCCCTGGGTATAGGAATATATATAAATTAAATTCATCATCATCATCATCATCATCATTCAACCGGCCGCATTGTGTTGCTTCCGCAGGTGACGGACGTTTCAGCCCTGCGGCGCCTGGAGGGTCTGCAGACGCTCCATCTGGACGGGACCCCGGTGAGCGAGGCCTCCCTGCGGGCGCTCTCCTCGCACCCGGCACTCTCCACCCTGACGCTCTCGGGGGTCCAGTCGGTGGACGGCAACACGGCCCTGGAGCTGGTCTCAGGTGCGGTGTGGGGCGGGGGCTGGCTGTGCCCCTCAGGCCTTTGGGAAAGGCCCCTTTGTCTCTTTGCCCGTGGGTGCTGTTCCCACCCGGGGAAGCACAGCCCAAGACGCTTTGCCAGCAGAGGCTGGAGAGGCGATTTGGGCACCAGGAGGGGGCGGGGGGTGTTGCTGTGGGTACACAGAAGACGCCCCCTTGCCAACAGATCCCCCCATAACAGCTTCCTCTGGGCAACAAGGGCGCATTAGAATCACCGACTTCTAGACTTGGAAGGGACCCCCAACGGTCATCTAGACCAACCCGGAATGAAATGCAAGATAGGAAGTAGGAGCACGGAGCTTCGCTGGCAGCTGAGGCAGGACGTGTGGCTTACTATTAACATTGGTTTATAACTGGAATTATTACTGTTAACGTTTTGCTCGCCCTGAGGTCCCAGGCTGCAACAATTGAAAATGCAGTCAAACCTCGGTTGTCCAACGTAATCCGTTCCGGAAGCCCGTTCGGTTTCTGAAACGTTCGACAACCGAAGCGCGGCTTCCAACTGGTTGCAAGAGCTTCCTGCGCTCAAGCGGAAGCCGCATCCGACGTTCAGCTTCCGAAAACTGGAGTGTTTGCTTTCGGGTTTTCAGTGTTTGGTAGCCGAAAGGTTTGGAAACGGAACGGAGGTTTGACTGTGCAAGACTGAAAAAGCATGTTAAGCCACCTTAGCTGGGACCTGGAAAGCTGCCTCCCCAAGCCCAGCCCCAGTTTGGGGACTCTGCCCCAAAGCTCCCCTGCAGCCCAACTCTCAGGCACTCGCCTGGGGCAAGCAGCCGTGTCCTCCAGGCGAGCAGCCCTGCCGAAAAGGAGCCTGTGCTGCAGAGGCCACGAACAGAGCCAGGAGCGGCCCCTGGCACCCTCTCCGGTTCTGGCTTCCCTGGCCACCTTGTCCGGGAGTCTGTGTTGGAGCGGTGGCCCCCACGTCCCCCGAGGTTGGGGGGAGCTGCGCTGGGGTTCCCGGCTGGCTTGGAGGCGCTTCCACGTGGCAACCCACCCCTCGGGGCTCTTTCTTCAGGTCTGCCCGCCCTCTCTCAGCTGGCCTTGCCCAGCCGCCACACGGTCACTGACGCTGGCCTGGCCGCCCTCTGCCGCCTGGCCGGGCTCCTGGAGCTGGACCTGACGGACTACAGCCACATCACTGACCAGGGGCTACAGCACCTGCCCCGGCTGAGCAGGTGAGGAATGGGCGCACGGATCCTGCCCCCCCCCCAGCAAGGCCGGGCTCTGCACTCCAGCCCCCTTCATAGCAGGCCTTGCTCCCTGGGCAGCGGTCCAAGCTGTGGGGTTGGGGATAGATCCTGGGAGATTTCTTAGAGATTACCCTTTCTGCCTCACGTTAGGGAGTTCAGCAGAGGGTCTCCTTTTGCAGCTTAAAAAAGGAAGCTTTATTGGCTAGTGTTAGTTGTTAATATTAATAATATTATCATTATTAGAGGTCTGCTCTGGTCAGACCTCACCTGGAGTACTGTGTCCAGTTCTGGGCACCACAGATCAAGAAGGACACTGACAAACTGGAACGTGTCCAGAGGAGGGCAACCAAAATGGTCAAAGGCCTGGAAACGATGCCTTATGAGGAACGGCTAAGGGAGCTGGGCATGTTTAGCCTGGAGAAGAGGAGGTTAAGGGGTGATATGATAGCCATGTTCAAATATATAAAAGGATGTCACATAGAGGAGGGAGAAAGGTTGTTTTCTGCTGCTCCAGAGAAGCGGACACGGAGCAATGGATCCAAACGACAAGAAAGAAGATTCCACCTCAACATTAGGAAGAACTTCCTGACAGTAAGAACTGTTGGACAGTGGAATTTGCTGCCAAGGAGTGTGGTGGAGTCTCCTTCTTTGGAGGTCTTTAAGCAGAGGCTTGACAACCATATGTCAGGAGTGCTCTGATGGTGTTTCCTGCTTGGCAGGGGGTTGGACTCGATGGCCCTTGTGGTCTCTTCCAACTCTATGATTCTATGATCATTATGGGGTTTTGTTTTGTTTTGTTTTTTAAATGATATTTATTAAAGTTTCAATAAAAAATTAAACATAAAGCATAAAAAAGAAATACACAATTAAAGTTTCAGTAAAAGATTAAACATAAAGCATAAAAAAGAGATACACAATTCAAAATATACAATACATAATCTAAAAGAAAAAAAGAAAATCAAGAAACACTCATTAATATATGATTTAAGCTGCATTTGTGACGCTCTGTTACACTCTGCCGTGTCGTCATTATTCCTGATTCTTCGCAAGCCAATGTGGGAATAATTTGATTGAGAAATGGCAGAGACATTTATGTTGTGAACCGCCCTGAGATCTACGAGGTATAGGACAGTATACAAATTAAATTAAATTAGGTTTTTTAAAAAAATATTATTTTATTAAGAGTATTACAGTCAGTTAAATAAGAGAAAAAGAAAAAGAATACCTAATAATAGTTTATAATTTATTATTTATACCCTGCCCATCTGGCTGGGTTTCCCCAGCCACTCTTGGCAGCTTCCAACAAATTAGTAAAATACAATAGTCCTTCAGATATTAAAAAACTTCCCCAAACAGGGCTGCCTTCAGATGTCTTCAGAAAATCAGATAGTTGTTTATTTCCTTGACATCTGATGGGAGGGAGCCACCACTGAGAAGGCCCTCTGCCTGGTTCCCTGTAACCTCACTTCTCACAGTAAGGGAACCACCAGAAGGCCCTCAGTGCTGGACCTCAGTGTCCGGCAGAACGATCTGGGCTGTGGGGTCCAGAGGCCGTCTTTGGCCACGAGACTGGGGGGTCCGATTGCCCGACCTGAGGCTCTTCCGCTGTTCTTGCAGGCTGCGCCGCCTGTCTCTCTGCAACACGCTGGCCACGGACCTGGGCCTGCGCCACGTCCAGGGGCTGCCGCTTCTGGAGGAGCTGTGCTTGGACCGCCTCAACGTCTCCAGCGCAGGGGTGGCGCGCTGCATCGTCACTCTGCCCCACCTGCAGGTACGGCCGGGAAGGGAGCTGTGCCAAGGGGGGGCTCAGCCGCTTCTGCCCCTGGGGGAGCAGCAGGCGCTGGGAAAGGGCTCCTTCCCTCCTCCAAGCTCCTCTCTTTGGGCGGCTGCAGAGACACAGAGAGGGAGAGCCCTGGGGCGGGGCAGGCATGAGAGCCCCAGGGGCCCTGCCCCCCCCCCACTTTATCATCTTCCTCCCCCCCCCCAGGTGCTGAGTCTTGCCAGCACGCCGGTCGGAGACACAGTGGCGCGCCTGGGCATCTCCCGCTGCAAGCAGCTGCTCAAGGTGAACCTGAGTCGCACCCGCCTGACGGACCGAGGTGAGTCCTGGCCCCCCAAGGCTTTTCTGGCCCTCAGCACCCCCTGGCCAGAAGCGGCGTCCAGAGCAGCAGTTTGCACAGCCCACTAAGAGAGATGAAACGCGGCAACATTCGAAACCGCAACGGCTGATTGCACATTCACTCAAAATCCGATTAAAGCCCTTTAGTTCCATTAATTAATTTGGCAAAGGAGATGAGCTTGATCTGGAGATACCGGCTCTCCAAAGCCTCCCAGCCGTTGGCATCTCCAGGGCTCCCCCCCCCCCCGCCTGTTCACTTTGGGGGACGCCACTAGAGAACAGCTTGGCAGGGGGCTGGCCTGCGGTGCCAGTGCCGGCACAGAGATGGGAAGCAGAGGACACCCCCCATTCTCTGTGGGGGGGTGTGGAAAATAGAACCAGAATGATAAGAGTTGGAAAGGGACCCCCAAGGGTCATCCAGCCCAACCCATGGCAATGTCAGCGTCCCTGACAGCTCTGCTGAAAAACCTCCAACAAAGCAGAACCCACTGCTTTTCCAGCTGCACTGGCTCCCGTTGGAGTCCAGGGTCAGATTTAAGGTGCTGGTTTTGACCTTTAAAGCCCTTCACGGCCCAGGACCCTTGTACCTACGGGACCGCCTCTCCCGGTCTGCCCCACGGAGAGCCTCAAGGTCCATAAATAGCAACACCCTAGTGGTCCCGGGCCCTAAGGAAGTTAGATTAGCCCAACCAGAGCCAGGGCCTTTTCAACACTGGCCCCGGCCTGGTGGAACGCTCTGCCTCATGAGACCCGGGCCCTGCGGGATCTGATTTCTTTCCGCAGGGCCTGTAAGACAGAGTTGTTCCGCCTGGCCTTTGCCTTGGAATCAACTTGATCCCCTCCTCCTCTTTCCTTTTTCATTTCTCCTTCTGTGACGGAACTCCTATTTGGGGACTTCCCTGGCTTTTTTTCTGGCCCATGTAGGACCAGTCTGGATAGTTGGCCTTGGTGAAGATTTGACATTTTCATCCCCCAAAAAACGTTTCTGATTTGAGTTTCCATTGAAATTAGGCTGCATTTTAATGTTTTAATGCTGTATTTTAATCTTGTTTTTAAGTTGTATTTCGATCAATTTTTTTTTATATTGGGTGTTAGCCACCCTGAGCCCGGTCTTGGCTGGGGAGGGTGGGTTATAAATAAAAATTATTATTATTATTATTATTGCCGGGAGGGTTGAACAGATGACTCTTGGGATCCCTTCCAACTCTACCGTTCTGTGATTCTATGATTCCAAGGCTCTTTCTGCCCTTAGTCCTCCCTGGGGGGCACAGGCCAGGACAGGGTGGAGAGTTTGCGGCAGGAAGAGTCTGTCTTGCCCGGCTCCTGCCCAGCTGCCTTTTGCCCCCTCCGCTCTCTCCGCAGGGCTCCGCTTCCTGCGCCACGTGCCCCTGCTGCAGCTCAACCTGGACGGCTCCGGCGTGACCTCCGAGGGGGTGTCTGCCCTCCTGGCCGCCTGCCCCGCCCTCAGCAGCGTCCGTGCCAGCCACCTGCGCACCTTGCCCTCAGAGGACGTCTCGGATGAAGAAGGAGAAGGACCCGGCTAGGCCAGCAAGGCCTCCTCCTCCCCCCCGGCCCCTCCCTCGACGCATGGCGCACTTTCTTCTGCCCCCCCCCCCACTTCTCTTCCCGCGTCTCTGAGGGTTTGGCGGGGTCGGGCTCCCTGCAGGGCTGGACTTTCCGCCTCGGAGTCGCCCACGTTCTCAGCGCCCTCGTCATCACCGCACCAGGTCCGCTGGGAAGCCTGCCTCCGCGGACGAGGCTTGTCCTTCACTCGTCTTCCAGTCTCCAGCCTGACTTCTTGTTTCCCTCACCTGTAGCTGCACGATGGGTGTTTCTTTCCTTTTTTAAAAGAAGAAGAAATCCATTTTGAAAGCCCCAGGCTCTTAATTCCTGGGGGACGCAGAGAAGGAGGAGGGAAGGGGGAGCAGAGGGCCTGGGATGGAGGAGGCCGGGACCCCCATTTCTGAAGATGCCTGACGCAAACGGTGCAGTCCTCCCCCACCCCCAGCAGAGGCCCAGAGGAGTCCTGGGGGGCAGGGGGGGCACCAAATGGGACGCAGAACTCCTGAAAAAACTTCTCTGCAGCTTGTGCCTTAACAATTTCCAATAAAAAAACATTGACGGGTCTCCTGATTGTGTTGCCTCTGAATGCTTCGCTGGCTTGGATCGGGATGGGGAGCCTCCAGCGACCCTCCAAATGATCCCCATCAGCCCACTGGCCATGCTGGGAGCCCCACTGGGATGGTGCCCAGTCAACGATGCCAGGGCTGCCCCTCTTCCACTGTGGGGCCAGACTGCCTTCCTCCTCCTCCTCTTCTCTGCACCTCAGGCTACTGTGAAACCTTTCTGATCCCACATTCCCTGCCCCCTAAAATAGGCACTGCAGTGTGCATAGTTAGCCAGTGGAATTCCCTGCCACAGGATGGCACGATGGCTACCAGTTTAGACGGAGTAAAAAGGTTGGGCAAATCTTTGGGGGAGAGGGCGGCTAGCACAATGGCTTCCTCCAGGATGAGAGGTGCCGTCCCTCTGAAGGCCAGTTGCCCTCCAGTGGGGCAAGAGGGGCGTTAATTGGCCATCCAAGGAGGGATTGGGCCGGCCATGGGGGGCTGAGACAGCAAGGTGGTCCTTAGGTTCTGCAAAGGTTGCGTAAGTGAGAAAGCAAAATTCGCACTCAGTCCACACTCCTGGAGGGAGGGCAGGACGATTTCCTCTGCCCCTCCCTTTGCACGGCCTGTCCTGTTGCTGGTGCCTCTTCCCACCCTTCTGGCACCCGCTTCCTCCTGGGCCACCTGTTGGGGGGGCAGGCAGTCTTGGGAATCTGAGGCGAGAGGCCCATGTAAGGGAAGTTGCCCCCAGTTGCAGTCACCATTTGGAGAGCTCTGGCGTTGCGATTCCTGCATTGCAGGGGGTTGGCCTAGATGACCTTTGGGGGTCCCTTCCAACTCTACGGCTCTCTTCCTCTGAGCCACCGCTCCAGCCCAAGGCGCGCCCAGAGCCGCCTTGGGTCCCCCTGCTCCCTGCCAGACCCCTCCTCTGGAGTCCCCGGCTGCTGTTGGGTCTCGGGGGGCGGGCCTGGCTGGCGGCGGGGCGGGGAGGGGGCTGGCCGAGGACCCTTCCCTGCGCGGCGTGGTCCGGAGCGGGGCGCGCGCGGAGCCGCCTCCTTGGCGGAGCCGGTTCCGCAGCAGCAGGAGCCGCAGACTGCGAAAGAGGCGGCGGCGGCGGCGGCAGGCAGTGAGCCGATGAGGCGCGCAGCTGAGCCTGCCGCATCCACCGCAGAGCCCCCCGCGCTGCGCCTCTGCCCGGCCGCCTGCTGCGCCCTTGCGGGGCTTTCTCCGGCAGGAGGGCGAGGCTGCGCTCGCAGGACCCCCGGCCCGTGGCGGTGACTGGGGAGGGCGAGGCTGCCGCCCCCTCGCCTCGCCTCCCGGGGATGGGCGCTGCGCCGGAGAGAGCCCCCGGCAGCGCCGCGCAGGGCGCCCAGGCCACGGGCGCCGGGCCAGCGGGGAGCGCGCCGCGTGGCAGCGGGGGGTGCGCGCCTGAGCGGCGGCAGCAGCAGCAGCAGCAGGTGGGGCTGCGCGGCGCGCGGAGGCTGCGCGGGGGGCGCCCCTCCGGGAGATGATGCCATGATGCGGGAGGTGCCCGGGGTTGGCATGGCCCGCGGGGAGCGCCTGCCCGGCCTGCAGGCCTTCGCGCGCGGCTCGTCCCTGCACGGGCTGAGCCACCTCGTGGCGCACGGCTCGCGCTCCCTGCGCCGCCTGCTGTGGGCGCTGGCCTTCGGGGGCTCCCTGGCGCTGCTGGCGCTGGTCTGCGCCGAGCGCGTCGCCTACTTCCTGAGCTACCCGCATGTCACCAAGCTGGACGAGGTGGCCGCGCCCAACCTCACCTTCCCCGCCGTCACCCTCTGCAACCTCAACGAGTTCCGCTTCTCCAAGATCACGCGCAACGACCTCTACCACGTGGGCGACCTGCTGGCCCTGCTGGACGCGCGCCACGAGGTGGCCCCCCTGGGCGACCCCGAGCTGCTGGCCGCCCTGCGGGACAGGGCCAACTTCAGGGGCTTCAAGGCGCGCCCCTTCGACATGGCCGACTTCTACAACCGCACCGGGCACGACCTGGCCGAGATGCTCTGGCAGTGCACCTTCCGAGGCGCCAACTGCAGCGCCAGCAACTTCACCGTGGTGAGGGCCGGGGGCCGGGGCTGGGGAGGGCAGGGCGCCGGGCGCCGCCGGGGAGGGCCCGCAGGGAGAGGAGAGGGGACCGCGCAGCGCCCGCGCTCCCGTCCCGCTTGCGCGTTTCCCGCGGAGGGTGCCGGCTGCGGGGCCACTGAGGGAACGGGGTGCGGGGCTAGGCTGCCCCCCGCGGGCCGGATCCGGCGGGAGGCTCTCCTTAAGTATGGTTGCTGGGAAGAGGGGTCCTACCGTCGGGCAGAGGGAGGCAAGGTCCCGGGACAGTAGGGGCAAGCAGCCCTCTTGGCAATTCTTCCTGCGGGTCCCACCTGCTGGAAGAGAGAGACACACCTGTCACCTTGTGTGGATGGGGGACGCTCGCCTCTTCCCAGGGTTTGGGGTCAGGAAGGGGCAGACTTTGGACATCTTTGATAATTTGGGAACCTCAGCGTGCCCAAAATTTGGGACGCCCAAATGGATGTTCTCAGTTATAGATCTTCTCAATTTTGGGCTCAGCACTATGTGGGGGGGACGGGACCGCATGCACACCTTGAATTCAGCATCAGATCAGGGCAGCAGTCAGCCCGGATTAGGGGCTGCCATCCTGCCCTTCACCTCAGGCAGCTAAATTTGGTTCAGCCCTGGGGGCTTGTCAAGCAAAGAGCAGCAAATGCCTTCCCAGGGAGGATTTGAACCCAGGACTCCTGGCTTCCAGCACAACTCAGGATTTGGGGAGCCAAATCGCCACCTCAGCCGGCATTCCCCAAACCCTGCGCTCCCCCCTCCTCTTCCTCTTCCCTCCTGGGCCCTCATTGCCTGCTCCTGGGGCTGCCCTGTGCCATCAGAGGTTTCGCTCTTCTGGGCCCAGGTAGGATCCCAAGTGGGGTGTCAAGGGGGGCAGGGGGATGGGGTGGGGTGTGGCCCCATCCCAGGAAGAAGCCTGCATTTAGCAAGGCCGCATGAACAGCCCTATTCATGGGGGGTGAGCTGTAAGACAGAGAACTGGCCTGAGCCTTCTAGCAAACCAGCTCTGGGCACAAACAGGCATCCACCTGCCCCTGTACCATCCTGAGCACAAGTGGGCATCGGTGTGCAATGAAAGGGGCGTGGGGGGAGCCTCGGGGTTGACTTAGCTGGACCAAGGCTATTTGGAGACAGTGGGCGCTGGGCTTGCATCTCCTCTGAGACCTCTTGAGGCAGGTCCCTTGGGGTCCCCAGCTGAAAAGGGAGCACAGCAGCCCTGCAGTGGGGGCCACAGCCACAGCCCTCTGCTCCTGGTGCAATGGGGCACCTGGGAGCAGCTGCAGGAGGAGGCAGGTCTGCTTGTGGGGGAGCTGGGGGGTGAACAGGAGAGCAGAGAGGGCTGCCTTGCTTAGGGTGCTGCAGGGAGAAGCTGTCAAGGAGAGGAAGGGAGTCTTCTGGTGGGGAGAGGCGGGAAGCCAGCCATTCCCCGGGGCTGGGGGGCTCAGAGGCCCATTCCCTGCAGTGGAGCGAGATCAGCCCCCACCCCACCCCATGAGCAAAAGCCCCATCTCATGAACCAGCAGGCCCCCCTCCCCAGATTCTGAATATGCAAAACGGGGTGCCGCCTTGAATAAAATATTGGGGGAGCCCAGGTAAGCTCTGCCCCACATAATTGATTCCAAGGCATGGCACATTTGAATGGCAATGCGCACCAGTGTTGTGGGGCCCCGGCCTCCCCAGGAGTTGGCTCCTATGGGGAGTTCTCTATAAGGGGCAGAGCTGTTTCCACTGGGGGGGTTGTTGTGGGGGCTGCTTTGTCTCAATGGATACCGGGTGGGGGTCCCTCACTTCAGGGGCTGCGGAGTGTGATCCTCTGCCTCCCCCCCCCCCCATTCCACCCACAAGGAGGTGAGGGATGCTAGGCTGGTTGATCAAAAGGGGGGGCAGAACTCAGGGGGGGCACATAGAGGCCCAGGAAATTAAGGGATTGGTTGGGAGGACACCAGAAGGCGGTCCGGGCAGTGGGGAGTCAGCTGAGCTATGGGGAGAGCAGGAGTGAGGGGGATGGGCAGGGCCTTGCTAAGGCCACAGTGAGTACAGGGGGGGCAGGGGGCCAGCTTGAGTAAAATATGGAGGGGCAGGTAAGCCCCACCCTGCATAACTGGTCACAAGACATAGTGCAGGCACACAGTTCTCCATCCAGGATGGCTCTGCTCTGCCTCCACAGTCACTGTCTCCCAATCCCACAGGAGGGGGGGGAGGGCTGCCCCTGTGGTCGGATCCTGCCTGGGGGCTCCCCATTGTGCCTGCGATAACAGGAGGCTGGACTAGGGTGGCCTAAAATCTTATGTTATGAAGTTTCACTGTGAAGCCAGTCGGATTGTGGAGGGGTTGGGCCAGGGAGGGGGCAGCTCTTCCTCCTCATAGAGACACCCCCCCTCAAACTCCGGCTTTCCAGTTCATCTTAAACGTACCCCAGGGTATGGCTGCAAATCTCTCACCAGCACCCCCAAAAACTATGAAATGTTGCCCCTGGGCACTGCTTAGTATGCCCCAAGGAGGCTGGGGGCGTCTTGGAAAGTGGGGGGTGGGGAGTTGAATGGAAAGGACAGCCGCTCCTCTGCCAGGCCCCCTTCCCTCCCCAGACACCTGAGGCTTGGAAGACTAGATGGCCCTTGAGGGTCCCTTCCAACTCTTCAGTTCCATGATTCTGTTTTTCCTGCCACTGGGACACCCACCTGCCCCAGAGGAATGACCCTGATTCTGTCTTGGACCCCCAAATTCCTCCCCTCTTCTGCCCACCTCTTAGAAAACCTTCCCACCCACCCCCCAATCTGGCCCAGTCCAGGGGCCCCTTCTGCCAGGGGGGCAACCAGGGACTCCTTTGCAGGGGGGCAGCATGCAAAGTCTCCCTTTTTGGGGTAACAGGTTTATTAATTGCCATTGGCCACGACAGCTGGAAATGGACCTTCCATGGCGAGAGGCAGTCTACCTCTGATGACTGTATGTGGGGAGGCCAAAGAGCAGGGGGAGAGAACTGCTTTGGTGTGCGCTTTGGGGGCTGGGGGGGCTCAGGGGGCCCCGAGTTTGCCTTGAAAGAAGCTTCTCCTTCCGTCTGGATTGCCCAGATCAAAAGCTGCTCACAAGCTGCTGCCCTGGGCAGGTGGCTCAGTAGAGGAGACCCCAGAGTCTCCTGCCCCACAGCCAGGGGGCCCTCTGCAGTTTGCCTGTGGCTCCCCCCCCCCCGCCCCATTGCACTTCCTCCAAAGCACTCGTTGCCTTGACAACATCCACTCCTTCCTGGGACAATCCGTTGCCATGGTGAATTTGCCCATCTTCAAGGCAACTGAGCTTGTTGCCAGAGCAGCAGCTGCTCCCTCCCCCCCCCCCCCGGGTCGCTTGTGGGGAAGGGTCCTGCAGGCTCCAGCTGGATAGCCATTGTGGGGGAAGCATCTCACGAGAGGGGGCAGCCTGCCAAGGAAGGTGCCCAGAGTGTGGTTTTACACACACACACACACATGCACAAATGGCAGTTTCTTCCCTTAGCCAAAAAAAGGAAGAAAACACCTGCCCTTCTGGATCGCTCCTTCTGAGAAACCGGGGGCCGTTCCTGGTCTCATCTGGCCCCTTCACCCATTTCTGCTCTTCTGTGAAACCCAGCCAGATGGGCGGGGTATAAATAATAAATTATTATTATTATTATAAGAGGCCATCGATTTATTGATTTCTGCAGGGGTGTTTTCAGACGCCCTGAGCCGCTTCCTATCCCTTCCCCAATATTCGCTCTCACACAAACACCCTTTGCTTTTTAAAAAAACACACCAACACACCGGCTGCAATTAGCTCTGTGTTTCTGCACTATTGATCCTTCCAGACTCAAGGGGGGGGGGGCGGATTGCCACCCAGCAAATGAGCTCCCTGCACAATTAAGCCATTTCATCCCAGAGCCTCGCTTTGCCCTCCTCCTCCTCCGCTCTGCCTGCCTGAATTCCTTGCAGACGGCTTGAGACTCAATTACCTTGAATAATTCCTGCAAGTTTTGCCACTTCAGAGGAGGAAAGTTGCTGAGTAGCCGGGAGGCAGCTGGGCAACAGCCTGTTTCTGGGCTGCCATCATAAAACTCTCTGTATTCTAAAAAGAAGTACCGTATTTTTCGCTCCATAAGACTCACCTGACTATAAGACGCACCTAGTTTTTAGAGGACGAAAACAAGAAAAAAAATATTCTGAACGAAATAGTGGATGTATGATTTTTGTGGTTCGTCCTGTGGCCACAGACATGTGATCTGATGGTGAATTTGGGGTGACCCAATGCAAAAATCCTGAGGATCCATGTGGATCCGTGCTTTGTAACCATGTTTTTGCACCATTGCAGCCCCACGAAACAGTGGATGCGTGATTTTTTGTGTGCAGGCTGTAGCCATGGGCATGCTATGTGATCTGATGGTGAATTTGGGTTGATCCAATGCAAAAAGCCTGAGGATCCATGGGCTTTTACCTCCCCCCTCCCAGGCAGCCTCCTTTATCTCTAGAGTCCCTTATCTCCCTCCCCAATTGGCAAACAATCAGCGGCTTTGTTTCAACACCCACTTCCCTCTTTCAAAAAAAGGGGGGGGGAGCATGACCTGCTTTTTGCCCCTGGGCAATTCGGCTCCAGGGACTACACATTCGATCCATAAGACGCACGGACATTTCTCCTTACTTTTTAGGATGAAAAAAGTGTGTCTTATGGAGCGAAAAATACGGTACTTCTCCATGAAGCACCTGACTCAACTGTGGCCCTCATGGCCACTCGCTTCATGGTCTAGTGGGCATTTGAACCCTGGTTTCTTCCAGGTCCTAGTCTGGTACTCTAACCGTTATTGGCTGTTTTTGCATGTTTTTAAGCAAAAACTGGCCTCGTTCCCACCTCCTAGAACTCAGTTACAGAGAAAAGAAAGCCTTTCTTCCTGAGTTAAACTGTGGAACTCGTTCCCGCAGCAGGCAGATATGGCCAGCAACCTGAATGGCTTTTAAAGGGGGTTAGGCAAATTCATGGAGGAGGAGAAGGCCACCGATGGCTATGAACTGTGATGGCTGTGCTCTAACTGCTAAGTGGCTGGACCTGATCCACCAGGCTCTCCTTAGGTCCTTGGGAGGCCTCTCCCTGCCTCCTCCCCAAAGCTGAATCGTCCAGGGTGCAGCTGGAGCAAGGGCACCAGGACTCGAGTCCCCAGAGCCTGAGCTTTCTTTCAAAAAATGAAATGAATAAAACATCCGTCTGCAGCCCACCTGGAAGCAAAGTTAGGCATCAAACTGTGCAGGGCACCCACCTGACTGGAGAGCAGACTTTCTCCAGGACACGATGGCTTCCTCTTGTTCTGCAGAGCAGGTCCAGGAGTTGGAAGGGACACTGGGCAGCCCCCTCTCCCCTTCTGTTTGGGGTTGGTGCCGCACACAGAGGCCATCCTGCTTTCTGCCATTGTGGGCTTTGCGGAGGGTGTTTGGGGGCAGAACATGGCAGCAGACTGGGGGCAGGGGGCATGTTTTGCTGTCCGGAAGGGCTCTTGAACTGGGGCGGGGGGGGGAGAAAAAGACAGGAGAGATGGGGCTTCATCCCTGGCTTTGCCTTGCCCCCTCACCTGTGCACTGGGGAGAAGCAGGGGGCCCCACCTGCCTGCCACTGGTGCTGGTGGGGAGCAGATCTCGAGCTTTGCCCCAAAGGGGAGGGGGGAAGAGGTGGGGTGGTGATGTCCCTTTTTGCTGCCTTGTCCTTTAGAAGAGGAGGAGAAGGAGGCCGGGGGCGTCTCTCACCCATCTTGTGTGCAGATTCTGACTGTGCAATCCAGCCATGGATTTGCAGAGCTTTTACTGTGTTGAAACCCTCCCTCCCCCAATAAACCTTCCCTTGTCTTTCTCACCAACCGCCCACTAGCCATATTTCTGAAATGCCATTTTCACAGTGATTGACAGTGCACTCCTGTGCCTACTCAGAAGTAAGTCCCATTGAATTCAGCAAGGCTTACTTCCAGGTATGTGGGGTTGGGGTTAGGACTGCAGCCCAAATATTTGAGAATCTGAGTCATTTGCACCTTGAAAATCCCCCCCTCCCTTCAGCCTTTGTTTAGCTCTCAGACTTCCTCTCGTGTGCATCATTTCTACTGTCAACAACATGTGTGCTTTTGTGTGTGTGAGAGAGAGAAAGAATGTGGCAGAATGCCCAGTGAAATGTATTGCTGAATGTAGGCTTAAAATTTTCTTTGATTGAGCCATCTTTGGAAAGTGGGGGCAACTTTTCCCTTTTTTAACGGGACGTTGGGGTTCTAAACATGAAATAACAGACCAGATTAAAACTGGTTGCCACTTTGAACCCATACTTATTTGCATGAGGGGGTGGGAAGTATTGCAAACATATACAGCCATACCTCGGGTTACAGACGCTTCAGGTTGCATTTTTTCGGGTTGTGGACCGCCGAAACACGGAAGTAGCAGAACAGGTTACTTCTGGGTTTCGGCGGTTGCGCATGCGCAGAAGCACTAAATCGTGCTTTGCTAAATCGTGCTGGGCCAAGGCAGGAAGTGAGTGAAAGACAATAAGTTAAGTGCACATGCTCAGTTCTTCATTTCGGAATGTGCTGAGAGTTCCATAGCCTTTTGGAGCTTATGCCATTAGGAAATATGTTAGTCTTTCAGATCCCACAAAGGTTAGAGTCTGGCTCAACAGCAGGAAGAACTTTCTGATGGTCAGAGCTAGAATGGAACCGTTGGGAGCAAGAACTCATCGCTTGGTGTCAGGGAAGTCATCTCGTAGGACCAGAGAGCTGGAAGGGACCCAAAGGCTCATCCAGTCAACAAAAGCATCCCTGACAGAGGCCAGCCAACCTCTGCTTAAAAACCTCCAAGGAAGGAGAGTTCATCCCCTTTTGTTTCACTGCCAAGCAGCTCTGACTGTCAGAAAGGTTTTTTGAATGTTTAGCCGGAATCTCCTTCCTTGCAACTTGAATCCATTGGTTTGAGTCCTGCCCTCCAGAGCAGGAGAAAACCAGCAAGTGACAGCCCTGTAGATATTGGAAGATGGCTCTGATATCTCCTCACAGCCTCATCTTTTCCAGGCTAGACAGTCCCAGCTCCTTCAACTGCTCCTCATCAGGCTTGACTTCCAGAGCCTTGACCATCTTGGTCTCCCTCCTCTGCCCACCTTCCAGCTTGTCCACATCCTCCTTAAGTTGTGGTGCCCAGAACTGGACACAGTATTCCAGGTGTGCTCTGATCCAGGCAGAAGAGAGTGGGTCTCTTATTTCCCTTGATCCAGACACTAGACTTCTGTTTCTTGAAACTCTTTATTCCCAGACAAAGCAGCCCAGGCCTAGTGATCCCAGGAACTCTTCTGGGTAGATCTTGCCCCAATGAGGGACTTAGGAGGCCTTCCTTCCCACAGCCTTCAGAGTCTCCTCCCCACGTGGTCTTTCCCAAGCAACCTGAGACTCTGATGCCCAGTCTGTCTCTGCTCCACCCTCTTCACCTCTCTCCTGGTCCTGGGAGACCAGCAGGGAGGAGAACTTGTTGCAGTGGGGGGGGGGGAGAGACAGCCTCACCTCTTCACCAACTGACTCCTTTCTCCCTCTTGGCCACCCTCCTCTCCAGCCTCCGCTTCTGCCTCTGCGTCTGCACTCCTCTCTGCCCCAGCCTCTTCCTGCTCACCAGACCCTGTTACAGAGGCACCATCTCTGGGGGTGTTGAGGCACCCACAATATTTTTACTGTGGGTGCCCTGAGGGGTGACTCTATGGGGCCTTCCCACCGTGGTGGAGAGCTCTGTCGGGCCCTCCGGCTGCGGTGGTGTGTGACTTCACATGTGCGCATGATGTCACACATGTACTCCGGGCTCCCACAATGTTGGGTGCCAGAGCGCCTGCCCTGTTTCCTCTTCAGCTTCTGACTCCCCCCCCCCCGTCTTCTCCCCAGCCCCCACTTCCCGGGCTCTGAGCTGTCTTCCCTTGGGGGTTCCCTAACCTGCGCTGGGGAGGTCTGGTGGCAGGAATCTGAGCATCCTGGACCCTGCCCCATGGTTCTCCTTGCCCACCACCAAACACCCATCAAGTGGAACAAAAGAGACATTTACATTTCCCTGTTTCCCATCCAAGTTAATCCCACCCTTTGGTCTTCCTCTGGGTTTGTTCTTTCTGGAATGGCTACCTGTCTGGCACTCAGGTCTCAGGATGCCAGGGATTATCACTCAGGCAGAGGGGCTGCTGAGGAGCTGAGCTCACATGTCTAGATGAATTTCTGAAGTTTTCCCAGTGAGCCAGTACATAGGTACATTTATCAGTGAATTGTTACATTTTGTATCGTGCAGCAAAGGCCCTTTGAATAGATAGGAAGAAACTGTGATGAAATGTTTTGTGGGGACAAGTCACAAAAGTCACAAAAGCGATGGTGCTGATTTTGGTAGTGGGCTGCATGTGCATGATATCTGCTGGAGGGGCAACAGCCCCCCCAACCTATACATAAATCCCTTCAACAACGCTGCATCCAGCCAATCACTGTCAGGAACCAATGGACTCTCCTCCCCTGGAGGTCTTTACGCAGAGGTTGGGTGGCCGTCTGTCAGCGGTCCTTTGGCCTTGCCGGGGGCTGGGCTAGATGACCCTCGGGGGTCCCTTCCAGCTCTACCCTTCTAGGGTTCCACGTGGGGCCTGAGTGCAGCACCCCACCCACCCAGGCTCTCCCCTCCTTCCCGGAGCTCCCTGGCTCCCGGCCTGCCCTCCCAGTGCCAGGATGCTCCTGGCCCCCCCTCCCTGCCCCCCTGGCCCTGGGCCAAGCAGCCTCCTCCTCCATCACCTGCCCGGGATCAGCTGCCGCCTCCTCCTCGGCTGCCCAGAGCTGCCCTCCTGAAACACAACCCCGCAGCTCCCGACCATCGAGGGCCATGCAGGAGCCCGGAGCGGACGAGGCGGCCCCCAGGCCCTCCGACTTTGCCGCCTTTGCCGGCAGCTGCACCCTGCACGGTCTGGCTCACGTCTTCCTGCCGGGCCCCTTCACCCCCCGCCGGGCGGCCTGGGCGGGCGCCATCCTGCTGGCGCTGGGCATCTTCCTGTACCAGGTGGGCGAGCGGGTGCAATACTACAAGGAGTACCACCACGTCACCATGCTGGACGAGGAGGCCGGTCGGCTGCTGCTCTTCCCGGCCGTCACCCTCTGCAACTTCAACCGCGTCCGCCGCTCCCGCCTGACGCGCAACGACCTGCACTGGGTGGGCCAGGAGCTGCTGGGCGTGGAGGCCCCGGCCTTCCCCGAGTACCTGAGGGCCCTGGGGAGGTCGGACGAGGGGGGGCTCGGCTTCTACCCCACCCCCCGCTTCGACATGAAGGAGTTTGTGGAGCGCACGGCCCACAGCCTGGAGGAGATGCTGCTGGACTGCCGCTTCGGGACCCGGGAGTGCGGGCCCCACAACTTCACCGCCGTGAGTCCCCTCACCTGGGCCTGCTCCTCCCCAACCCCCCCCCACCCCAATTTGGGCACCCTCAGAACCCCCGCCCCCAGCTTCATAGCTCCTAATGGCAGCCACACTGGGGTCCAGCTGGATGCCCTTTGGGAGTCCCTTATGCGATTCTGCGTCTGTCAGAGATTCTTTACCTGTGATGGCTGCCTTGCACAGGGTTGGACTAGATGACCCTCGGGGTCCTTCCAGCTCCACAGCTCCATGAGTCTATGTCAGAGACTGGGAGAAGAATGAGAGCAGGCCTCTTAAGAGGGGAAGTGAAATGCCCAGGGGGCTCCGTCTGGATGGCAGCCGCTATTTGGGGTCCATTTCTGTGGGGTGTCAGCAGAGGGCAGGGGGATCACTTGGGGAGGCCTGGGGGGGGACGACTAATGAAGCCACTTAGCCGGAGATCCCCCCACCTCTGGGTGAAAAGTTGAGCATCACCCCCTCTTCTCTCAGGGAGGATATCTCAGTCTCTAATGCACACCAGAGGTTTGCGTCTAGGGCCGGGCATTGGGGGTGGGGGGCTTGCCCAGAGGCGGGGGGCCAGGCCTTGCCTGGGGAGACCCCTGAGATGCCCCCTCCCGCTTCTCACCCCCCTCTGGTCATCTTTCCCTCCTCCTGGCAAGCTCCTCTCCAGCTGCTGCCTCTTCCTCCTCCTGCTTCTCCTTCTGCCCCCCTCCTGCCCCCCCCAGCCCAGCCTGGTCCCCAAGGCCACTCCTGTTACTCTGCGCTGAGCTGCATCAGGCCAACGTCTCCTGCGAGAGGCTGGAGCAGCGTCAGCGCAACCCGAGACGGACGATGGCGTGGAGGATGGAGGGGGGACAGTGCGCTTTGGGTCAGCGGGGGCCAGAGGGGAGGCTGTCATGCCGCAGAAACGGCCCTGCACAAGATTTGGGAAGGCCCCGCTCCAGGACCTTGGCAGGGGGCTGGGGGTGGAAGGAGTCCCTGGGGCCGTCCAGCCCCTCCTGGGTCATCGATTTCCTCCCCACTGCTTCCTCTGGACTTCCATGTGCAGGTCAGCCTCCTGTTCTCAGTATGGCCAAAGGGAAAGCAGCAAGCAGGATTCGAACTCAAGAGCAACTCTCTGGGTTTCCAGCAACTGGCGTTCAGAAGCATCACTTCCTCTGACGGTGGAGAGCAGAGAAGAGTCATCCTGGCTAGGAGCCTTCAAAATGAACAGGAATTAGCACGATCCTCTTTTAAAGCTGTCCAAGTTGGTGGCCACAGAAGCATAGAATTGTGACGTTGGAAGGGACCCCATGGGTCATCTAGTCCAACCCCCTGCAAGGCAGGAATCTCAGCTGAAGCCTCCATGACGACAGGTGGCCCTCCAACCTCTGTTGAAAACCTCCAAGGAAGGAGAGGCCACCACCTCTCAAGGGAGCCAAACAGCTCTTGCCGCCAGAAAGCTCTCCTGATGTTGAATTGGAAACTCCTTCCTTGAAGCCGTGGCTTCGAGTCCTACCTTCCAGAACAGGAGAAAGCAAGTTTGTTCCCTCTTCCATGTGACAGCCATATTTGAAGATGGCCCTCATGTTTCCTCTCAGCCTAATCTTTTCCAGCTTCAACATCCCCAGCTCCTTAAATCTGAGGGCTCCCTTGGACAAAAAAAAAAAACAAGGACCCCAGCCAGGAATACCAGAGCAAAACAGCAGCCAGTAGGCTTGGTCTTGATTGAAGACTGTCGCGACAGGACTCCCACCTGCCACCAGGTGGAACAAGATGGAAGCCCCCAACAAAAGAGAACCCAAACTTTGATTAGCTGCTAATCCCCATGTTACACCCCCCCAAACTACATCACTAATACATCATGGCTGCATCATGAAAGGGGAGGTCTGTGATTGACTACATGGAATTGGCGGAAATGACTGGCAGAATCCGAGACCAGGGAGAAGAGTCGGTGAAAGAAGACTGGAAAAAATTTAAGGACTATTTACAGAAATATTGCAAAATTAAGGAACTTTAGAAGGATGTTGGATAGAAACTAAGAGGTTTTTAGCTGTAATGCTTTAAGAGACATGGAAAAAAAAGGTTAACAATTGGGTAAAAGATTAATGGTAAGGATTTGCTGAACCAACAAATTGAATTGGAATACAAAGAAGGGAGGTATGAGGAGGTCCGGGAAATAAGAGTAAGGAAGATAGGTTATGGAACATTATTGTGTTTTTAACTGTTTTATTTTGTATGTTTTTTCTTATTTTTTACTTTTTTGCTGTAATTTATACTTTTTTCTTTGTTTTCTGTATTTTTGTGAAACTTTAATAAATATCATTTAAAAAAAAAGAAAAGAAAGGGGAGGTCTGGTGGCAGTAATCTGAGCATCCTGGACCCTGCCCCATGGTTCCCCTTGCCCTCCACCAAACACCCATCAAGTGTAGCAAAAGAGATCTTTACATTTCCCTCTTTCCCAGCCATGTTCATCCCACCCTTTTGTCTTCCTCTGGGTTTGTTATTTCTGGAAGGGCTACCTGTCTGGCACTCAGGTATCAGGAGGCCAGGGATTATCACTCAGGCAGAGGGGCTGCTGAGGAGCTGAGTAACATGTCTCTGTGAATTTCTGAAGTTTCCCCAGTGAGCCAGTACATAGGTACATTGATCAGTGAATTCTTAGATTTGGTATCGTGCAGCAGAGGCCCTCTGAATAGATAGGAAGAAACTGTGATGAAGTGTTTTGTGGGGACAAATCACAAAAGTGATTGTGCTGGTTTTGGTAGTGGGCTGCATGTGCGTGATATCTGCTGGAGGGGCAACAGCCCCCCCCCAACCTATACATAAATTCCTGCCACAGCTTCCAGACCCTTGATCCTCTTGGTCGCCCCCCCCCCCCCCCGTTCACATTCCAGCCCAGAATTGGACACAGGATTGTCAGATGTGGTCTGACCAAGGCAGAAGAGAGCAGGACTGTTACTTCCTTCCCCTTCCCTTCCTCCTGGGGGAGGGAGTTCCACAGATTAACTCAGCATTGCGCAAATAAATCCACAGAATCCAATCCATGGAATGTCCACCAGTTACAGAGAGGGGGAGAAAAACTTTCCCCAGACCACTCCCCCTGCAGGGCCTCCGCTGATGTTGTGGGGGGGGGAGCAGTCTGCCTGGCCAATGCTCAGGGGGGACAAGAGTTTGCGGGGGCCCCTGCTCCCTCTCAGACTCTTGGAGGGACCCCCACCTTCCATACCAGAAGCCCCAAAAGGGCAACCAGAAGGGGGTGGGGGGTCCTGGTGGGAGATCTCCTGGGTGCCCCTCTGCTCAAGAAAGCAGGCGATAGAGGAGCTGGGGGGGGTCTCCAAGGCCCTTTGGACCCCATAGGAATGCTCCTCTCTGTGGGTTTGGTTCCTGCTCAGCTGAAGCCAGGCTCAGTGGGGCAGGTCGCGGGTTCAGTTCCCAGGCAGGGCCAGAAGGTACCCCTGAGGCTGAAACCCTGGAGAGCCACTGCTGCCAGTCAATGCTGGCTGGACCAATAATCCAAGGCAGTTTCTATGCTGTTTAGCACATCCCTTTGTCTAGAACCTTGAGGACTATAAACATGGCTTTTAAAAAAAAAAAAGTCACAGAGCACTAGCTTTGCATGCAGACGGTCCTAGGTTCAAGATACATTCAGGGATGGGAGCACCGCCTGCCAGGGACTCTGTTGAGCCATTGCTGCCAGCCAGTGTAGACAATACTGAGGTGGATGGAGCCATGGTCTGGCTTTGGAGCAAGGCAGCTTCCTCTGTTCCGCCTTCCTCCTCACGCCACCCCTTTCTCCTCCCCCCTCCTGCAGATCTTCACCCGGTTGGGAAAGTGCTACACCTTCAACTCGGGGGCTCCTGGCCACGAACTCCTCACGACGGTCAAGGGCGGAACGGGCAATGGTCTGGAACTGATGCTGAACATCCAGCAGGATGAGTACCTGCCTGTCTGGGGAGAAACGGGTGAGTGAGGGGTCGGAGGAAGGCTTGGGGTGGGCACGGGGGTCCTTCTTGGGGATGGGCCCTGTTTGATCCCAGGAGACGATGGAGGTGGATTGAAGATTAAGTCTGTCAATTAAAATTTAAATCTCCTGTCCCGCACGTGTCTTAGAAATATGAGAGTAAACAGGCTGTGAAGCCCTTTTAGCAAAGAAAAAACACTTAGGCGCTTTGCAGTTTACTGGAAGCTGGGAATTAGCCAAATACACCTTTTGGTCCCTGTTTATTTGTGGTCTGCTGACCTTTCCCCTCTTTGTCCCCATTGCTACAAAACACACCCTTTTGTAAGATAAATGAAAAGGTTTACTTACATTTCAATGCAGACAGCAAATGCATCAAAACAGTATGCAAGTAAAAATACATCTTAAGTTACAAAAGACAAAACTTGTTTCCAAAATGGAATCTGAGGTCTGAGCAAAGCCCAGGCATGTATTTCTGCTCAGTTGCTGGCTTCAAAAGGAAGAGAGACACTGCGGCAAGGAGGAAGGAGGAAAAATGAAAATTAAGATGCCACGGGATGTAGGGGATATGACACCACAGATCTGTCTTCTCTGGGAATATGGGAACGCTAAGAGGCAGGGGTCAGCAACCTTTTCAGCTGTGGGCCAGTCCACCATCCCTCAGACCATGCGGTGGGCTGGAATATATTTTTTTTAAAAAATAATGAATGAATTCCTATGCCCCACAAATAACCCAGAGGTGCATTTTAAATGAAAGGACACATTCTACTCATGTAAAAACACGCTGATTCCCAGACTGTCTGTGGGTCGGACTGAGAAGGCAATTGGGCCACATCGGGCCCCCAGGCCTTAGGTTGCCTACCCCTGTCTAAAAGTCTTAACCCTTTCTCATGATTATAGAGCTAACTTAATTGTCATTTTGACTGCAGATCTTCCCACAGGAGAAATTCCTGGGGACCCCAGAGCCACTGAGAGTTACTCAGGATCTGCTCCTTCCTGGCTAGGGGGTGAAATATGAAAATTAATTCTCCAAGGCACAGTTTATGTTCTTGTAGGGTGTTAAGGCAGAATACTATATATTTGATATTGGTAGGGTCATTCTCTTTTATTCCCCTCTCTGACCCTGACCTTATGACCTCTTATGACAGGGGGCTCATCCTGCAGCAGCTGTATCCCAGGCCTGGCTGAATTCTCCTCTGCCCCCTCTGTGGGGTTCAGGGGGGTTGGGCTCTCTCAGGCTCCTGAAGCTTCCAGGCTGCCCAGAAGGAGACCCCCTTTCCTTCTTCCTCTTTCTGCTCCTAAACTCCCATTTCACCTTTATTATTGTTACTGTATAAGAAAAAATTGGAGGTCGCCTTTTACAGCCCAGCTCCCTACCAAGGGACCCCTTGAGGTCCGCTATCGGTCAGGGATACAAATGGAGGCGACACCAAGGAAGCAAGGCAAGCTGCTGGCCTTTATTGGTCTGTTGCAAAAGGAGGAGTGGAGCCTTGAACACTGTGCATTCAGAAATTAGAAGAGAAAGACCACCCAAGATCATCAAATCATAGTTGGTCCAACCTCCTGGAATGCAAGAATCTTTTGCCCAATGTGGGTGTTATGGAAAAATCTAGGTGTGAGGCTGCTCAGTCCCCCAGCTGGTCCCTGCGGAATAAAGGAAGGAGTCCAGCCACCAGCCGGGGCAAATCGCTGTAGACCAAAGTTTATTGCGCAATAGGTTCAAAGAGGAATTTTGAACCCCGAGGATGGGGTGACAAGGACTTTTAAAACTTTCCCACCATATCCCAGAATACAGTTCGTACAGCATCATTGATACATCATTGATACATCAGAAAAGGGGAGGGTTATACATAGGAGGAATTTGTTGGGGATACAGGGTATGTATTGGGAAGTACATTCTAAGCACCTACTACAAAGGGACAAGAGAACTTGGGTTTGCCTAGTCTGTCACCTGGGCAAGTCCGGAGGAGTGCCTTTGCCCAGAGATTGACACCTTTGAGTACCTTCCTGTGAGTACGCGACCTCCCACTTGAGGGATTATGGCGGGGACCGAGTGGCTTCCAAGTCCTTGGCCAAGGAAGCAAATTGGCGGTAGAATGAAGGAAACTGGCAAAGGAGTTGATTTTATATGATTTTTAAAGCTAGGTAACTTCCCTGAGCTGTCGAGTCAATGGGATACATTTATGAATAATATTTGTAACATTTAACAACTTTAAAGATGTGCCCTCCCCCCCATAATTTCCATAATAGTGGGGCTCAAATCCATGACCCTGGAATTGAGAGTCCTCTCCCAAAAGATACAAACATAAATGGTGGTTATGTAAAGTGGGTCATGCTCAGCGTTTCTGCAGATGCCTGGCCATACCTGAGAACGACCGGGCTGAGACATCCTTTTGAACTGGTGAATGCCTGGTCTCCAGAATCCATTGTCACAGAGCTCCCCATTCACACACAGAAGATGTCCTGCTGGGCCATTCAACAGATACTTGTCAAACATCAGGAATTTCCTGCTAGACTTGAGAGGGTCTCCCAGAGGTGAACCACAGCCTGTTTTGTTCAGAATATTTGTTTGACGAAGTATTGTTCATTGATAAATCAGCCCTTCCATTGAGAGAAAGGGGCAGATGGAAAGTGATACTATTTTTTGTGCCCGTATCTCCAGGCTGAGAGGAGAAATGAGAGCCGCCTTCAAATATCCCAAGGGCTGTAACATGGAAGATGGAGGAAGTTTGTTTTCTCCTGCTCCAGAGGGCAGGACTCGAACCCTTGGCTTCAAGTTGCAAGAAAGGAAATTCCGACTAAACATACAGAAAAACTTTGTCAGGCAGAGCTGTTCCACAGTGGAGTGGTCTCCTGAAGGAGGTGGTGGAATCTCCTTCCTTGGAGGTTTTTAAGGAGAGGTTGGGTGTCCAACTGTCAACGATGCTTTAGCTGAGATTCCTGCATTGCAGGGGGTTGGACTGGATGACCCTCGGGGTCCCAGCTCTACAATTCTGTTATTCTTTGACTTCCTGCTTAGGGCAGAGTTCAGTGGGGCTGGGCAGATTCTGGTGGAGAAAAGGGTGGGAGACAAGAGGCAGAGGGTCGGGTGGTCTTAGAGAAAGCAGAGCAGGGGTGGCACAGAGCCCAGGGACGGAAGACAAGAAGGAGATCCTGCTGGATCCGGCCAATGGCCCAATCAGGACCTGAGCCCAAGAGACCTTTCTTCTCCAGTGGTGTCCAGCAAATGGTACCCAGAGGTGCCTTTGACCATGGAGGCAGATCGTAGCCATGATGGCTAGTGGCCCTCGATTGGCTTCTCCTCCTCCTCCATGACTTTCCCTAATCCTTTTTTAATCCAGGTTGTCAGTCATCAGCGCCTCCTGTGGAAGGGAGTTCCGCACGTTAACTATTAAATTTGCTTCCCCACATCTGCAGATCTCAGGGTGCTCCATGTTGTAAACAATAAAAATTTGCCCCTTTCCCCTTATGGGGTGTCCAAGCGCCTGTATAGAGTCCTTACATAGGTTCCCTATTGGTAGGAGAGAATAACAGAGGCCAACCAGAGAATATTGAGAAGCAAAGCAGCTAGTAAGCTTGATCTTTATTGATCTGTTGCAACAGGGTGCTCCCCTCACACACAGGAGAGAGGAGGAACCCAGAACAATGGCGCGCAAGGCCTTATAAAGACTTTTGAAATTGCCACCCTGTAGATCAAGACCACCCCCCAGAGACATCATACTTACATCACAGAAAGGGTGGTCTACAGCTGAAATCTGGGTGCGTTGTTTACCTCCTGTCTGGCAGGTTACCTCTTAATGCTTACTTGATTGGATACCCTGGGGAGCCTGGCCAGTCTTTTGTAATGAAAAATACTTAGTTCCTGAGCCAGGTCACAGGCTCACCCTATTCATACACAGACATACCCTTAAGACAGGATTTGTGAAGGAAAAGACAATGGGGAGGCTTTTCCATTTTCCTTTGACCTTGCAGAGAAAACATTTGCTCAGTTTGGGACAGTTTGGGAATCAAAAATGGTTCCAGGTCAGTGTTCCTGTGCTGATCTATGTACGTGCTTGGATTTTTTGGATTTGATATCCCGCTTTATCGCTACCTGAAGGAGTCTCAAAGCGGCTCACATTCTCCTTTCCCTTCCTCCCCCACAACAAACCCTCTGTGAGGTGAGTGGGGCTGAGAGACTTCAGAGAAGCGTGACTGGCCCAAGGTCACCCAGCAGCTGCAGGTGGAGGAGCGGGGATTATGAGTCTACTGCTCTTAACCACTACACCACACTGGCTCTTATACACCACACTGTTTGGTACACTTATGAACATTTAACATATATCTAAGACCTCAAAATTCCTATCACACATTCACATGACAATGTGCTTCCCTCCATCTCATTTGCCCGTCTGCTTCCTTCCACACCCAGCAGCACCACACTCAGGATCCGGCCCATTCCTTCTCCCCAATGCGCTTGTGTTTATGTTGCAGATGAGACCTCCTACGAAGCTGGGGTGAAGGTGCAGATCCACAGCCAGAATGAGCCCCCTTCCATTGACCAGCTGGGCTTTGGCGTGGCTCCTGGCTTCCAGACCTTCGTCTCGTGCCAGCAGCAAAGGGTATGTGCCCCTCTTGTGGGCCAGGCTTTCTGGGCAGCGCGATCCCCCTGCCCACTCCCAGGGCCGGCTTCCTGGCTCTCAGCCTTTCCTGCTATCTTCTATGGGATTTCTCTAGGAAACAGTACATCTGTGGGGCAGAGAGGGGGGCTTGGTCTTGGGGTGACAATGGACACCAGAGGTCCTGAGAGGGGTCAGCCAACCCCCCTCTTCCCCCCTTCCTCCGCAGCTCTTCTACCTCCCCCCGCCGTGGGGTGACTGCAAATCGAACCCCGTGGAGTCGGCCTTCTTTGCCAACTACAGCATGGCTGCCTGCCGGATCGACTGCGAGACGCGCTACCTGGCGGAGAACTGCAATTGCCGCATGGTGCACATGCCAGGTCGGGGCAGGGGGATGGGCTCAGAGCGGGGGGCAGGGAGACGGGCGTCAAATCTGGGCTGCTGGAGACGTGGGAGGCTGTGGCCCTGGGCAGGCTCCTGGGGTCCGCATACTCGGGTTGACCTCTCATTGCATGATCGTTCTGGCATCTCCAAGAATTGGAGAGCTGGAAGGGACCCCCAAAGGGCATCTAGGGCAGCCCCCTACAATGCGGGAATCACAGCTAAGGAACCCCAGACCTCCATTTAGAAACCTCTAATGAATTGTAAACTGGTAGAATTGGAAGAGACCCCAAACATCATCGAGTCAAATTCCCTGCAATGGGACACACACCCCATTGGCCCTGGCAATGCCTGCTGCACTTTGGGGGATGGCAGTGAGTCAAGGGGACCCTCCCAAAGGCCCTTGGCATTGATTGGGCCAGGTGCCCACCCTACAGGGCACCTCGAATGACCAGCACCCTCACAGGGAGATGCAGGAAAGTGGGTGCTCTGCTGCCCCCCGTGCCTCCGTTGCCTCAACCGCTGTTCCTCGTGCCCAGGTAACGCCAACCTCTGCACCCCAGAGCAGTACAAGGAGTGTGCCGACCCGGCCCTGGGTAAGCATGGACCCCCCTCTGGACCCCTGGGTTGGGTGGAGGGTGGAGAGAGATTCCTGTCCCTCTCTGGCCAGCCCTGACCTGCCCCCCTGCCCCCCAGACTTCCTGGTGGAGAAGGACAACGAGTTCTGCTCCTGCCAGACCCCCTGCGAGACGGTGCGCTATGGCAAGGAGCTCTCCGTGGTCAAGATCCCCAGCAAGGCCTCCGCCAAGTACCTGGCCAAGAAGTACAACCGCAGCGAGCAGTACATCGCGTGAGTAGATGCCCCCTCTACGGCTGGCACCCTCCGGAAAGATGCCCCCGGCTGCACCAGCCCCCTTCTTTCTTTATTTTGGAACTTTGTTGAAAGATTTTCATTTATAAATGTGGTATTCATTATTATTATTATTATTAATTGGATTTATATACCGTCCTATACCCGGGGGTCTCAGGATGGTTCACATTAAAAAATCACAGTATATAAAATAAAAATAAAAGCAATAAACCAATAATACCCCCCCCAAAAGCCACATTTTAAAAGAGTATGGGATGTTGATGAGATCAACCAAAGGCCTCGCTAAAAAGGAACATAAGTGATATTATCCTAATCTATAAAGGTAAAGGTAAAGGGACCCCTGACTGTTGGGTCCAGTCATGGCTGACTCTGGGGTTGCGGTGCTCATCTCGCTTTACTGGCCGAGGGAGCCGGCGTACAGCTTCCGGGTCATGTGGCCAGCAGGACTAAGCCGCTTCTGGAGAATCAGAGTAGCGCACAGAAATGCTGTTTACCTTCCCGCCAGTGCGGTACCTATTTATCTACTTGCACTTTGACGTGCTTTCAAACTGCTAGGTTGGCAGGAGCAGGGACCGAGCAACAGGAGCTCACCCCGTCGCGGGGATTTGAACCGCCGACCTTCTGATCGGCAAGTCCTAGGCTCTGTGGTTTAACCCACAGCGCCACCTGCGTCCCTTTTATCCTAATCTATATATGGTTGCTAATAATCCCCTCCATTCCACACCAACTCGTTCCAAATATCAATATATTTGTCCAAAGTCTATGCCTATAGAGGATTTATCCTTATGACATCTCCAGCAAAGAGCTGCTTTAGCTGGTTGGGTTATTTTGGTATAAATGTAAATTCAGATACATCAAAACCTCTGGCATTAAGGCTCAAACGCTCTCCCACAGTCTGGGCAATATGGACATTTCCAGTTCCACGCAACCCGTCCCCTAATGAACGGCCCCCAAATGGGGACCCCATGGGCAGGGGCAGTCTACCCCGATGGCATCCCCTCCCAGCCCTGCCTGAGTGCTTCCCCAGGGCTTTGGGGAGGGGTGCGCTCCATGGAGGCTGGCCAAGCCCAGGGCTCCCCCCTGCCTGCGTCTCCTGACCCCCCCATCTGGTCTCAGGGAGAATCTTTTGGTGCTGGACATCTTCTTCGAAGCGCTGAACTACGAGACCATCGAGCAGAAGAAGGCCTACGAAGTGGCTGGGCTGCTGGGTGAGTGAGGGGCCCCAGGGAGGGAGGGGGGAGGAATTAGGGGTGGGGGGTCCAGGCAGAGTGACCTCTCTTTCTTTGCCCCCCCCAGGGGACATTGGGGGCCAGATGGGCCTCTTCATTGGCGCCAGCCTCCTCACCATCCTGGAGATCTTCGACTACCTGTATGAGGTGAGTGGTGGCCGGGGGGGGGGCAGGGGGAAGCTGGGATGGAGAGGCCGGGGTGGGTACAGGTCTGGAAGCCTCATTGTCATGGGAAGGCACTCTGCGGCTGCTCAGGAGCATTTGGATTAAATCGTGCAGAGTTTGTGGCTGGAGAAAAGGCCACACAGGATAGAAGTTTGTAAAGTTATGCATTCTGGACAGAGATTTTTCTCTCTCGCTAGAATGCAAGGACAGTGAAGCTGAGTGTCAGGAGGTTTAGGACAGATTAAAGGGACGCGGGTGGCGCTGTGGGTTAAACCACAGAGCCTAGGGCTTGCTGATCAGAAGGTTGGCGGTTCAAATCCCTGCAACGGGGTGAGCTCCCGTTGCTGGGTCCCTGCTCCTGCCAACCTAGCAGTTCAAAAGCCCGTCAAAGTGCAAGTAGATAAATAGGTACTGCTCTGGTGGGAAGGTAAATGGCATTGCTCTGGTTCGCCACAAGCGGCTTAGTCCTGCTGCCCACATGATCCGGAAGCTGTACGCCGGCTCCCTCAGCCAATAAAGCGAGATGAGCGCCGCAACCCCAGAGTCGTCCACGACTGGACCTAATGGTCAGGGGTCCCTTTACCTTTAAAGGGAAGTTAAACTGTGGAACTCCCTTCCACAGGAGGCCATGGAGGGCTTTAGAAGAGGATCAGACAAAGGCATGGAGGGGGAGAGGGTCGTTGATGGCCCCTGGCCAGGATGGCTCTGCGCTGTCTCCACAGTCGGAGGCAGGAGATGCTTCCAAGGCCCAGGAGGGGAGAGCTGAGCTTGTGTTCGAATCTTGCTTGCTGGTCCCCCATAATGGGCACCTGGTTGGCCATTGAGGACAGGAGGCTGGACCAGGTGAGCCATTGGCCGGATCCAGCAAGCTCTTCTTAGGTTCTCACCCCCCCTCCAGCCAGCCAGGGACCCCCACTCTCTGCCTCTCTCCCCCCACCCCTCTGCTGCCTGGCAGGTGTTGCGGGACAAACTTCTCAGCTACTACCAGGCGAGGAAGCAGGTGGATCGCAGCAACAGCGACAACCTGGTAAAGTGGCACCCCCCTGCTCCCCCCCAGGTCCCAGGGGCTCAGGCTCTTGTGAACCAAGACTGCCTAAAGACCCCCCAACACACACATCTCTCCCTTGGAGAGCCCCAGGGGGGGTGGGGGTGGCTGGGGAGGGGGCGGCCTGAGGGGTAAAATCATTTCCCCCCCATCCGCGTCTTTCCCAAACGGGGAGGGGGACTGGGGGGATGGGCCTTTTTGGTATGGTGCATGCCCCACATCCAAATGTGGAGAGCTGGGGTTTTGTTGGTGGGATGGAAAAGCTCTCTGCGCATGCCCAGGGACCCCTTCCCCTCTCCACCGGCTTCATCTTCTACCCCCCCCCCATTGGGACCATTTGCCTTGAGTGTTGCTTCACATTGTTGTTTCTGCCCCCCTCTCTTTGTGCCTCCCCACCCTGACTCATCATCTCCCTCCCCCCTTTCCACTTGGCATCTCACCTGCGCCAGGAGCACACGGACCTCCCCCGCAGCCCAGGCACCCCGCTGCCTCCTCGCCCTCTCAGGTAGAGGATCCCTTGCAGAGGCCCGCTGCTGAATCGCCCACCCCCCGGCTCTCCTGGCAGCCAGGAGCTCTTGGGTCATTGGACTGGCCTGCTCCGCAGGGGGGTCAAGGCGCTGCTGCTGCTTCAGGGAGCCAGGAGAGGCTGCAGCCAGAACATGGCCAGGGGGTGCTTCTGAATACCAGATGCAGGAAACTGGGGGGAGAATGGATCTTGTGTTCGAATCTTGCTTTTGGATTGCCCATGATGGGCATCTGGTTGGCTGCTGCCAGGAGAGGGTGCCGGGCCAGAGGAGCCACGGGCCTGATCCATCTCCAGGGCTCTCCTTCCTCCTCCTCCTCCTCCCTGCCCCCCCAACAGTGGTGCTGCATTAACCGCAGACTCCCCAAAGGGGCCACTGAGTCACACACACACACATTTCCCTGGGTCTGTTAGTCATTGTAGGACTCCCCCTGCCCCAAAGTGCAGATTTGGCCAAAGGAGTTTTAGCAAGAGCCTCTTGGATGACAGAAGCTGCTCAGAGCACTTGTAGGGCATGGGTTTTATTTGGGGGGTGTCCCTCCATCTGGACCTGCAACTGAAAAGGCTCCCACCCAAGCCTCAACCCCTTTCTCGGTCTACAGGCAAGCTGCCTCTGGGGGGGGGGTGTGATCTCCCCCCTGCCCTAGGAGCCAGGAAAGAAAAATTGCAGCCTTGGCCGTTCTGGGCCTGGCCAGGAAATGGTTACCTGGGGGTGGTCCATCATCCCAGCCCCCCATTGCCAGCCCCCTTTTCCCTATGGGGGGGGTTCAGCCTCCATCTCCATCTCACCTGCATGGGCGTTTCATGGGGGGGGGCTTCCATTGCATCCCTCCACGACACCCCAAAGCGGGCTCTGGAAGCAGCTCAGCTCCCTGCCTTGGGGGTGGGGGATGATGACAACGGTAGCCTTGCCCCCCAGCTGCCGCTCACTGACCCCCCCATCTCTCTGCCCCCCCCAGAGCACCTGCCACACGCTGTGCAGTCACTCGGACAGTGTTGGATACACCCCGAACATGCTACCTCGTCACCCGACTCTAGGCAACTTTGAAGAATTCGCCTGCTGAAGGAAGGGGACCCCCCCCCCCCAAAGAAACCTGCGCCTCCTTCTCTCTCCTCTGCTCCCGGTGAAGAGGACCAGGTGCCTCCTCCTACAGGACTCAGCGCAATGCAGGGAGGGGGGCAGCCTGGAATTTTCCGGTGGGGGGGCACCCCCCGACAACGCACATGCCTTTTCCTCCTCCTCCCTTTCTGCACAGAGGAGACCAAGAGGACGGCAGCCAGAGGGAACCTGCTCTCCCCCCCCCACATCCTCCCCCCACCCCAAATAGAAGGGCTTGACCCAGGCGGGTGGGGTGGGGGGTCTCTTCCGGCCTGGGACTGGGGGGGCGAAACGATGCGAAGTGGCATTAAAAGAATCCCGGATTGGACGCTCTGCAAAATGTGGTTATTTGTAGGGGGGGCCCTACGGTCAGTCCCTCCACCCCCAATTCAGGGAGGGGGGCCTTGCGGAAAAGACCCTGTGGTTCCCCCCCCATCAGGTGGGGAATCTCTAGGTCAGGGACGGCTCACCTGCATGAACATCTGTCTGTCCGTCGGCTCCTGTATCTGTGTCTGAGTCTCGTCTGCGCTTGCTGCCCCCCCGACCTCTCTTGTACCTCTGTGTGACCCCCAACCCCACCCCAACCTTTTTGCCCTGTGTACCATTAAAGAGCCTCTTGGCTGTGCCAACTTGCAGCGTCAAACGGGGGGGGGGGGCGAGGGGGGGCGCTCTGCGTCTGTGTTGCGCTTTGGGGAGATGTGTGTGGACTGAGAGGGGCTACATGGGAAAGGGGGCACAGGGGGTGGGAGTTGGGGGGTTAGCTGAGAAAAAAGGCAAGGGAATTGAATTGTAGGGTCGGAAGGGACCCCCAAAGGACATCTAGTCCAACCCCCTGCAAGGAAGGAATCTCAGCGGAAGAATCCTGGACCTCTGACCTCTGCTGAAAAACCTCCCAGGGAGGAGAGTCCACGGGACAAGCTTAGGAAATTATACAAAGCAAGGAGGAAAGCTTCCCTTCCTCTCTCATCACACAAAAACTCGTGGGAATCCCATGAACGTGGAAGAATCGGGAGAGAAAAGGCAGTCGCCCCTCACACAGCGCAGTGTTAATCTGTGGAACTCCTTGCCACAGCAGGCAGGGATGCCCACCAAACCTGGAGGCCATTAGAAGAGGGTTGGACACCTTCATGGGGATTTGTGGCAAGAGTCTGGCACATCTAGTCCAGCCTCGTCTTCTCCCAGGGGCCGCCCAGGGGCTCACGATGGGAAACCTGAAAGCGAGATTCGAACACGGGCCAGCTCTCTCGTCCTTGGGTTTCCAGAGCTGCAATGCACAGCATTTGCTCCTTCCAACTTTGGAGGCAGAGCACAGGTGAAGGGTGGTATAATAATAATAATAATAATGGTGGCTAGTCCATAGCCTTCTCCTCCTCCATGAATTTGTTCCATCGGCTTTTAAAGCCAAGCTGGTGGAGGAGATGGCAATCAGAGGCTTCTGGCCCGGAGTTGCTCTTGTGTTCGAATCCTGCTTGCTGGTTTCCCAGAAGAGGCACCTGGTCTCTGGACCAGATGGGCCCCCTTTGGCCTGATCGTGTGCTCAGGTTCTTCTGACGTTTGTGTGGAACCTCCAGGGCCAGGGGCAGTCTATCTGGACCCCGAGGTTCTGAGAGTTGGTTGGCCAAGGCAAGAGCAGGATGACTGGAGCTGATGAGCCACCGGCCTGATCCGGCACAGCCCCTCTCCCCAATTAACGCTGTCCTGAGCCCCCCCAGGCAGAGCACCCAAGGGTGAGACTGGAGAGGGGAGGGGCAAAGCAAGTCTCCCCCCACCCAGGGGGAACACGCAGCCCCCTCTTCTGGCTGCCCCTCCACTGGGGCCCCAGGAAGGAGGGGAGGGAGCCGCCCTGTCCAGGGGGTGGGGCTGGGGGGGTTGCGATACAGATGAGAGAAAGAGCGAGAAAGAGAAGAAGAGCTTTATAGGAGTCATCAAAGAGTCACAGGGTGAGACAGGTGTCAGTCCTCCAGGGCTGCTCAGGGCCCCCACTAGAGGGTGCTGGGGGGCAGGCAAAGGAAGGGGGGGAACCAGGCCAGCCCCCCCACCCCAATACCCCAAATGGTCCCGTGAGGATTGCAGCACCAGCTGTTCCAGCAGGGGGACTGGTATATTGGTGGGGGGAGAGGCTGCATGCACCCCCCACCCACTGGCCACACCAAACACACGCAGACGCCGGCCCCTTAGGGGGGGCAGAAATCCGTGAAGTAGGGGTGCTGGAGGGCATCCTCTGCCGAGATCCGGTGCACCGGGTTGCACTTCAGCAAGTTCTGGGGAGGCAAAGAAAGAGGGAGAGCTCACAGAGTCATGGCACCCCCAGAGGTCATCCAGTCCAGCCCCCTGCAAGGTGGGAATCTCGGCTGAAGGATCATAGAATCATAGAATCCTAGAGTTGGAAGAGACCCCAAGGGCCATCGAGTCCAACCCCCTGCCAAGCAGGAAACACCATCAGAGCACTCCTGACATATGGTTGTCAAGCCTCTGCTTAAAGACCTCCAAAGAAGGAGACTCCACCACACTCCTTGGCAGCAAATTCCCCGAGGGACAGCTGTCCAACTACTGAGGAAAGCCCTAGATGGAAGGAGAGGCCGGTGCCACCCTCTGAGGAATGGTGGAATTGGAAAGGGACCCCCAGAGGTCATCCAGTCCAACCCCCTCAAAGCAGGAGCTCAAGGATCCCTGATGGAGGGCCCTTGGCAGAAAAACCTGCAAGGAAGGTGAACAGAGATGCCAGTGGGAGAGACCCCCTTCCAGCCCCCTGCAGGGAGCTCACATCCTGGGGGGGAGGCAGGGGGACAAGGGGGGGGGAGAAGCACTCACCTGGAGCAGGTCTCGTCCAGTCGTGTTCAGCTTGGGCACCACGTTGACGAGGGACGTCGTCGCAGGATACATGGGGTATGGCTGGGGAGGGGGAGAAGGTGGGTGAGATGTGCAATGAGGGGTGTGGCCCCCCAGCCAGGAGGGCGATGGAGCAGGGGTCTCATTCTGGGAGAGGGAAGGGTCTTCTCACCTTGTAGTCTGGAAGTTTGGTCATCCCTGGCCATTGCTCCTCAGTCGGAGTCCCCAGCAGCGTGGAGGGAGAGTTAAGGACCCCTTGCCAACTGGGAGACCCCTCTGCCTCTTCCCCCAGCCAGCTCAGCCGTGTACCCCTCCCAACACCCCCGCAGAATCACAGAATGGCAGAACTGGAAGGGACCCTGGGGTCATCTAGTCCAACCCGCTGCAGTGCAGGAACCTCAGCGCAAAGGCCTGCGTGTCCAGAACTCTGCGCTTGCTCAAGGGAAAGGAAGAGGGGCAGGGATTCTGTTTGACGCCTGTCCTAGATGGGAGGAGGCTGCAGGGGGTTGGACTAGATGACCCTCGGAGACCCTCCCAACTCCACAATTCTGCAAAACCCTCCCCTGCTTGCTCCTGCAGCCAAGAAACAGGCGCCCAGGGCAAGAGGGCTGGTCCCCAGCTGGCCAATCACAGCTTTGCTGGGCTTTCCCATTTCTCCTCGTAGCCAAGTAAGATTGTCTTCCATAAACACAGTTTTAACAGTGAGTCTGTGACTGTGGAGGCCAATTCTGGATCCACACATTCTTCCACAGTGGGGACATTGGTTTCCAGGCGGGAGTTGATCATGATGAGGATTGGCCAAGTGTGCCTTCCTCTTAGCACGTTTCCCCCTTGCGTCCTGAGTTCGAGTGTCCTCAAAGCCCATGACATCTTTGGTAAAGGCTGTTCTCCAGCTGGAGCGCTCGCAGGCCAGTGTTTCCCAATTGTTGGTGTTTATACTACATTTTTTTAGATTTGCCTTGAGACAGTCTTTAAACCTCTTTTGTTGACCACCAACATTATGCTTTCGATTTTTAAGTTCGGAAAAGAGGAGTTGCTTTGGAAGACAATAACCAGGCATCTGAACAACATGACCAGTCCAACAAAGTGGATGTTGAAGAATCATTGCTTCAACACTGGTGAGCTTTGCTTCTTCCAGTACACTGGCACTAGTTTGCCTGTCTTCCCAAGTACATGTGTAAATTTTGTCAGAGACACTGTTGATGGAATCTTTCGAGGAGCTGGAGATGGCGTTTATAAGTGGTCCATGTTTCACGTGCATACAGTAAGGTCGGTAGTACAGCTTTGTAAACAAGCATTTTGGTTTCCCTGCGAATGTCCCAGTCCTCAAACACCCTGCACTTCAATCGGGAGAAAGCCGCACTCGCAGAGCTCAGATGCTGGATTTTGGCATCAATGTCGGCTCTTGTGGAAAGATATCTGCCCAGGTGGGAGAAGTGAGTGACATTTTCCAACATTACACCATTGAGTTGGATTTGTGGCGCTGCAGAGGGGATATTTTGTACTTGTAGGTGCAGCACTTCGGGGTTTTTTATGTTGAGTGATAGGCCAAGCTTTTCATAAGCTTCTGCAAAGATATTTAGGATGGTTTGGAGGTCATCCTCTGAGCGTGCGCACACTACGCTGTTATCAGCATCCTGAAGCTCCAGGACGGAAGTTACGGTAACCTCACTCTTTGCTTTCAGCCTGCTCAGATTGAAGAGCTTTCCATCTGCTCCATGTACGATTTCTACTCCAGTGGGGAATTTCTCTAAACATAATCACAGAGATGGAAGGGATCCCCAGGGGTCATCTAGTCCAACCCCCTGAATTCAGTCCCGACTGGCCTCCCCCCACCCCCTTGCAATGCCGAGCGCCAAGGATATCGGAAGATCCGCTTCAGCTGGTCATCCACGTCATTTCCTGGGAAGAGGGGGCGCCCAGCATTGGCCAGCTCTGGGTTGGGGGGGTGAGAGAGAGGAAGAGGTCAGTGGCACCCCAGAGCCCTTGCCCACCCCCTCTGCCCACCTCCAGTGCCAAAGCACCCCCACTTACCTGCAAAGATACAGCCAGCAGACCACATGTCTATGGAGGTGGAGTACAGTTTGGCCCCGAAGAGGACGTCTGGGGGGCGGTACCAGAGCGTCACCACCTGTGGGGCAGCAGGGAGAATCAAAGGGTTGGAAGGGACCCCCAAGGGGCATCTAGTCCAACCCCCTGCAATGCAGGAATCAGGGGTGGAAGGAAATCAGAGAAGACTGGGAGCGGCCGCTGAGACCACATAACACCGGTCTTGAAAGACCTACATTGGCTCCCAGTACTTTTCCGGGCACAATTCAAAGTGTTGGTGCTGACCTTTAAAGCCCTAAACGGCCTCAAAGGCCCAGTAGACCTGAAGGAGCGTCTCCACCCCCATCGTCCAGCCTGGACACTGAGGTCCAGCTCCAAGGGCCTTCTGGCGGTTCCCTCCCTGCGAGACGTGAGGTTACAGGGAACCAGGCAGAGGGCCTTCTCGGTGGTGGCACCTGCCCTGTGGAACTCCCTCCCACCAGATGACAAAGGAAATAAAAAACTACCGTATTTTTCGCACCATAGGGCGCACCGGACCATAAGGCGCACCTAGTTTTTAGACGGGGAAATCAATAAAAAAAATCTTTTCCCCCCCAGCCCCAAAGAGCAGCGTACAGGCTGCGCACAACCTCTCCCTGCCGGAGGGGTTGTGCGCGACCATGGAACAAGCCAAGGCAGCGAATGGGATGGATCCCGCTGGCTGCTTTGGCTTCCTCTTTAGCCCCACGCAATCCCTCCCTGGCGGGAGAGGCTGCGTGGAGCTAAAGAAGCCATAGCCCCGTGCAGCCTCTCCCTGCCGGAGGGGTTGCGCGCGGTGCATTCGCTCCGTAGGAGGGGAAAAACTGTGTCCAATGGAGCGAAAAGTACGGTATCTGATTTTCGAAGACATCTGAAGGCAGCCCTGTTTAGGGAAGCTTTTAATATCTAAGGACTATTGTATTTTAATATTTTGTTGGAAGCTGCCCAGAGTGGCTGGGGAAACCCAGACAGATGGGCGGGGTATAAATAATAAATTAGTATTACTATTATTATTATTATTAGGCCACAGGTTAATTGGTTTCTGCAGGCTGGGTTGGGGAAGAAAGACCAGAGCCATACCTTCCAACATTTCTCTGATGAAAATAGGGACATCCCATTTCATAATGATAATTTTACTATTTATACCCCAAACTTCTTACTGGCTTTCTCCAGCCACTCTGAGCGTCTTCCAACACATATAAAAACATAATAAAACATTAAACATGAAATAAATTTCCCTATACCGGACTGCCTTCAGATGGCTTGGGGGTCAGGTAACTCCATCCCCTCCAACATTTCTCCAGTGAAAACATGGGCGTCCTTAGGAAAAGTGGGACATTCTGGGATCAGATCAGAAACCGGGACGTCCCTGGAAAAGAGGGACAATTGGAGGCTCTGCAGGGTGAGTGGCCCAGAGGAGGGGCGAGGAAGGGAGGGAAGGGGGCAGGTCCCACAGTTCCCTGTGCCAATGGATGGGCACTGCCCACCCAGCCCTGCTCCTCACCTCGGCCGAGTAGCAGCGCACGGGGATCCCAAAGGCCCTCGCCAGCCCAAAGTCTGCCAGCTTCAGCTCCCCATTCTGTTGGCAAAGACAGGTGGTCAGCGGAGGAAAAAGAGCAAGCCCAGAGGCAACGTTGCCCACGCCCCAGGGAAGGAAGGGGAAATCCCCATGGCGTCCACACTGACAATGTTCCCTAGACCTGGAGACTTCCTGGAGGTCCCTTGCAGCTTGAGGACCCCCCCACGCTGTGTACCCTGACACCCCCCTAAATCAAGAGGGATCGTGGGCAGATCAGGCCCCTTCACTGCTCATCCCAAACCTCCTATTTTTTATGAGAACATTAGAAAGCACCAATCCTGGGTCTTTTTGCTTTCTTCCCTTGGGAGAAGTGGGAAGGGACACCAGGGGGTCATCTAGCCCAACCCCCTGCCATGCAGGGAACACAGCTAAGGTGGCAACCCATAATAAGCAGACCGAGGGAGACCTTTGGGCAGTCCAAGGGCACAGCCCCTCCCATCTCTGGAAAGGTGAAACAGGCAGGTCTTTGCAGGAGCCACACTGGGTCTTGGCCCCCTAAACTCCCCCCGCCTGCCCAATGTGGGCCCCCAACACTCACCCGGTTGATCAGGAGGTTCTGGGGCTTGAGGTCCCTGTGCAGGACGTTCCGGCTGTGGCAGAACCCCAAACCTTTCAGCAGCTGGTACATGAAGGACTGCGGAGAGAGGGGGGGAGGCTGGCGTGAGGACCCCAAGCCTGGCCATGGGGGATGGGCGGAGCACCAGCCACCCCCCCCCCAAGGACGCCTGTCCCCACCCCTCCTCCCAGCCCCTCGCCAGGGCCACCCTGTTCCCTCCTCACCTTAACAATCTCGGGGTCAAGATCCCCATTGCAGCTGTCGAAGTACTTCTTCAGGTCCTGGGGGGAGCAGAAAGCAGGAGGGGGAGGCAGGGGGTCAGCAGCAGGGCCAGGAGACCCCCAGACAGGCTGGTCTCCCAGGAAGAGGCCCACATTTTCAGGATGCAGAGGGGACCCCAGATGCCCAGGCCCAGCTCCCCTTGCTGCCTCTCTCTCGCCACACAGGAGAACCGAGGCAGAGCCCCGCAGGATCCTGTCCCCTGCTGCTGCTTGTGGGCTTCCCTGGGGGGCCCCTGGCTGGCCACTGTGGGAACAGGACGGAGCCAGCCCTGCAGGGCTCTTTCTGCAAAATCCGAGCACGGCCACCCGCTCCTTCCCTCCTTACCTGGTCACAGAACTCAAAGACCAGAGTGAGCTTCTTGTCACTGTGGAGGACGTCGTGCAACCTGGGGGGGGGGGGCAGAGAAAATAGGGGCTTCAGTGAATGGTGCGAGCTCAGCCCACTCACTTACTCTCGGCCTGACCTACCTCACAGGGTTATTGTGGGGGTTAAATGAGGAGGGGGACAAGAACCACAGACACCACCTGCAGCTCCTTGGATGAAAAGGGTGGGGAATAAATGCAGAATGGAGGACACCTAGCTTCTTGTTGTTGTTTAGTCATTTAGTCATGTCCGCCTCTTCGTGACCCCCTGGACCAGAGCACGCCAGGCCCTCCTGTCTTCCACTGCCTCCCGCAGTTTGGTCAGACTCATGTTTGTAGCTTTGAGAACACTATCCAACCATCTCGTCCTCCGTCGTCCCCTTCTCCTTGTGCCCTCCATCTTTCCCAACATCAGGGTCTTTTCCAGTGAGTCTTCTCTTCTCATGTGGTGGCCAAAGTATTGGAGCCTCAGCTTCAGGATCTGTCCTTCCAGTGAGCATTCAGGGCTGATTTCCTTCCGAATGGAGAGGTTTGATCTTCTTGCAGTCCATGGGACTCTCAAGAGTCTCCTCCAGCACCAGAATTCAAAAGCATCCATTCTTCGGCCATCAGCCTTCTTTATGGTCCAGCTCTCACTTCCATACATCACTACTGGAAAAACCATAGCTTTAACTGTACGCACCTTGACACCTGGCTTACCACCTGTGAAAAGGATCTAGGGGGTCTTAGTGGACTCAAGTTAGAGTCCACAGTGTGATGCAGCAGCAGCAAAAAACAAAACAAAAACCTAATGCTATTCTGGGCTGCATCCACAGAAGTCTAGTGTCCAGATCAAGGGAAGTCATAGTCCTACTCTCTTCTGTCTTGGTCAGACCACACCTGGAATACCGTGTCCAGTTCTGGGCGCCACAATTTAAAAAGGATGTTGACAAGCTGGAATGTGGGCAGAGGAGGGCAGCCAAAATGATCAAGGGTCTGGAAACTAAGCCATATGAGGAACGGTTGAAGGAGCTGGGGATGTTTAGCCTGGAAAAGAGGAGACTGAGAGGAGATACGATCAGCCTTCTTCAAATATCTCAAGGGCTGTCACAAGGAAGATGGAACAAGCTTGTTTTCTCCTGCTCTGGAGGGTAGGACTCGAACCCATGGCTTCAAGTTGCAGGAAAGGAGGTTCTGACTAGAAATACGGAAAAACTTTCTGACAGTCAGAGCTGTTTGACAGGGGAATGGTCTCCCTTGGGGATGGTGAGCTCTCCTTCCTTGGAAGTTTCTAAGCATCTGTCCTCATGGAGGCTTCAGCTGAGAGTCCTGCCTTGCAGGGGGTGGACTAGATGAGCCCTGGAGTCCCTTCCAACAATTCAATGCTTCTCTTTGTGACTGGCGTCAGCGACACAGGCAGGATTCCATGTGGGATGTGTGTGGGAAATGATCAGCTCAACCCCTCTAAGAGACACAGCCGGGGTCTCAGGCCCCACGTTCGCCCCCCACCCACCCAGAGCTTCAGGCCCAGAGCTGAGTCAGCCCTGGAAGCTGGGCCCAAAATGAGGGAGCACCCCAGGGGGTGGGTTCTTTCAGAGCCAGTGTGGTGCAATGGTTAGAGCATTCCACTGGGACCCCAGGGTTCAAATCCCCTCACTCGGCCATGAAGCTCAGTGGGTCACTTGGGGGGCCAGGCCCGGTCTCTCAGACTAACCTACCTCGCAGGGTTGTTTTGGGGATAACCGTATTTTTCGCTCCATAAGACGCACTTTTTTCTTCCTAAAAAGAAAGGGGAAATGTCTGTGCATCTTATGGAGCGAATGCGTGGTCCCTGGAGCCGAATTGCCCAGGGGAGAAAAGCAGATCACACTCCTTTTTTAGAAAGAGGGAAGTGGGTGTTGAAACAAAGCCGCTGATCGGCAAGTGATTGGAAGCGAGATAAGGGACGCTAGAGATAAAGGAGGCTGCCTGGGAGGGAGGAGGTAAAAGCCCATGGATCCTCAGGATTTTTGCATTGGCCTACCCCAAACTCACCGTCAAATCACATGTCTGTGGCCACAGCATGAACCACAAAAATCATACATCCACTCTTTCATTCAGAATATTTTTTTTCTTATTTCCTCCTCTAAAAACCAGGTGAGTCTTATGGAGCGAAAAATACGATAAATGAGCAGGAGATCCATTTGCACCACCCTGAGCTTTTTGGAGAGGAAAAGGTGGTCTTTAAGTGCAAGGAATAAGCTCTGAAACGGCCCCCTGCCCTTCTCCACCCCAGAGCCGAGCCTCAGCCCCCCAAGCGGCTCACCTGACAATGTTCTTGTGCTTCAACTCCTTCAGGAGGCAGATTTCTCGCAGGGCAGAGCTGGGGACCCCCTGAAAGAGGAGGACGAGGAGGGAGGGGAAAGGGTCAGGGGGCACTGCCGGCCTCAACCCCCACCCCACCCCTGGATTCATTCACAATGGGCAGGCAAGGTGGGGGGGGGGGGAGGACCCCTTGGAAGACAGGGAATCCACCCACCCACCAGAAGTCGCTAAGGAACATCTTACTTCCCTTTCCTATGGCTCCCAAAGAAGGGAGTTTGGGAACTAACAAGGGAACAGGGAACTCTTCTCAAAAACCTGCTGCTCTGCCCAGTGCAATGTGGGGAGCATGTGTGGGGGTCCCTTGTCAAACAGCAGCAGGCTCTGCCCCCCAGCCCCACCCCAACATCCTTTCTGGTGAGCATTTGGGATGCTATTGGGGTGCTCAAACGTGACCCCCAAGCCCAGTGCTGTTTGCCTTCTCGGTGGTGGCGCCCGCCCTGTGGAACGCCCTCCCATCAGATGTCAAAAAGAGCAACAACTACCAGACTTTTAGAAGACATCTGAAGGCAGCCCTGTTTAGGGAAGCTTTTAATGTCTGGTGCATTACTGTATTTTAATATTTTGTTGGAAGCCGCCCAGAGTGGTGGGGAAGACCAGCCAGATGGGCGGGGTAGAAATAAATTATTATTATTATTATTACTCCTGCAAATATTCCGGGGTTCTGCTTCCTTTCCAGTCAAGGAACTTCCTGCAAGGATCCTGCCCCTTTTCTTGCTGCAAATGCTACGTTTTATTCTCCCTTGCCCCCCCCCCCCCCGCTGTCACTGGGCTAAGGGGCAAAGCAGAAGGACGGGAGGCCAGCCCAGGCTAAACCCACCGCGAATGCAGCTGCCCAGGAGGGGGTCCCTTAGGATGCAAATCCCAGGAGTCGGGGGCGCTTTGCACCCGCCCAGCACCCCACTCTCCTTTCATGGGGGAGAGCATCTGCTCGGCATGCAGAAGGACCGAGGCGCCGTCCCCCCCCCCCCGCCAGCATCTGCAAGGAGGGCGGCGAGCATCCCCGGCCGAAAGGGGCTGCGGGACTACAACTCCCACAATCCCCCGCCCTTGGCCTGGCGGGCCGGGGATGATGGGAGCCTCTTTCCCGGCTCCCAAGGGCGGCGCAGGCGAGACGGAGCCGGGGGGGGTCGCGGGGGTCCCCACCTCGTCGTCGTCGTCCAGCCGCACCCTCTTCAGCGCCACGATCTCGTGCGTCTCCCGGTTCTTGGCCTTGAACACCGTCCCGTAGGTGCCTTTTGGGGGGGGGGGGGAGAGAAACACAAAAGGGTCTCGCTGATTCCTGGGGCCAAGCGCTTTGCAGGCCCCCCCACCCCAGCAGAGGAGCCCCCCTGGCCAGGACGGGGGCGCAGCTGCCACGCCTTCCTGCCGCCGGACCCCCAGCCTGCGCCAGACACCCCCCAATTTCCTCCAGGTTTTCTTTTCGGGGGGGGGTGCATTGCATGCATGCAGAAGCCGCCACCCCCAGGCTCAAAGCAGTCCTCTCCTCGCCCCCTCCCCGGCACCAGCAGCACAGATCGCGGGGGGGGGAGTGGGAGAAGCAGCCCCCCACCCAAACCTCCCAAGGAGAAGCCCCCGGTTGCGCGCACCCCCTCCCGCTTGCACGCACCCCCCCCGGCTGCGCGCCCCCTCCCCAATCGCGCACCCTCTCCGATCTTCTCCAGCTTCTCGTATTTCTGCATGGCGCTCCGTCTGGGACCCCGCGGGGCTGGAGGCAGCCGCCCTCCTTCCTCTCCCGGCCGGGCTGGGACTACACTTCCCAGAATCCCCCCTGCAAGCGCGCGCCCGCCCGCGCCTCCCCGCTCGTGCCCGCAGGCGGACTGCAGTTCCCGGCTGGCGCCGCTCGGTGCGCAAGAGCGCGGGCAGAAAGGCGCGCCCGGGGCTGGAGGGGGGGAGTCTGCAGAAGTGCGGCTTGGAAGGGACCCCCGGGGGTCATCTAGTCCAACCCGCTGCTTCGGAGAGCAGGAGGGGGCAAGCGCAAGAGCAGCTGCCGTATCCTGCACTGGGCAGCAGCGAGTGTGGCTCAGGAGCGGGAAGAGAGTGCCTCTAGGCGTGGGCAAAGTGCCTTCGCGTGGCTGCTGGGCAAACCTGGACAGCCTTGCCCAACCGGGCGCCCTCCCCCTGCTTCAGATTCCCAACTCCAGGGATGGGATGGCGGCTGGAGTCCAGCTACCAGGAGGGCAACCTGGCTCCCCACCCGCAGGGCCAGTGGTGATCGAGGGGTGGGTGAAAAGGCTCCGCACTCTGCACATGCTCCGGAGCCGCCCTTCGCTGTGCCTTGGCATTGCCATTGTTTCTGGGTTTAAGCGTTTGGTCTTTCCCCCGGGGTTCCAGGTAGGGGGAAGCTGCCAGGTAAGCCGGGGCAGGTGAGTGGGTGAGGGTCCTCCTTCTCCCTCTCCAAACACCCTCAGCCGCCTGCCTGCCCCTGGCACCCCGCTGAACTGGGCACGCAGCTTACCCACCTCTGCTTGGCACGAGGAGCTGCTGCCAAGGGGGCCGGGGGTGGAATCTGAAGTTTTTACATGGATGATTATTCCTGTGGTTGGCATAATTTGATGCCCAAGGACGCTGAGCTGGTTGCAAGGCCTTCTCTTGACCCAAAATGAATGCCCTCCTCGAGAGGAGGGTGAGCTGAGGGCGCACGGCTTGGCAAGGGTTAAGAGGAACGGAGCTGCCTTCCTAGAGGGGACAGGAAGTCAAGCGGGGGGGCAGGTCCTCCAAAGCAACAGCCCCTCCCTCCCAGCCAGCTCCCTTTTTGCAAGGGGGGGGCGCTTGGTTTGTCTCCTCTGCAAAGGAGGCGCCTCCGGGGATCCGGTGAGTCTTCTCTCTGCTCCCCTTTTGGGTGCATTGGGGAGAGGGGAGGGGGCGTCCATCTCATGCATGGGGAGACCCCCAAGTCAGGGGCAGCAGATCTGCAGCAGATCGGCCAGCCTCGTCTGCCTGGGAATCGAGAAAGAGGCTGCTGCTGGCCCCTTGGGGGAGGGATCTTTCGGAGGGGGGGCGGATAACGGCAGGCAAAGGAAGCCCATTCAGAAATAGGCTGGGGAAAATCAGCCAGATGGGCGGGGTATAAATAAATAAATTATTATTATCATTATTATTATTATTATTATTATTGGCATTGTCACATTTATGAACGGCATTTGAAGCCGGAGAGGAACAGCTGGACATAAAATATACGCAAAAATAAAAACCCCTATGCAGTCAGTCGAGAAAGGCTGTTGGAAGATGGAGAACAGAAAGAGCTTCTTCCTTTCGGGCAGAGTTAAACCTTTGGAACTCCCTCCCACAGGAGGCAGGGAGATGGAGGAGGAAAGGGCGACTTGGGGGTCTGCTAGGCACAAGGGCCAGGCTCTGCCAGGGGCTGGGAAGGAAGCGCGGGGAGAGAGAGGGGCTCTTGCACTCCAGTCCTGCGGGGGGGGGGGGGGGCTTCCCAGAAGAAGCCCCTGTAAGAACAGGAGGGGGCACTCAAGAGGGGGCCCCTTTGGCCTGATCCTGCAGGGCTCATGTTCTGATGCAGAGTTCCTCCGGTTGTAAGCGAACCCTCCCTTGTCCTCCAGTTAGAAGGAAAGCTTTCCCCACCACCCGTTCATCAGGCCGGGAACTTATCCAGACTCCTGGCTGACCCAGGTGCGCCCGTTCAGACATGCAGCCTCTCAGGTGTCCAAATGATCTTCTGAGACTGACCAGGAAGCCCTGAACAGAGAACCACCAGAGGTCTCCCCACCCAAGGAATCGAAGACCTGCTGGGAAGGGAGGGAACCTTGGGAGGGATGGGGGTGAAAGAGGCAGGCCCCCCGCCCCCAGTGCTGAGAGTTACTGGGAGACCCTCTTCCCACCTGGCAAGGAGGACGGTTGCCTAGCCACTCCAAGGGAACCTCTCCTAGCAGCGCTCAGCACCCTTTACAAACTACAGTTCCTGGGATTCTATGGACTCTTTAAAGGGGTCTCATCCTGCTTTACAGCCCGGGGGGGAGGGGCTGGGAGCGTGTTGTCTTTTTGGAATAACTTAATTGAGCTTTATAGCAAGGTTCAAGGGAATAATGACAAATGAAGGATACAAAGAAATATTCTCTTCTGTTGTAATTTGTACACCACAAAAATAGCACAATAGCTTTATGGGAATATCTGCAACATATAGTTCATTATTAGAGGTCAGGCAGTGTCTGAGTTCTTGGTTTGTGAATAGGTTTAAGCAAAAGCAGAAAAAGGGCCAACAGGACAGAGCCGTTAACAGATAACACTGAGCATCACATAGCCAAACGCCTGAGGCTTTGTTTATTTTCTTCCATGCTTGAGGCTTTATGTTACTATTATTATTGTTTGTTGGTATTTTTACTACTATTACCGCTGTTCCAGAGCAGAGTGTAACCATTTAAAATTATTTTATAAAGTCAAAACAAATAACAATCAGAGGAATAGGCTGGGTCCTCCGTTGTCAGAGGCCTTGGGAAAGAGGGGGAGGTGCCTGTGTGGGGAGGGAATCCCCCAAGGGGGGGTCTGCCCCCAGGATGCCCTCTCTTGGGCCACCCCCACCCAAGACTCTCAAGGGGGTGAAGCTACCAAGAGGGCCCCCTCTGCCAAATTTCACAGCCAAAGGGATCTGTAGGGAAGAAGGGGATTCTTCACATATTGGGGGGCCAAAGTGAAGTCCTCCTGTGAGCACTTTGAATTGGACCTGGAAATGAAGGGACCACCAATGCAGCTGTTTTGAAACAGGAATTAAATGTGTTCTCAAGGGTGGGCTTCAATGAGGAGGGGGAGACCCATGGATGCTCCTTGAAGAAAAAGATGGGAAAGACATGCCCTTCATAAAGAAAGGGAACCCAGCCAAGGGGACTGGCTGGCAAAGGAGCCGGAGCTGGAATGGGCACTTGCAACCCCAGTGGGAATGTGAGCCCCTTCTGTGCTCGCTTTTTAGTGCTGCCCTTTGGCCTGGCCCACGGGGCCCTCAGGGGCTTGTTATCTGGCCCTCAGAGTAGGGATGCCACCCCAGTAGTGTGTCTTGAATGTGCTGGAGATTCCCAGGGCTAGAAAATGAGACGGAAGCAGGAAAGAGATGAACCTTCAAGACCTCACCTGCAGAAGCATTGGCAGTTAAGAAAAAGAATACAGTGGTGCCCCGCAAGACGAATGCCTCGCTAGACGAAAGAGTTTTCCGTTTTTTGAGTCGTTCTGCAAGACGAATTTCCCTATGGGCTTGCTTCGCAAGACGAAACGTCTTGCGAGTTTGTTTCCTTTTTCTTAAAGCCGCTAAGCCGTTAATAGCTGCTAAGCCGCTAATAGCCGTGCTTCGCAAGACGAAAAAACCGCAAGACGAAGAGACTCGCGGAACGGATTAATTTCGTCTTGCGAGGCACCACTGTAAATGGAAGGAGAATGGCCCACATACTGAATATTATTAGAAGGACAGCAGGATGAACCCACGTTGAAAAAATGTGAAGAAATTAAAGGGTATCTGTCGAATTGGCTACAATATTTTCAAATACATCAGAGATTAATCATGGATAAATAAGCAGGTCTTACAAAAGAAACATCAAAATTTGAAAAAGAATTGATACCAAGTAAAGGAAAATACATCTCACAGATATATGATCTACTATTAGAATGGGAGGTAAAGGGCAAGCAAGTGAAAGCAGTAATGCTGAAAAGGGCACAAGACCTGGGTTATAATATTTACATGGAACAATGGGGGAAATTATGGGGGGAAGATATAAAATTTACAGCCGCAGGGAGAATATATTGAAGATGATGTACAGATGGCACCAAACTCCAGAAAAACTTGCTAAAATGTACAAGAATAGATCACCTATACGTTGGAGATGTAATAGAGAAATTGGGTCTTACTTGCATATGTGGTGGAAGTGTACAGACATCTTCGTATTTTGGAATAACATACCGTATTTTTCGCTCCATAAGACGCACCAGACCACAAGACACACCTAGTTTTTGGAGGAGGAAAACAAGAAAAAAAAGATTCCGAATCTCAGAAGCCAGAACAGCAAGAGGGATCGCTGCGCAGCGAAAGCAGCAATCCCTCTTGCTGTTCTGACTTCTGGGATAGCTGCACAGCCTGCATTCGCCCCATAAGACACACACACATTTCCCCTTACTTTTTAGGAGGGAAAAAGTGAGTCTTATAGAGCAAAAAATACGGTATATCAAGAACTTTAAGAATTATTCACATTTACATTAAAAAAATGCCAGAAATATTTCTATTAAGTATAATGCCAAAAGAAAAAGGGAAATCGAAAAGAACTTTGTTCATGTATGGGATAACAGTGGCCAGAATCTTAGTAGCAAGAAATTGGAAAAATAGAGCAATACCGAACATGGCGGATTGGCAAATCCTAATGGGAGAATACCTGCAGCTAGCAAAGACAACAAGAAGGATAAGAGGCCAAACAAAACAAATAGCCTATAAGGATTGGAGAATTTTTAAAGAATACTTTAAAAATTACGGTATAAAAGGAAACTTCTTGGCAGAATTAGACTGAACCTTGCATTGTATAAATATAAGTTTGTAGGGAAGTTATCAGAAACTATATAAGAAATATATAACTGTGCGGTATACAGATAAAGTACAGCGAGACTAATTGGAAATCATTTTCAATTTCTTGTTTTACAAGTTTTACAATCGTTCACATAACTGGGAGTACAAAGGATGTTAGTTATAAGAATTGTGTTGTTTCATATATTGCTACTGTCTGTCAATTTATAGTTTGTTTATTTGATTGTATGTTTGATTGTTGGTTGGTTTGCTTTCCTGGCATAAATGCATCTATTTTAAAACAATAAAGATATATATTTAAAAGAAAAGAAATGAGCCTCCAAGTATGAGTGGGAGGGAGAGCAACCCTAAAGGACTCCAGGGTTAGGACCCCCACTCTTGCCTAGTGCCCAGTGTCCTGTACATCCTGTACAAATGACCCACTTGTCAATCACAGTTCTGACCTCTTTCATTGACAGAAAACACCGAAAGGCAGGAGCAACCAGGCGGATTCATCTGACAGAAATTCCCTGTTTGCTGCACATTTTGCATAGTAACTTTCCTTCTAAGAGAGCTAGATGCTGGCTTCTCCTTTTCCCTTTTTGAAAAAGAAAGTTCAGAGTCCGGGTTGTGTTGCAGCCCAGCCCTGGCTCCTAGCAAGACTCATCCACGCTTGCTCAAAGAACCTCTTTCGTCTCCTGACCGTGTTTCAATTTCACATGTATTTGCTTTGTAGGATTTGCAGACGCCTCTGCTTAGGACAGACAGAACTGGACAGAAGAACAAGGGCTTCCTTCTGATATCTTGAAGACTTCCTGAGAGCCAGGATGGATGAGAAAGACTCAGCTGGCCCTGAAGCAGGAAGAGGCCATGCCATCAACACCGGGAGCAGTGAGGGATTCTGGGAAAGCTCCATGCAGAAGATCCTGGGTGAGGAGGACATTCTCCGCTCAGATGTGCAGAGACAAAAGTTCAGGCAGTTCTGCTACCAGGAGGCCAAAGGACCCCGTGAGGTTTGCAGCCGCCTCTACTGCCTTGACTGTCAATGGCTGAAGCCAGAAAGGCACACGAAAGCTGAGATGCTGGACCTGGTGGTCTTGGAGCAGTTCCTGGCTGTCCTTCCACCACAGATGGAGAGGTGGGTGCGGGAATGTGGAGCGGAGACCAGTTCCCAGGCGGTGGCCCTGGCCGAAGGATTCCTCCTGAGTCAGGCAGAGGAGAGGAAGCAGGCAGAGCAGCAGGTGAGAGAGACTGTCCTCTGGATATTCCCAAGGGGCTCTGAACAGGAGGTCGAATATCCCAAAATCCTCTACTGATTTTTTGGAAAGCATCCAAGGAATGATGTCTGTTAACTCTAAAGTGCTTGCCTCTACCATTCCTTTTCTAATCTTTCTCCCTGTTCTCTGTTTTGAATCCTTGTTGCTCTTTCAGCGGAAGGATCCGTTTGCAGAAATGGGCCTGGATTCCTGTGAGGCAGAGAAGACTCCGTTGGACGCCAGAGAGAGGCCGCTGGGTAAGGAGGATGGGGGGGTTTTCTCTCAGTTTGGTCACATTCTGGAAACTAATCCCTGGATTACTCTTTGGTGGGAAGACCCTTGGGGCCAAGAGCTCAGAGGAATCCCGCGAGATGTAATTTTGCACAACTAAAATGTGGATGGCTGGTGCATCTGCTCCTGTTCAGACATGCAGCCTCGCAGGCGTCCAGAGGATCTTCTGAAAGTGATCAGAAAGCCCTGCTGAGAACCCCTGGAGGCCTCGCCACCCAAGGGGGGAAGGAAGCAAAGCTGTGCTGTGGGGGGGGGGGAGAGGCAGCCCCCGCCCAGTGCTAAGTTACTGGGAGACCTTCTCCCACCAGCTCCCTCTGCCCAGAGTTCCCTGAGAAGGAGGACAGATTGCTCACCCACTTGGGGGGGGGGACCCTGACCATTAGGTCCAGTCACGAACGACTGGGGTTGCGGCGCTCATCTCACTTTACTGGCAGAGGGAGCCGGCGTACAGCTTCTGGGTCATGTGGCCAGCATGACTAAGCCGCTTGTGGCAAACCAGAGCAGCGCACGGAAACGCCGTTTACCTTCCCGCCGGAGTGGTACCTATTTATCTACTTGACTTTGACATGCTTTCGAACTGCTAGGTTGGCAGGGGCTGGGACAGAGCAACGAGAGCTCACCCCGTCGCGGGGATTCGAACCACTGACCCTCTGATTGGCAAGTCCTAGACACTGTGGTTTAGACCACAGCGGCACCCGTGTCCCTTGTTTGCATCCTTAACAAGCTACAATTCCTGGATTCTTTGGAGGAATTCCATGGCTCTTTAAAGCGAGTGGATCTTGCTTTGCACCTGGGGGGTGTCTGTCCTGTCCTTTTCTTTTCTTTTCCTTTCGGAAAAAAAACAACCACACTTTTTATTGGGTTTTATAAACAAGGGTCGTAAGACGAATAAAGCATACAAATAAATAGACCGAGTCTTCTCATGTCATTTGTAGATCACTGGATAAGCATAAAAATTTGGTTATTATGCTAAAGCCAATTTGGTTGCCCATAAAGGAGGGCGACTCCTACTGTACTTGCTTTGGCCCCGCCCACATGGCCCTTAAGGGGCTGGCCAGAAATTAAATATATAGCCCTCAGAATAAAGAAAAAGGGACCTCACCCCAGTAGTATATATTGAGAATGTTGGGGATTCCAGGTGCTAGGAAATGAAGCACAATCGGTGCAAATGACTAACTCGTCAGTCACTGTTCTGACTTCATTCACTGACTGAAAACACTGAAAGGCAGGAGCAACTAGGCTGTGTCACCTCACAGAAATCCCTTCAGTTGCCTCTACGTTTTGCATTATAAATTCCCTTCTACGTTTCCTCCTCCTCCTCCTCCTCTTCTTCTTCTTCTTGGCTGTGGTGCAGTCCAGCCCTGGTTCCTCAAGACTCATCCATGCTTCTTGAGAGAACACTTTTCTTCTCCTCATCATGTTTCGATTTTATAACAGATCAATGTATTTGCTTTGTAGGATCTGGTAGCACATCTCCTTTGGACAGGCGGAACTTAGCAGAAGACGAAAGGGATTCTTTCCGATCTCTTGGAGCCTTCTTGGATGAGCAAGAGTCAACTGGCCCAGAAGCAGGAAGAGGTCAGGCCATCCAAAATGGCGGGTTGTGGAAGACCTCAGTGCAGCAGATCCTGGATGAGGAGGACACTCTGTGCTCAGATGTGCAGAGCCAGCAGTTCAGGCAGTTCTGCTACCAGGAGACTGAAGGACCCCAAGAAGTTTGCAAAAGACTCTACCGCCTTTACCATCAGTGGCTGAAGCCAGAAAGGCACACCAAAGCTGAGATGCTGGACCTGGTGATCTTGGAGCAGTTCCTGGCTGTCCTTCCACCACAGATGGAGAGCTGGGTGAGGGAATGTGGAGCGGAGACCAGTTCCCAGGCGGTGGCCCTGGCCGAAGGATTCCTCCTGAGTCAGGCAGAGGAGAGGAAGCAGGCAGAGCAGCAGGTGAGAGAGACTTTCCTCTGGATTCTCCCAAGGGGCTCTGAACAGGAGGGAGAACATCATCACAACACTCTCTACTATTGGCTCATCCATTTTTGGAAAGCATCCAATGAGTGTTATTTGGTACCCCTAAAAGATTTTGTCTCTGCTGTTCCTTTTCTAATCCTTCTCCCCGTTTTGAACCCTTCCTGCTCTTTCAGGGAAAGGACTCATCTGAGGCAGAGAGGACTCCATCTGACAACAGAGAGAGGCCATTGGGTAAGGAGAAATCAGGGTGTCCCGTCCCCCTGGTTTGGTCACATTCTGTGGCTTTTGAAACTAATCTGTGGGTTCTTTTAATCTTTTGTGGAAGACGCTTGGGACCAAGAGCCCAAAGGAGGCGAGAGCTAGTTTTGCCCAACTAAAATATGAAGTGGGTGCAAACGTCAAAATGCAGTCAGCAGGGGAGATTTCTTTTTCAAAGGTCCATCTGAAGTGAGAGCGACACAGATTCAGGGCTCCCCACTTACCTTGCTCTCTCGCAGGTGACAGAAGGGTGCCAGCAAGACCTCCAAGTCCGTCTTCTCCTGGCAGCAGAGAGGAAGCAGCGGCTGTGGAAACAGATCAGGTAGCGGGAAGGAGCCTTGCGGGGAAAGAGGCCGGGGGGGGGCTGCCAGGGGGAACGAATCTCTCTCCTCCTCTTGGCTTCTGTCAAAAATGCCCTCAACGAAGGATGAAAACGCCATTTGAGAAGGTTTCTGTGCTGAGAATAAGGAACAGAATTGGGATTCCAGATTCCCCTAACGGGGCTTCCCCTGCTCTCCGCCCTTTCCCTGTGTCCCCGTGATTCCTTGGAAGTTGGCTTTAGGGAATCGGGAGGTTCCCCCCCTCCAAAAACAGAGGGGATCTTTCTGCCCAGCAATGCTTCTGCAGGCAGAATGATTTGAAGAAGGAAGGCAATGTGGAGTTGCACCCATTTACACAAAGGTTAGTAAAGGTAAAGGGACCCCTGACCATTAAGTCCAGTCGCGGACGAGTCTGGGGTTGCGGCGCTCATCTCGCTTTATTGGCCGAGGGAGCCGGCGTACAGCTTCTGGGTCATGTGGCCAGCATGACTAAGCCGCTTCTGGTGAACCAGAGGAAATGCCATTTACCTTCCCACCGGAGCGGGACCTACTTATCTACTTGGACTTTGATGTGCTTTCGAACTGCTAGGTTGGCAGGAGCAGGGACCGAGCAACGGGAGCTCACCCCGTTGTGGGGATTCAGACAGCCGACCTTCTGATCAGCAAGTCCTAGGCTCTGTGGTTTAACCCACAGCGCCACCCGTGTCCCTAAAGGTTAATACCCATCATTAAAACACACAGTAAATGAATTCCATTAAGACAGCAAGAGCTGTTGGACAGTGGACTGGTCTCCCTTGGGAGGTTTTTCAGCAGAGGTTGGGTGGCCGTCTGTCAATGATGCTTCAGCTGAGATTCCTGCATTGCAGCGGGGTGGACTAGAGGACCCTTGGGGTCGCTTCCAACTCTATGATTTTATGATTCTAAGACAGAGGTCGGCAACGTGTGGCCCATGGGACAGATGCAGCCCACAAAGACCGTTTTACCGGCCCACGTGCCGCCCCTGAACAGAGCTGCCTCCCTGGCAAGGCACCCGCACACTGCGCTAAACCAGCACCGCATGGCGCGGGGACTCACCAAGCGGCACCGGAAATTGTGTCTGCGCATGCACAGATACTGGAAATCACGTCTGGGCATGTCCAGATGCCGGAAATCGTTTCTGCGCAGGCACAATTTCTGGCATCTGGGCATGTGCAGATGCGATTTCTGGCGTCGTGCTGCGCCAGTCCAGCCCACGGACGATTTCCATGGGAGTGATCCGGCCCACGGCCGGTAAACCTTGCCAACCCCTCTTCTAAGACATTAAGCATAACTGAAATGTGAAGCAGTTCCATGAAAACAACAAAGCAATGATCAGGCAGAAAACAGCCATATGTAGTCGATAATCAGTGTGCTGCTAAGATCCTTTTCCTTTTCCTGGAAGGGTCCGGTGTGCTTTGAAGACGTAGCTGTCCATTTCACAGAGGAGGAATGGGCGTTGCTGGATCCTGACCAGAGAGCTCTGCATGAGGAAGTCATGGAGGAACATCATGGGATCCTGGACTCTCTGGGTAAGGCCCCCTGATGGATCACAATACCCGTTTTGAAATTCCATACATATCTCTAGGTGATGAACTCCCCAGATTTTGCTGGAGCTCCACTGTGCCGCCTGTTCGAATCTGGGATGCTGACACCCCCACATCAAACCTTGAATGGAGGGGTATCCACTCTTTGGTCTGTGCATCTTCTTCCTCCAGTTTTGCCTTTTTAAACCTTGATCAGGCTGGTCTTTACTGCCCAGGCCTTTTTAAAGATAGGCTTCAGGGCTTCTTCTGCCAGTTTTTTGGTTGGCCAAAGACATGACTGATATTGGAGATGGCGTGGATTCCATTACTGGGCCAAACAAAATCCATCCCAGTTAAGAGCCAGGCTTTTCAGATTTCAGTTTCCCATAGATATGCCTGTTAATGCCAGTCGACAAAGGCCGTCAGCCCTGTAGAAAGACTCTGCATCTGACTCCTTTGTTCTTCCTCTATCACAATTCATGTTAATAAGCATTGTTCAGTGATATGGGGCTCCATGTTTACCTCTTTTTAAATTGTATTTTTTATAATTTTTGTTTTTCGGTTTTTCAAAAATTCACAGACATACAGATTACAAAAACACAAATCACATACATTTCCAATACGCATATATTTGACTTCCCTCCTCCCCTTTTGTGGTTCCTTTTTAATTTTAATATTGCATTTTCCACATTACTCCATTTTTTTGTAATTCTTTATTTTCTCCTAATATGTTTAATTGCTTGTATTGCGATAACCCTGCTAGTGAGCTTATTTGCATAGATGAGTTTTCCAGATATTCCACAATTTCCCCCCAATCTTTAATAAAAACCTTGCCATTTTGGCATAATCCATTAATTCTGCCAGCCCCTCTTTCTTGGCTGGCACTTCATCTTCTTTCCATCTCTGGGCAAAAACCATTCTAGCTGCAGTTGTGACATACATACACAATTTTTTTTGGTCTTTTGGAATCTCAGTGCCTACCACCCCTAGAAGAAAAGCAGCTGGGTTTTTACTAAAAGTTATCTTAAAAATTTTTTTCAATTTAAGCTTTTACTCTCTTACAAGACCACCACATATAGTAAAAGTACCTTCTTTTTCTTTACGTTTTCAGCATATGTTTTTTTATTTATACATTTTTGCCAATCTACTAGGAGCTAAATACCATCTATACATCAATTTCATGTAGTTTTCTTACAGTGTATAACATGCTGTAAACTTAAAATCTACATTCCACAACTTCTCCCATGCGGCCATTTCAATATTATGGTCTACATTTCTTGCCCAGTGAATTATAACCGACTTCACCTGCTCGCCTTTCATCTCCCATTCCAATAATAATTTATACATTTTGGAAATCACTTTGTCATTATTCCCTAGTAACTCTTTCAAATTGCGAGGTTTGATTTAAAAAACCCAATCTTTTTATCCACCTTGAAAACTTCATTAAGTTGAAAATATTGTAACCAATCTGTTACTTGTTGATCTACTTCTTCAAACCTCTTTAAGGTTATTTCCCAGTCCTTTTCTGTTAATAAATCCCTACATGTTGCCCAGTCCCACTTCAGACTCCTTTTTCCCCCACTGATATCGCTTCCAAAATCCAAAACCTGAGTAGTATGCAATGTCAACCATTCCTTTAACCAGCAAAGACAGGATGCCTCATAATATAATCTTAAGTCTGGCAGGGAGAATCCAACTCTCCTTCAAATCCACTAGTAATTTATATTTCGTTCTTGGTTTCCTCCCCTGCCAGATAAATCTCATAATATCTCTTTGCCATTCCTTGAAGCATCCTGTGTTGCTGATCATTGGAATTGTTTGAAAAAAAATATAGCATTTTTGGTAGCACATTCATCTTTATGGTTGATATTCTTCCTAACATATATTAATAATAATAATAATAATAATAATAATAGTAATAATAATAAGTGGTTGCCCCAACCACTCTGGGCAGCTTCCAACACACATAAAAATAAATGATCCAAGTCTCACAACCTCCTAAAAAAATAAATTCATGTTCTTAATTTAGTCTTTAGCAGTTATGCGTTATATTCCAAAGTCCGTCCCCCCCCCCGCAAATTAGTTGCATGCAGATCAAAACCCCACAGCCAGAGCAGACCTTTATTTACACTCCAACCTCGTGCCAAAGTAATTCTGAATTTCTTTAAATTATGCCCAATCAAATTAAAACATCTTTGGCTTTTACCATTTTATGGAAGATTTACCGCTACTGCATGGAGCTCAAGGCTTCTCACCACGGAGTTTTGCTGCTGCCTTGTGTCTGCGGCTCAGTCTCAGCCCACCCCCAACTTCTTTCGGAGCTGAGAAACGGGAGAGAGAGCTCCCACCCAACGCTGCTGGACCCTTTGGAACCCAAATAAATCCTTTGGGTGTTTATGGGATGCACAGTGCCCCAGTGCGTTTCCCAACACTCTCGCAGCAAGAGAGCTGCTTAGGAGAAAGCGAAATCGCCATCCATCGCCATTACGCGGCAAACCGGAAGTTCAGGGCTCCTTGTCTTCCTGAGGTTCTAATCCATTTCTCCATTGCAGGTGGTGATGAATTAGAAATTAAGAACAAGGAAGACGATGACAAAGTCCACACAGTGGAGGAGACATATCAATATTCAGAGTGTGAAGTCAGCTTCAGTCAGAGCTCCGATTCCACTTCCCATCAAAATATCATTGAGAATAAACCCTACCAGTGCTTCGAATGTGGAAAGAGCTTCAGTCACAGCCACCATCTCACTTCCCATCAAAGAATTCATACCGGGGAGAAACCATATCAGTGCTTGGAATGTGGAAAGAGCTTCGGTCAGTGTGCCCACCTCGCTGCCCATCAAAGAATTCATACAGGGGAGAAATCGTATCAGTGCTTGGCATGTGGAAAGAACTTCAGTCAGAGTTCCCATCTCACTGCCCATCAAAGAAGTCATACAGGAGAGAGACCGTATCAGTGCCTGGAATGTGGAAAGAGCTTCAGTCACAGCACCCATCTCACTGCCCATCAAATAATTCATACAGGGGAGAAACCATATCAGTGCTTGGTATGTGGAAAGAGCTTCAGTCAAAGCGGCCATCTCACTGCCCATCAAAGAATTCATACTGGAGAGAAACCATATCAGTGTTTGGAATGTGGGAAGAACTTTGGTCAGAAAGCCCATCTTCTTTCCCACCAAAGAATTCATACAGGGGGGAAACCATATCAGTGCGTGGAATGTGGAAAGAGCTTCGGTCAGAGGTCCAATCTCGCTGCCCATCAGATAATCCATACAGGGGAGAAACCCTACAAGTGCTTGGAATGTGGAAAGAGCTTCAATCGCAGCGCCACTCTCTCTGACCATCAAAGAACTCACAGCAGGGAAGAATTGTATAAATGCTTGGAATGTGGAAGGACCTTCACCTGGAAGCAAAGTCTCATTACCCATCAAAGAATTCATACAGGAGAGAAACCGTATCAGTGCTTGGAATGTGGAAAGAGCTTCAGTCACAGCACCGGTCTCTCTTTCCACCAAAGAATTCATACCGGGGAGAAACCCTATCAGTGCTCAGTTTGCGAAAAGAGCTTCAGTCAGAGCAGCCATCTCACTTCCCATCAAAGAATTCATACAGGGGGGAGACCCTACCAGTGCTCCTTTTGTGAAAAGAGCTTCAGTCAGAGCAGCCAACTCACTTGCCATCAAAGAATTCATACAGGGGAGAAGCCCTATCAATGTTCGGAATGTGGGAAGAGCTTCAATCGCAGTCACCATCTTGCTTGCCATCAAACCATTCATACTGGAGAGAAACCATATAAATGCCTCGAATGTGGAAAGAGTTTTAATACAAGCACAGCATTCAATAGTCATCAACGTATTCATGGCGGGGAGAAACCATTTCAGTGCCAAGAGTGTGGAAAGAGATTCACCTGGAAGCAAAGTCTCATGGCCCATCAAAAAATTCATACAGGGGAGAAACCGTACCAGTGCTTGGAATGTGGAAAGCGCTTCCGTCGGAAGACGCATCTCACTGCTCACCAGATAACTCACAGCAGGGAGAAAACCAACGATGGCTGTGTATGAAATTCTAAGAAACTTTAATTAGTAGGCAGTTGAGGATTGCAGCAGTGTTCTTGTCCTTCGGCATCCCAGCAAATAAGTCAGCCTTGGCTCAGTACCATGGAGCCACCCTCAGGGCCAATATTCCTTCTTACTATACACGCAAGGTACAAGTCATTGGCATAGATGTTGAATAGCTTTTCCCTGACACGTCTGGGAGGAGGGTCAATAGCAATTTGGAAGCAGTGATGAGGTTGCTATTGATGCTGGGAAGACGTTGGCAAGCAATTCATATACTTCCACTTCAAAAGCCTCCAAGTTGCAAATTGGTGGTGCTACTTGTTTTCTCTTGCTCCACAGAGTTGGACCCAAAGATATAAGAAAGGAGATTTTAACACCAGGAAGAACTTTCTTGTAACTTGAAGCCATTGGTTTGAGTCCTACCCTCCAGAGCAGGAGAAAACAAGCATGTTCCCTCTCCCATGAGATAGCCCTGTAGATATTGGAAGATGGCTATCATATCTACTCTCACTCTCCTCTTTTCCAGGCTAAACATACCAAGTTTCTTCAACCATTCCTCGTAAGGCTTAGTTCCAAACCCTTCATCATCTTGGTTGCTCTCTGCACAGCTTCCAGCTTGTCAACATCCTTCTTAAATCGTGGTGCCCAGAATTGAACATAATATTCCAGGTGTGGTCTGACCAAGGCAGAATAGAGTGGGGCTTCCCTTGATCTGGACAGTAGACCTCGATTGATGGAGCTTAGAATAGTGTTAATCTTTTTTGCTGCTGCATCACACTGTTGACTCATGTTAAGCTTGTTGTCCACCAAGAACCTTAGATGCTGTACTGCTTGTAAGCCAGGTGTCCCCTGTCTTATATTTCTGCATCTGGTTCTTCCTTCTGAAGTACAGAACCTTACATTGATCCTTCTTGAAATTTATTTTGTTAGCTTGGTCCCAATTCTCCAATCTGTTAAGGTCATTTTGAATCCCAGTACTGTCTTCTCTGTTATCAGCTGTCACTCACAATTTGGTGTCATCAGCAAATTTCATAAGCATCTCCTCAGTTTCTTCATCCAAGTTATTTAAAAAGACATTGAAGAACAACAAGCCTAGGACAGAAGCCTGCGGCACCCCACTTGTCACTCTTTTCCAGGATGATGAGGAACCATTAGCGAGAACTCTGTGGGTTCGGTCAGTCAACCAACTACAAATCCACCTAACAGTTACCTCGTTCAACCCATATTTTAACAGTTCCCTCGCAAGAATATCATGGGGGAATTTGTCAAAAACCTTACTGAAATCAAGATACACTCTGTCCACAGCATTCCCCTGATCCACCAAGCTTGTAACTCTTTATCAAAAAGAAAGAAAAGAGATTCATCTGGCATGACTTATTTTTTGAGAAAGCCACGCTGGGTCTTAATATTTTCTAAGTGTTCAAAGACTGACTGTTTAATTATATTTCCCAGGCCCTTTCCTGGCATCGGTGTCAGGCTCACCAGTCTGAGCTTTTGCCTGCCTGACCTTCACCCTTGAACTGCTGGCTACTCATCTATACACCTCCTTTGTGATTTCCCCTTTATTCCCTTTATTATGTATGCCCTTCTTAAATATCAGCTCCTTATGCAGCCACATGGGTTTCCTTAGATGCCTCCCACTTTTATTTCTTGTTGGAATTGTATGCATTTGGGCCTTCAGTAGTTCACCTTTTAGAAACTCCCATCCATCTTGGACACCCTTCCCTGAATATTTCTTACAATGGGATCTCACCTAGTATCCTTAAGCTTTTTGAAATTGGCATTCTTAAAGTCCAGAGTGCATGGACTACTGCAATGCACTCTCCATGGGGCTACCTTTGAAGGTGTCCCATTAACTGCAACTAATCCAGAATGCGACAACTAGACGGGGGACTGGGAGTGGCTGCTGAGACCATATTACACCGGTCCTGAAAGACCTACATTGGTTCCCTGTACATTTCCGAACACAATTCAAAGTGTTGGTGCTGACCTTTAAAGCCCTAAACGGCCTCGGTCCAGTAGACCGGAAGGAGCGTCTCCACCCTCATCGTTCTGCCTGGACACTGAGGTCCAGCTCCAAGGGCCTTCTGGCGGTTCCCTCCCTGCGAGAAGTGAGGTGACAGGGAACCAGGCAGAGGGCCTTCTCGGTGGTGGCGCCTGCCCTATAGAACGCCCTCCCATCAGATGTCAAGGAGATAAAGAACTACATAACTTTTAGAAGACATCTGAAGGCAGCCCTGTTTAGGGAAGTTTTTGATGTTTGATGTTTGATTGCTTTTTATTAATATTCTATTGGGAGCTGCCCAGAGTGGCTGGGGAAACCCAGACAGATGGGCGGGGTATAAAAAATGATGATGATGATGATGTCTGACTACACTCCGCTTTCCCTTGCCTCTGTATCATGAAACCCAGGAGATGATCACTTTCTCCCAAGTTTCCCAGTAATTTGATCAACCAGTTCCTTGCTATTGGTGAGGAACAGGTCCAAGAAAGATTACCCCCTTGTTGCTTCTTCCACCTTCTCGGAAATGAAATCATCAGCAAGGCAACAGAGGAATTTGTCAGACCTTCCATTCATGGCCGAATTTGAGTTCCAGCAGATATTGGGGTTGTTGAAGTCTTCCATGACTACTGTATCTTTTTCAAATGTGTGGGAATCTTCTATTGGAAGGCATCATAGAAGTCTTCAGTCTGGCTTGGAGACCCTCACAGTAAGGTCACTGTTGTATCTCCTACAATTTTTACCCATTGTCACAAGGCTGGCAGGGAAATGCTGTGTCTCCACAGGTCAGGAAAAAGCTGGAGGCTAGGAATGCAGTTGACTTTGATCCACAGAAAGTAACAGCAGGGTCTCCCTGGCTTGACTCCTTCAGCTTGAGATGTTGCTGGAAACTGACCTCTGGTCATGCCTTCCCCCTCCAGCCACTCACTCTGGAGCCCTCCCCAATAGATGGAGACTGCGACGTGGGGGTGAGCTCCTCTTCTGGACCTGTCTAGCCCTTTGCTGAGCAACATGAAGGACTCTCTGGGAGCGAGGTGTGAGAGGAGGAGAACCAGCAGGACTGAGACTGATTCCTCCCCGTCTGCGATTTATCTGGCAGGGGAAGAAGCCAATAATTAAATATAAAATATTGATGGATAATAAAGAAAGATGCGGATTCGCACTGCCAGACCTTAGATTATATTATGAAGCCTCCTGTTTGTGTTGGCTAACAGAATTGGTAACATCTAAAAATGTCAGACTATTAGATTTGGAAGGATACAGTAGGCGATTTGGATGACATGCGTAACTGGCATGCTGAAATAAAAGTTCATAAAGACTTTTTGAATCATAGTATAAGAAAGAGTCTATATCAGGGGTCAGCAAACTTTTTCAGCAGGGGGCTGGTCCACTGTCCCTCAGACCTTGTGGGGGGCCGGACTATATTTTGAAAAAAAAAATGAACGAATTCCTATGCCCCACAAATAACTCAAGAGATGCATTTTCAATAAAAGGACACATTCTGCTCATGTAAAAACACACTGATTCCCGGATCGTCTGCAGGCTGGATTTAGAAGGGGATTGGGCTGGATCTGGCCCCCGGGCCTTAGTTTGCCTACCCATGGTCTATATGGTGTTTGGGAGAGAATTTGTTGGGAAGAAAAACACTGTCATGGCTCTCCCCCATCAAAGCAAGTACCCAAAAGGAAACTCATGTGGAAAGGAAACGGGGTACTTTTAGAGATATATTGACTTTTGCTGATGCTGGTTTTAAACTAGAAGATATCAAGGACTGAGTACAAGACTGCTTCCAATATTATCAAGCTAACAAAATGTTTAAGAAAGGTATCGTGAATGGCTTGAAAGGAGTTCATTGGAAGATAATGAGAAGTTAATTTCAAAAATGTATAAATACTTTTGGAATGGGAATCCAAGGATGACTTGGTTAAAGCAGTAATGATACATTGGGCAAGAGACTTAAGACGTAATATAGAACTGGCTTTGTGGGAAATTCACAGCTTGCTATACCTTTAAGAGAAAATTATATGAAGATTTATAGATGGTATATGACACCAAATAAATTAGCCGAAATGTATAAAACAAAGTCGAGTGTGTGTTGGAAATGTAAAACAACAGAAGGAACATTCCATATGTGGTGAACTTGCAAAAAAGTGAAGGCCTATTGGGAAATGATTTATAATGAGATAAAAAAGATGTTTAAGATGATGTTCCCCAAGAAACACAAAGCTTTTCTTTTAGGGATTATAGAAACAGATATACCAAAAGAGTTGGTTAATTTGTTTATGTATGCAACGACATACATTCTTATGCTCAAAAATGGAAAGAGAAAGTTGTCCCAACAAAGGAAGAATGGCTTATTAGAATGATGGGATGTGCAGAACTGGCAAAGCCAACAGCAAAACTTAAAAGATAAAAATGATGAAACATTCTTTGAGGATGGGAAATCTTTCATAGAATAGCTAAAAAACTATTGCATGAAAACGTGAGTAGGATTTGAAATATGAGCAACAGTAGAAAGACATTAAGGCTAATAACTCCGGATGTACATGTGGAGTGTTGTAAGTTAAAATATGCAGCATTAAAGGATAAACGTGGAACTTCATGGAGGAGGGGACAGCAGGTCAGTGGATAAATTAAAAGTATTGTTGATGGTAAAGTATGTAACCTTTTGAAAACTAAATAAAACAAAATTTAATGGACAGCTGGCCAATCACATGTGAGATCTGCCTACAGAAGAGTGGCCACGACTGGAGAAGATTAATTCTAGCAGGCTCTGCAACCCTGCAAAACCTGAGGCCAGACCTTGCAAATCCCAGGCAAGTGGCTCCCCACTGAGGTGATAATTGCCGCCATGGCCTAAAGCGAACTAAGGGAAAATACCAGTTCACAATATCACCCAATACTGTACCAGATTAGTCTACAGGGAAATTGAATAAATTAACACAAAAACCCGTTTGACTGATTCACCTCATTCCAATGGTGGGGGGGACAAGAACCATGACATGGGCAGCTTACAGTTTACCATAATCTCTGAGATGGACCACCGCATACTCAGGATACCCCTCCCAGTTGCCAAACCAGGTGTCCTGGTCCCAGCAGAGGGACCAGATTACACTTTGTTGAAGGGATACTTCCCACTTGAGTAGAAATCATATATCAAACAATGGAAAGCTCTTTAATCTGAGCAGGCTGAACGCCCTCCCATCAGATGTCAAGGAAATAAACTATCTGATTTTTTCAAGGCAGCCCTGTTTAGGGAAGTTTTTAATGTTTGATCTCTCATTGCTATTATTATTATTATTATTATTATTATTCCATTGGAAGCCACCCAGAGTGGCTTGGGAAATCCAGCCAGATGGGTGGGGTATAATAATTATTATTATTATCATTATCATTATTATTAACTTCCATCATGGAGCTTCAGTATGCTGAGGACAACGTAGTGTGCGCACACTCAGAGGATGACCTCCAAACCATCCTAATTATCTTCGCAGAAGCTTACAAAAAGCTTGGCCTATCGCTCAACATCCAAAAAACCAAAGTGCTGCACCAAAAAGCACAAAATATCCCCTCTACAGCACCACAAATCCAACTCAGTGGTTTAACCCTGGAAAATGTCAATCACTTCTCCCACCTGGGCAGTTATCTTTCCACAAGGGCCGACATTGAGGCTGAAATCCAGCTCCACCTGAGTCTGTAGTGCGGCTTTCTCCTGATTGAAGTGCGGAGTGTTTGAGGACCGGGACATTCGCAGGGAAACCAAAACGCTTGTTTACAAAGCTGTTGTACTACCAACCTTACTGTATGCACATGAAACATGGACCACTTACAAATGCCATCTCCAACTCTGAAAGATTCCATCAACGGTGTATCTGAAAAATGTTACACATCACTTGGGAAGACAGGCGAATTAATGCCAGTACTGGAAGAAGCAAAGATCACCAGTGTTGAAGCAATGATTCTTCAACATCAACTTTGTTGGACTGGTCATGTTGTTCAGATGCCTGGTTATTGTCTTCCAAAGCAACTCCTCTATTCCGAACTTAAAAATGGAAAGTGTAATGCTGGTGGTTAACAAAAGAGGTTTAAAGACTCTCTCAAGGCAGGTAGATAGCCATGTTGGTCTGCTGTAGTTTAAACCAAATAAAAAAAATCCTTCCAGTAGCACCTTAGAGACCAACTAAGTTTGTTATTGGTATGAGCTTTCATGTGCATGCATCTGAAGAAGTGTGCATGCACACGAAAGCTCATACCAATAGCAAACTTAGTTGGTCTCTAAGGTGCTACTGGAAGGAATTTTTTTATTTTTTCTCAAGGCAAATGTTAAAAAATGTAGTATAAACACCAATAACTGGGCAACACTGGGCTGCGAGCGCTCCAGTTGGAGAACAGCCTTTACCAAAGCTGTCATGGACTTTGAGGACACTCAAACTCAGGACGCAAGGGGGAAACGTGCTAAGAGGAAGGGATGTTTGGCAAACCCTCACCATGATCAACTCCCGCCCGGGAACCAATGTCCCCACTGTGGAAGGACGTGTGGATCCAGAATTGGCCTCCACAGTCACTTATGGACTCATTGCTAAAACCGTGTTCATGGAAGACAATGTTACTCGTCTATGAGGGATCGCCAGAGAAGAAGAAAGATCAGACTCACCATAGCCAGATGGGAAACCCAACTCCTTAGTGGAATGTGACCCAGGCTGAACAGATAAACTGCCAATCAAGTTTGAATGTCAAAGGGACATGTAAATTAGAGCTGCCATGTGTCCAAAATTTCTTGGGCATAGCCAGAATTGGCATTTGGTAACAGCGTCCGGGCAGAAATTGCTAAAATGTCCAGGAAAAATTGGACATACGGCAACCCGTGTCAGTAGCGCAGATTTTGGCAAATTTCCTTAAAAATAGCTTCCAACTTCCATTTTTTGAGATTTTGCAAAACAAACTCAACAGCTTTTGTGTCCAGATTTTTACTTTTTGAGATATGGCAATCCTAATGTAAATACTTTAATTTGTCTGTGTGAGATACATGTTGTAACAATGTATGATTGAGAAGAGCATGTCTGGATCTCAGATTTCTGCCTGACATCACTCCTCTTCTGTGACATAAACATGATGTTTTGATGACACTGTGTGAAATGTATTATGGGAAATTGGGGGAACTTAAAAAAACTCATGTAATCTTTGTTTTGGGCTTCTTTGCTCGCCTTTGAGGGTGAGACCTTTGTTGCAACAAATAAAGGTTTAGGCCTCTGGCTGCAGATCTGCTTTGTTGGCTTGGTTGAAATCTCTTGTTTTCTAACTGATGCAGGAATCTGCAGGGCTAGACTCTGGCAAAGTTGGGAAATGCTTTAAGTAGCAGACCCCAGGATTTGTCCTCCTCAGAAGGCAATTTCCCAGCGGAGCCCAAAGAGCAGGAAGCCAAACCAGAGTCGTCCTGTCCTGTTCCCACCCCAACAAAGGCAGAGGGTGCTCTACCACCGTAGCTCTATGGGTCAGAAATTTCCAATTGGGCTAAATCAGCATCTCAAGAAATGGGAGGGTTTAGAAAAGGAATGGGAATAGCGATCAAGGGGTGAGGATCATGGGGTCTAGATGCCGTGTGGTGATGAGAAGGGCAAGGGGGAGGAAAGGGGCAAAGAAACCCCACCCCACCCCAAGAGCTCCTTTCCTGGGACCCATTGGCAGGGGTCTGGATCCATGCAATCCAGCTGCAAGGGGGCCCCCAAGACCGGCAGGGTTTCCATGGTGTCATCTGCCCTCAAGGCATCTCTGCACACACCAATGTTTGTCCTCTGAGGACCAAGAGAATCTCAGCTTCCCTGCACTCCTTTTTTAAAGCCACCGCCCCCTTGGTTCCATGGTGGATGAAGCACTGGACCTTCGAGGCGATTCATAAACTTCTCCCGGAAAGATACCGTATTTTCGCCCCATAAGACGCACCTGACCATAAGATGCACCTAGTTTTTAGAGGGGGAATGCAAGAAAAAAAATATTCTTTAAAGGGAGCGCTGAGCAGAGTCTGTTTGCATCCCAGGCTCTGCTCAGCATTCCCTTTCACGAGCCTTGTGGAGCATCTGTGCGGCTCTTGGGGGCTTTTCCCCGAAGAGGGAGAAGGGAAAAGCCCCCAAGAGTCGCACACACACTCCGCACAGCTCTTTAAAGGGAACACAGCTCTTGGGGGCTTTTTCGGGAGGTGGGGGAAGGGACTGAGGGGCTAAGCCAGAAGCTAGAACAGCGAGAGGCAGCACTGCTTTCGCTGCTCAGCGATCTGTCTTGCTGTTCTGGCTTCTGGGATAGCCGCGCAGCCTGCATTCGCTCCATAAGACGCACACACATTTCCTCTTACTTTTTAATAGGGAAAAAGTGCGTTTTATAGAGCGAAAAATACAGTACCATGTAATGCTTCTTTCCCCATCTGCCAGGAGCCTATGCTCTATTTGGGCATCCCCATTCTGCACCCCCAGGTTCCTCAAAGGTCTTGGGGAAGGAAACCGAGGCAGGCTTAGCCGTTGTGGCAGGAAGAGCTTATGAGGTTTTTCTTTCAAGGGCCCTGCAGGAGATTCGGGGGGGGGGGGGGCTGTCTCTTCCTCAGGCCATTGCAGCACCCAGCAGGCCTAAAAAAGAAAGAAAACACCATCATTCACAAGAGCTCCCTCTATTTCTTGCCTGGGACCCCAGTTCAGCCAGTTCCCCAGAGTCCCCCCACTGGGCTGCAGAAGCCCCCTGAGACCTGGAGGGATTACATACCCTCCAACATTTCTCCGATGAAAATAGGGATGTCCCATTTCCTAATGATAACTTTACTATTTATACCCCACCTATTTTACTGGGTTGCTGCAGCCACTCTGGGTGGCTTCCAACATCTATAAAAACAATACAGCATAAAACATTTTAAAAATTCCCTATACAGGATTCTGGTGCTTAGGCAATCTCCAGCAATATCTCTTGAGCTTTGAGGAGAAGAAATCACTATGATCATTATAAGTGGAAGATGGTTCAAGACATCAATAACTTTCTAGTCTCTTGTCTGGCTCAAGCGGCGGGTGCAGAGCTGGAGAAAAACATGTTTGCAATATGTTTCTCCAAAGTTTGGCATAGGTCAGTGTTTGTGTTTGGGAGGGGGAAGTTTGAACAAGGGTCCAACTAGAAAAGCGGTTCTCCACCTGTGGGTCCCCAGATGTGGTTGGACTACAACTCCCATCATCCCTGAGCTCTGGCCTTGCTAGCTAGGGGTGGTGGGAGTTGTAGTCCAACAACATCTGAGGACCCACAAGTTGAGAAAGGCTGAACTAGAACAACACTGCATCTCACGGTTGCAAACGTGACAAGCAGGACAGGAGCCTCCCCAGAGCGGCTCACAATTTCTCACGGGGCTGGGGGGTTGTTAAAGCTTTAAAAGGCTCCTAACCAAGATGGCTGTGCTCTGGGGAGAAGTCCGTTGCCCTCAGGTCCAGCCAGGACTCTCAGCTGAGGCATCGGTTGGCCACTGTGAGCACAGGGTGCAGGATGATGAGGGGCCATTGGCCTAATCCAGCAAGCTGGCTCTTCTTAGTGTTACTGTGTTTTGATTTCACAATTGTGCTGTGTTTTGCTACCATGAACGCCTTTTAGAAGATAGAAATGTGAATAAGAATATAGAATTGCCCTAAGATAAATTAGGCCGGTAGGATCATGGTCTCCACTTCCTTGAGGTAGGACTCTAGGCTGCGCTTCAAAGCAGTTGAAAAGAATGTGTTTGCTAAGACTCTTGCGGACCTGTTCAGGAAAGGTTCCAACTAGCACTTGAGGGGGAGAGAGAGATTGTGGACGACAGAAGAGCACCTGGCACAGGGGAGAATAGCTGCATTGATGAGGAGGTGCTCCAGAAACCGGCTAAAGGGCAGGAAATGCCAGGCATCCGAGGTTCCAATCCCCCACGGTAGGTTGCCCGAAACAAATAAGAGAGTGAAAGTTCTTTCCAATGCTTTTATTCAGTAATTCCCACAGAGAGGCTTAGAAACGCAGCCGCTTGGAGTAATGGCCTTGCTCCGAATGAGTCTCCACCCCCTCCCCATTCTCCCACCATGCATCATCACTGTGGTTGCTGAGATGTGTCCTCTGTCTCTGAGCTCTCTGCTCTCCTACTTTCAATGCCTGCCGGGTTCTGGGAGGGGGGCTTTCTGTGTCTGTTAGCTGCCCCCCTTCTTCCTCCTCTCCCATTATTTCCCAACTTTCCCCTCATCTGCCTCTGAGCTGTGATCTCCCTCAAACCCTTGTTGTAATCCTGAACTGTCGTCTTCTTCTCTGGAAGGTTCAGTCTGAGGAGTCGGTCTCCACCATCCCCCCCCCCTGCCCAGTCCCTGACACACTCTTAAAAAAAAGTTGAGTGTTTTGCGGACCTTGAGCCATCTTTGCAACTCTTTCAGCTGCTCTAGACCAGGAGACAGGAGAAAGAACCTGAGAGGCTGGAACTGAAGCAAGCAGGACTTTCTGTAACCACAAAGCTCACCCCCTGTAGAGCTCACACAGTTCTGTACTCTGGATTCTCTGGAACATGTAGTTCTAGAACATCCAGTATTGAGACATCCAGTTCTGGGACATTCATAGAATCATAGAATCCTAGAGTTGGAAGAGACCACAAGGGCCATCGAGTCCAACCCCCTGCCAAGCAGGAAACACCATCAGAGCACTGCTGACATATGGTTGTCAAGCCTCTGCTTAAAGACCTCCAAAGAAGGAGACTCCACCACACTCCTTGGCAGCAAATTCCACTGTCGAACAGCTCTTACTGTCAGGAAGTTCTTCCTAACGTTTAGGTGGAATCTTCTTTCTTGTCGTTTGGATCCATTGCTCCGTGTCCGCTTCTCTGGAGCAGCAGAAAACAACCTTTCTCCCTCCTCTATGTGACATCCTTTTATATATTTGAACATGGCTATCATATCACCCCTTAACCTCCTCTTCTCCAGGCTAAACATGCCCAGCTCTCTTAGCCGTTCCTCATAAGGCATCGTTTCCAGGCCTTTGACCATTTTGGTTGCCCTCCTCTGGACACGTTCCAGTTTGTCAGTGTCCTTCTTGAACTGTGGTGCCCAGAACTGGACACAGTACTCCAGGTGAGGTCTGACCAGAGCAGATTACAGTGGCACTATTACTTCCCTTGATCTAGATGCTATACTCCTATTGATGCAGCCCAGAATTGCATTGGCTTTTTTAGCTGCCGCGTCACACTGTTGGCTCATGTCAAGTTTGTGGTCAACCAAGACTCCTAGATCCTTTTCACATGTACTGCTCTCAAGCCAGGTGTCCCCCATCTTGTATTTGTGCCTCTCATTTTTTTGCCCAAGTGCAATACTTTACATTTCTCCCTGTTAAAATTCATCTTGTTTGTTTTGGCCCAGTTCTCTAATCTGTCAAGGTCGTTTTGAAGTGTGATCCTGTCCTCTGGGGTGTTAGCCACCCCTCCCAGTTTGGTGTCATCTGCAAATTTGATCAGGATGCCCTTGAGTCCATCATCCAAGTCGTTGATAAAGATGTTGAATAAGACCGGGCCCAAGACAAAACCCTGTGGCACCCCACCAGTCACTCTTCTCCAGGATGAAGAGGAACCATTGATGAGCACCCTTTGGGTTCGGTCAGTCAGCCAGTTACAAATCCACTGAGTGGTAGCATAGTCAAGACCGCATTTTACCAGCTTCTTTACAAGAATATCATGGGGCACCTTGTCAAATGCCTTGCTGAAATCAAGGTAGGCTACATCCACTGCGTTCCCTTCATCTACCAGGCTTGTAATTCTGTCAAAAAATGAGATCAGGTTAGTCTGACATGACTTATTTTTCAGAAATCCATGCTGACTATTGGTGATCACAGCATTCCTTTCTAGGTGCTCACAGACTGTTTGCTTAATGATCTGCTCCAGAATCTTCCCTGCTATTGATGTCAGACTGACTGGGCGGTAATTATTTGGGTCCTCTCTTTTCCCTTTTTGAAAATAGGGACAACATTTGCCCTCCTCCAGTCTGCCGGGACTTCGCCTGTTCTCCAGGAATTCTTAAAGATGACTGCCAGTGGTTCTGAGATCACATCTGCCAGTTCTTTTAATACTCTTGGATGCAGTTCATCTGGCCCTGGAGACTTGAATACATCTAAACTAGCCAAGTATTCTTGTACTATCTCCTTAGTTATTCTGGGCTGTGTTTCCTCTGCTGAATCATTTGCTTCAAATTCTTCAGGTCAGGCATTGTTTTCTTTATCGGAGAAGACTGAGGCAAAGAAGGCATTGAGGAGTTCAGCTCTTTCTGTGTCCCCTGTTTGCATTTCACCATCTTCTCCTCTGAGTGACCCCACTGTTTCTTTGTTCTTCCTTTTGCTACGGACATACCCATAAAAGCCTTTTTTGTTGCTTTTAACCTCTCTAGCAAGCCTGAGTTCATTCTGTGCTTTAGCTTTTCTGACTTTGTGTCTACACGTGCTGGCTATTTGTTTGAATTCCTCTTTGGTGGTGTCCCCCCTTTTCCATTTTTTGTACACATCCTTTTTTATTTTTTATTTTATTTTTTTTAAATAATTTTTATTAAAGTTTCAATAAAAAGTTGAACAGAAAAAACATAAAAAAGAAATACACAAATACGCAATACAAATTCCAAAAAAAGAAAACAAAAACAAAAAACAAAAAAACAACAAAAAAAGAAACAGAACAATTAAAAACAATATCACCTTTTCATTTCCCTTTTTTAAATTTACTTATTTTCTGGACTTCCTCATACCTCCCTCTTTTGTATTCCAGTCCAAATTGTTCCTCCAGCAATTTCTTTTGCACTTTTTTAATCCCAGTCTTTATTCTTAATGTAATATAGCATAAAAATTTACCTCTTAAGTACCAAATTTCCCTTTCCTTTAACTTATTTACTCCTAATCTTTAATCTTGATGTAATATAGCATTAAAATTTTACCTCTTAAGTACCAAGTTTCCGTTTCCTTAAACTTCTTTAATCCTGATCTTTAATCTTAGTCTGTCTTATAATTTTATCCTGTACAGCTGGAAACCACTTATTTTCAATCCAACATCACTCTAGCATTCCTTAATTTTGCAGTGTTTCTGTAGGTAGTCTTTGAATTTCTTCCAATCTTCTTCCATCGCCTCTTCTCCCTGGTCACGGATTCTGCCAGTCATTTCCGCCAGTTCCATATAGTCCATCAGTTTCATCTGCCATTCCTCTAGCATGGGAAGTTCTTGTGTCTTCCAATACTTTGCGATAAGTATTCTTGCTGCTGTTGTTGCATACATAAAGAAAGTTCTATCCTTTTTTAACACCATTTGGCCCACTATGCCCAGGAGAAAGGCCTCTGGTTTCTTAGGGAAGGTATATTTAAATACCTTTTTTAATTCATTATATATCATTTCCCAGAAAGCCTTAATCTTTGGGCACGTCCACCAAAGATGAAAAAATGTACCTTCAGTTTGTTTACATTTCCGTTTCCAGAGGTACTTTAAACGATTATACACTCAAGGGCCATTGAAAGAAACAGACCTAGACCAATTTTTGAAAACAAATGGATTACAAAAAATATCTCAAGAAAATAAATTAATTTTGAATCATAGAATAACCGAACAGGAAATAGAAGGTGCCATTCAAAACATGCAATTGGGTAAATCTCCAGGACCAGACGGCTTGACCTCTAGATACTACAGATCTTTAAAAGAATGGTTAATTCAACCTTTGAAAGAGGTCTGCAACGAAATAATGGAGGGGAAAAGAGCACCAGAGTCGTGGAAAGAAGCATATATTACACTTGTACCGAAAACAGAAACTGAAAAGACACAGCTTAAGAACTACCGCCCTATATCATTACTTAATGTGGATTACAAAATTTTTGCAGATATTTTGGCTAAGAGATTTTAAAAAGTGTTGATGGAAGAGATTCACAAAGACCAAGCGGGCTTTCTCCCAGGAAGACATTTGTCTGACAATTTGAGGAATATAATTGATATCTTGGAAAAATTAGAAGTGAATATAAATACCAAAGCAGTTTTGATATTTGTAGACGCGGAGAAAGCCTTTGACAATATTTCTTGGAATTTTATGAAGAAGAATCTACAGGGTATGGGGGTAGGCCAAGGTTTTGAGAATGGTATAAGTGCAATTTATTCAGAACAAAAGGCTAAACTAATTGTAAATAATGTTGTGACGGAAGAACTTAAAATTGAAAAAGGGACACGACAAGGTTGCCCAATTTCCCCACTTCTTTTTATTTCGGTCCTTCATAACATAAGCTAGAGACCAAATACTGACCCATTCACTTATGATTTTAGAATGATTTTAGAGTGGTGTGTTGTGTTGTACTGTTGTACTGTTTTATTGTTGTTAGCCGCCCTGAGCCCGGCTTCGGCTGGGGAGGGCGGGATATAAATGAAATTATTATTATTATTATTATTATTATTATTATTATTACTACTACTACTCATTTACACTGACCCAGACCCACATGTCCTAATAAGGACAACAGTTGTTGGGGAAATTTTCCATTGCCTAGCAACTTGTTTAAGACTGTTTTCATGTTTCTTCTAGAATATTCCAACATTGGCCTCACTCTTCCCACCTTCCTAATTTAAGTCCAAGGAGCTTGTAGTCATAGCAGTTATTATAGGTTCATTTTCATCATTCATTATTTATGCACAATTAAGAGAGATTTATATTGATGGAGCGTTAATCCAAAAACAACTGTGTGTGTTTCCTTTCTGCAGTGCTGGGTAGAATCAACATGCAATACTGTAAGAATCCAATGCCATCTTAAGTTCTTGTTCCCAGGTGCTCCTTTGTATTCAGATCAGGCCTCAGCACAATAACGTAGCACTTGGGGAGGAAGATGCAGCCCAGGAGCCCAGCACTGGAGGCCAACATAGAGAAGATCTGCACGGCCACCATGTACTTGCCCTTGGTGCTCAGGTAGGTGGGCACAAAAGACACCCAAACACTGCAGAAGACCAGCATGCTGAAGGTGATCAGCTTGGCTTCGTTGAAGGAGCCGGGCAGCTTCCTGGCTAGGAAAGCCACCGTGAAGCAGATGGCAGCCAAGAAGCCCAGGTAGCCGAGGGCAACGTAGAACATGGCCACAGAGCCTTCGTTGCATTGCAAGATGATCTCTTCCACCTGGGAGTGCATGTCAGACTCTGGAAATGGGGGAGAAGAGCCCAGCCAGATGGTGCAGATGAGAACTTGCACACCAGAACAGGAGATGACAATGGAGTTGGCCAGACTCTTCCCTAACCATCTCCTCACCCTGTTCCCGGGCTTTGTGGCCAGGAAGGCCAGCACCACCGTGATGGTCTTGGCCAAGAGAGAAGAAACAGCAATGGAGAAGATGATGCTGAAGGCCGTTTGTCGGAGAAGGCAGGTCTCTTTCCTTGGGCGCCCGATGAAGAGGAAGGAGGACAAAAAGGAAAACAGGAGGGAGACGAGCAGGATGTAGGAGAGGTCCCGGTTGTTGGCTTTGACTATGGGAGTTTCCTTGTATTTAATGAAGATTTCTAACACAATGCCTGCTGTAGAAGATAAGAAGAGGACAATGGAAGCTAAGGTAATCCCCAGATGGTCTTCATAAGCCAGGAAGGTGATAATCTTGGGGACACATTGATCTCTGACCTTGTTTGGATGCTGATCTTCTGGGCATTTGGTGCAACGTTCTGCATCTGAGGAAGAGGAAAAGAGTGGCTTCAGCATCCCTTACATCCATGACCACCTGTGCTCCGGAAATAAGAATGTGTAAAGAGTGGCAAGCAATTCTTTGTTCCTTTTCTGCAAAGGGCACCCTTACATCTTACATTTCCTCGAACGAGGTGATGCACGAGGGTTTTCTCATTATGAACACTGCAGCAACATCGTGTCAGGCGGCTGCCAGCAACTCCTTCTGCTCAGAAATGTACAAAGACAAGGGATGTTCGTACCACCCATTTTTTTATTCAGCATATACAGAGAGAGGCCCTAGAACCCAGCCTCTTGGATAATGGCGTCATCCCAAGTGAATCTCCACCCCCCCCCATCTCTCCTACTCTACAGGTGCTGATGTTTGCCCTCTGCCTTTGAGCTCTTTGCTCTCCGGCTTTCAAGGCTTGCTGGGTTCAGGAAGGCTTTCTAAAAACATTGTGTCCATCAGCCGTCACCCTCCTGGTGCTTCCCCTCCCTCCACCTCTCCCCTTATTCCCCAGCTTTCCCCTCATCTGCCTCTGAGGTCCCTCAAACCCCTGTTGTAATTCTGAACTGTCTTCGTCTTCTCTGGTCAGAAGGGGGAGGCAGTCTCCACCATTCCTCCTCTGCCCAGGCCCTGACAAATGGTGATCTAGGATCTACTGAGAGGCAAAGACTTCTCCACATCAACTGCGTTCTATGTTTTCTGCATAATCCTGAAGACACGTCACTTGACCTTGACCTTGTTAAGGCAAATAGTTTTCTGTTGCTTCCATGCAATGCTTCTGGTAGTGAGATCAGAATGTTCCCTCTCTTGTAATCCTTCTCACCCACCTTCTTGGTTGGACATGGTTCCTTCCGCACAAGGATCACAACCATAGCAGCAAACAGGCTTTCCTTCTGGAACCACCTTTGCAAATCCAGGCTGACATATTTTGCTACACCTGGAACGAGGCACGGCCTAACCATGAAGATAAGAAGGTGCATGGAAAATCAATAAAATTATAGGGGGTGGGAGAAGATGCATTGTGGAGAAAGTGTTAGGGGTATTTGTGTGTCTGGATTTCACCCACATAGTTTGGTAATCACCCAACAGGATCTCTTGTCCCCCTGACCTCGTCCACTTTCTGCATAGAAGCAGCATTCTCCAGCCCCGACCCTGAGGTCCAGCTCCGAGGGCCTTCTGACGGTTCCCTCCCTGGGAGAAGTGAGGTTACAAGGAACCAGGCAGAGGGCCTTCTCACTGGTGGCGACTTCCATGTGGAACAACCTCCCATCAGATGTCAGGGAAATAAATAACTAGCTGACATTTAGAAGGCAGCTTGGTACAGAGAAGTATTAAATATCTGAGGTTTTATTGTACCAATTGGTTTTGCCAAACTTAGGATTCTCCCACATGTCAAATCTCAGGGTGCACATGCCTGAGTGTAAGTTTGGGGAGTTACAAAAAACCAGCCTCCTTTGATGCTGGGGTGTGTGGAAGGTGTGGGAAGGAGAGAGAAAGAGAGAGAAGAGAAGAAGAGAAGAGAAGAGAAGAGAAGAGAAGAGAAGAGAAGAGAAGAGAAGAGAAGAGAAGAGAAGAGAAGAGAAGAGAAGAGGGCAGCTGAAACTGGGTGGAAAGGACACCATTGGTCCCCCTTATAAGGTCATTTGGCAAAAGAGGCTCCAGGAAGAGCATGAGCAGGATCTCCTAGCCTTCTTCCTCAGTAACATCCCCTACCTTGTGAAACTTCTCAGGCCACTCAATGGCTTCTGGGTTGATGGTGAACTTGATGCCAGTAGATGCCTCTCTACTTGTACTGCCAATCTTCACCAAAGCATGAGACTCATTGGGAAACATCACCCAATTCATGATATCAAAGTCAGGAGGCAGCTCCCAATTCTCATCCAAACACATTGTGCCCCTGGAAGTATTCAAACACTGGATTTCTTTTAAGAAAGGGTGGAGCTGGAATGACAGGGAAAACAGCAGTATTTTATTGTTCCTCACTTGAAGCAAGCGACTTTCCAAAATAACATTAATACAAATAATAAATAAGATTAATACAAAAGTCAATACAATCTTCTTCTTTTTTTAAGAACCAAAATGCCTAACAGAGACATCGGTCTGCTGGAACTAGCTGAGAGAACATCATTTCCACAGGTGATGTCATGAATGAGCCAACTGAAGAAAGCAGCCAGGAAGAGAGAGAGTTAACTGCCATGCAGGATGAGCATCGGCTAATGCCTACTCTTCCACCCCCTTGGAATGCCGGCTGACGAGGGAATGGCGGAGAACGTAGTCAGGAACGTAGTCAAAGCTCGCCAGAAGCACAAACCGGCAGGAAAGAGTTAAGGGACAGCCTCTCAGAGAATGAGGAAGAGGAGGGAGTTGACTCACTCTCTCCAAGGTCTCGACAAATGGGAAGGCTTCAAGATAAGAAGGAAAACAAAAGATGTATGAAGTGAAAGTTCAGTTGCTTCTGGTCGCGCTGGAAGCATTCTTCAGAAGGGTCATCTTGACTGATGATGGAGGCTGTGTTAGAGCCAGCTGGAGTTACCTGTTTGTTTTGACAATAAATCATCCTTTTTAATTAACTACGCTCACTGTGTTATCAAGCCGGGGACTGGATTCCTGACTGGTGACCTCTTTATTTCTAGTGAAGATTGATCATATCAGAAGAATTTTTATTTGCATCAACCACAAGTCATAGCAATAAAATTGTCAGCATCGCCCTTGAGTCAGTGCCACCAACTGGACTCACACACTTCAGCCCTGACTGGGCCAGGTGAGCTGGGTAGCACTTCCAGAGACCACCTTCTGCACAGGAACAGGTCAAAGTGCTGTGGACTCACAGCTTAGGGTTGTGAGCACCAGATTCACTTCCACAAGAAGACAGTCGTCGCACAGCAGAGTACAGCAGAGCATAAACGACTCGGAGAGCAGCTCTGTAGAATATCTTCTTTATTCTGTCTACAACTATAATACACAACTATGTACAGAGCTAAATGAGGTCTAAACGAAAATGCTGAACTGCACTGAGTGTCTGCAGCTGCTCTTAGCAGCAACCTTATCTATACACACGATCTCTCTCTAACACTCAGTCTCTCTCTCTCTTTGATATGAGGCTGGAGCGAAATAAGTAGAGAGCAGAAACCGCCCCCTCCTCTCTTGAGAGTCAGCAGAGAACATCAGCAGATTCTTGGATATGGGAGGGGTGAAATCTCCTCAAAAATATGGTACATGACCCCAGTCAAGTTTGCAAAAATCTATCATTTGCCCGATAATAAATGTTGGAAATGCAAAGAAACTGAAGGTACATTCTTTCACCTTTGGTGGACGTGCCCAAGGATTAAGGCTTTCTGGGAGATGATTTATAATGAAATAAAAAAGGTACTGTATTTAAATATACCTTTCTGAAGAAACCAGAGGCCTTTCTTCTGGGCATTGTCGGCCAATTGGTGCCAAAGAAGGACAGAACTTTTTTTATGTATGCTACAACAGCAGCAAGAATACTCATCGCAAAGTATTGGAAGACACAAGATCTACCCACTTTGGAAGAATGGCAGATGAAGGTGATTGACTACATGGAATTGGCGGAAATGACTGGCAGAATCCGAGACCAGGGAGAAGAGTCGGTGAAAGAAGACTGGAAGAAATTTAAAGACTATTTACAGAAATATTGTAAAATTAAGGAATCTTAGAAGAATGTTGGATAGAAACTAAGTGGTTTTTAGCTGTAATTCTTTAAGAGATATGAAAAAAGGTTTACAAATGGGTAAAAGCTTAATGGTAAGGATTTGCTGAACTAACAAACTGAACTGGAATACAAAAAAGGGAGGTACGAGGAGGTCCGGGGAAATAAGTGTAAGGAAGATAGGTTATGGAAAATTAATGTCTCTTTAACTGTTTTATTTTGTATGTTTCTTTTTATTTTTTACTTTTTTGTTATTTTTTAAAAAACTTTATTCTTTTTTCTGTATTCTGTATTTCTTGTATTTTTTGAAACTTTAATAAATATCATTTTTTAAAAAAAGAAATCTCCTCAAAAATAACAATATATACTGAAGATAGAGGTAAAAACTTTAACTAAAATAGAATGCATTTTGGGGTTTACATTAAATAATAGATCTTATTCTAATTGCCACCCATTAAAATCCTTGGAGTTTTTGCTGTCACTTGATCATCTTGATCTGCTAGAAGAAAGGACACAGTAACAATGGTTGAGCGACCCGGCATGGAAAATAAAAGAGGGGTAATAACCTCACTCCTCAAATCTTTATAAAGAGTGCAAACCAGAAGGACATGAGCCGCTGACTCAATACTGCCATCTCCCCAGGGGCATAACCATTTTTCCAGTGGAATTTTTTGAAATCGACCCTCAAGTACAGCCGAAGGCAGTATATTCAACCTTGCAAAAGTGCATCTATATTTTGGGATTGTTAAATTTTGCAAATAGGGTGCCAAATGTCAAGATGACCATGTGAAAAGTAGTCATACCATGGACAAAATTCCTCATTGCGGCCAGATTATTCTGTCGCTCGATATCATGTAGGCCAGTGGTGGCGAACCTATGGCACGTGTGCCAGAGGGGACACTCAGAGCCTTCTCTTTGGGCACGCACACCGTTGCCCCAGCACAGGGCCGGCAGAAGGTGAGGGCGGTGCGTCAAGTCCTCAGCTCAACTTGGGCGGCCAGAGCGCCATGTGCACGGCCAGTTGGCGTAGAAAACTGCACAGCAGGAGTGGGATGCGATGCCCGTCAAGGCACTGGCTCTCTCTAAAACAGAGGTTGCAGCTCTTCTTTGGCCCTAGTTCATTGCGCCCAATTGCGCGGAGGCTTCCAGAACATATTGTGGCAATTAGTATTTTGCGCGAGCAGGTTGCAAAATAGCACCGGCAATGCTTATGGTGGGGCCTCAGTTTCGGACGCTGCACAAGCAGGACAGCATAGAGCCGAAATCCCCAAACTGGCCCGTCCGCTGCAGCGCCTTTAGGGCTCCTTTTGCTCAGCCGCTTTGCACAGGATGCCCAGACTGAAATGGCACCCTTGTGGCCAGGGAGGCGCAAAGGGAAGGGGCGAGTGGGGCACTGGTCCCATTCGGATACTTGATGCTGTCCCCATGCAGGCGCTCGTGTTTTCAGAGGCTGAGCGTGGATCCTGGGACTTGTGTCCGAGTAGAAGCACCTTGGATGGGGCGTCGGGGGGTGCAAAACGGAGCCACAACCCCCAGGGCGCACGTTTTCCCTTGGGGAGCCTCTGCTGTGGGTGGGGAGGGTGCAGCAGTCTGCACGCGCTCAGAGGTGGGCTGCCGCTTTGGTGAGCCACTGAGAGTTCTGGATGGGCCTTTTCTGTGGGGGTTTGTGTTATTTGGTTGTATGTTATGTATTTTTTCTTCTCATTTTGTGTCTTTATGCTGTGAACTGCCCTGTGATCTTTCAACCAAGGATGGGATCATGGTGGACTGAAGGTCTTTCAAAGACTCCTTGCCCACAGAGATCGTAGCCTGGGGTTGGGTGATAGCCAGACACAAGCTTGGCTGTCAGATTTCACTTCTGAAAAGAAGTTGAAATGAAGCAATTAACCTCCGATTGCTTTGAAAAGTTGCTTTGAAGCAATTAACCTCTGGTTGCTTTGAAAAGTTGCTTTGAAAAGTTGGATTGTTGTTTTCCTGACCTGTGATTCAAGTGACTACAAACCAAGGACCACCATCTTGCCCAAACCATGCCGCTGTCCCATTATTATGGGCCACAAAGACCTCCCTTTCTTAATGATCTTTGGAATGGAAGACCATATTACACCGGTCCTGAAAGACCTGCATTGGCTCCCAGTACGTTTCCGAGCACAAGTCAAAGTGTTGGTGCTGACCTTGAAAGCCCTAAACAGCCTCAAAGGCCCAGTAGACCTGAAGGAGCGTCTCCACCCCCATCATTCAGCCGGGACACTGAGTTCCAGCGCCGAGGGTTTTATGGCAGTTCCCTCCCTGCAAGAAGTGAGGTTGCAGGGAACCAGGCAGAGGGCCTTCTCGGTGGTGGCGCCTGCCCTGTGGAACGCCCTCCCGTCAGATGTCAAGGAAATAAACAAATATCTGACTTTTAGATGACATCTGAAGGTAGCCCTATTTAGGGAAGTTTTTAAGGATTGCTGTTTTATCATGTTTTTGATATCCTGCTGTAAGCCGCCAAGAGTGGGCAGGGTATAATTTTTTTTAATTATTTTATTTTATTTTATTTTATATTTCATTTACAAGTGTTTCTGAGTCTGTCAGAAAAAACCAGAACCTTGTGAGTTAACTGTTTTCCTCACTAAAGAAGAAGCGTTGAGTAA